TTTTTTTTAAGAAGGAAGGAGAAAAACTATCAAAAAAGAGGTTTCGATTTCGATTAATTCGACGTGCGTAATCGATTAGTCGATAAAAATCGATCCCATCATTAATCGAAAAAATCGACATCGAAAAGATTCGATTAATCGATTATTCGATTATTTTTCGATTAATCGCACATGTCTATTAGTGAATCACCGAATACCTTCTACTGAAGATTGAGCCCTCGTTAAGTATACTGCCGCAAGACGGTTTCCGTTCAGCGGCCTATTCACCTTGTTAATTCCAGGTCCTCTCGAAATAACAAACGGTCGTTACCATACCACCCAAGACCAATCTACGCAGGTCAGTCATTCCCAAGGACGAGTTTTGGTACTCTACTGCGCAGTGACGTAGTATTGAGTGCCTGCAATGTATTTCTTATGGGAGCACCCATTGTGACGTAGCATTGAGTGCTGCCGAGTTAGGACCGGGCCGGGAAGTGGCTTTCAAGAAGATGCGCAATGACTGACCTGTGTGGATTGGTCTTGATCCCACCAAACGCGGAATCCGCATCTTGGACCAAGTCCTGTAAGGCGCTTAGCTGTTCAGCTATACAGCGCAAGGCTCCTGGTTGCATCCTGCTGCTTTACAGTCCCGCCGCATCGCTGTTGACTGCACAGTGGCTTCCGGGCTTGGCAGCTTTCAGCACTGCACAAAGCGACCCGTAATCGCTTCGTAGCGATATCCACCGGAGCGATTAGCTTAGGCAAGCCCTGGGGGTATCCTTTGGGGGTCTTCACCGCGCTTCAAGCGCACAACCTGAAGACGCCGCGCCCACTGTCGCGGATTGCCTGCCCAGCAGGCGACCATCGCCTGGTCAAGCTAGCTCAAGCGCTCGGATGAGCTTCCAGCTCAGGCTTTACAACCCGGAGCTGCTCTCCGTCCTGCCCCCTTGAAATCATGTGCCTGCGCACACCATCACCCACCGCTAGACACCGTCATCCACCCTTAGACCCCGTCATCCACCCCTAGACCCCCCCTCCCCTACTTGGGTGATGTAATTTATGGACAGTGCCTCAGTCTTACAAAAGATCGCATGATGACCCACACAGATTTTGATCAGAGTGTAGCTTAAAGTTTCTTCATACAAAATTATTGAACCTTCATTTCGCTGTTATTGCAAATGGATCCTAGAAATTCCGAAATAAAACATTCGACAAAAAACTAGCAGAAAGGGCTGCTTGCTCTTGTGGCAAAATGACGCATATCACCTCACTTCAGCACGACAATAGTTTAGCAAGCCAGAGGGTTGCACTCTAGCCAACTGATCCTCGACTCACACCACAGCATCTCTTTGTAATTTTAATTCCAACACATGATGGTTTTGTTGATTTTTCCTTACTATCCTCTAACTGCGGGCATAAATATCTTTAGCCAGATACTTGGACGGAGTTAAACAGAAAGGAACCAAGCCACATCGGGATTGAACCGAGAAAAAGAGACTTAAAGTTTAGCTCCTGCATAAGACTCAATGTAAAAGTTAAACTTCAAGTTCAATTTCTGCAAAATTTGCTCCAACAAAAACTTTGAATTTTTGGCAATAGAGAGTAAAGCAGTGATTGGGTTCAAAACCACTCATAACTCAATTTTTTCCAAAATGTGGGTTGGTTCCTTTCTGCTTAACTCAGTCCACTTGTATATGATAGATATTCATCATATAATAAACGATGATTAACAATCATATTGATTATTTTTGGCACAGGGCAGCAAACAGTAGTCATTCAGATCGCTTAAGTAGTTAAAGGAATCGAGTGAAATGTATCCAGTTTTACATTCAAGTATTAGTTAGCTCTCTCCCTACCAGATTTTGTGTTTGTTTCATGAACATACAGGTAGCAAATGAGGAGGGGGGGGGGACTGAATTATCGATTACTTACGGAGAGATGAAGTTGGTAAGAGTAGGATTTTCTCATTCCGTCCATTTTAGTCATATTCAAGGTCCATGTTAAAAGAGTCTGGGATGACTGACGATTGACTCGCAGAAGAGGAGGCTCCAGTTGAAGATGATACACTAGATGTTGAACGGCCTTGTCCTCTGTAAAAGAAAAATTAAAATTAACAGATATTGTAAGAAATCGTAAGTCATGGATTGTTAATAGGTCACAAAACCTTGAGTTTTTTGTTTAATATTTTGAAATGATCAGGTGAGTAGATTGTGTGGTAGTATTTTGGGAACCAAAATACTGGAGAGAACTGCTTTTGAAAAGTCAAAAAATTCCCATGAGTTTCAAACGTGTGCGCATGGTGGGAAAATGATAGTAGTGAAGTACCACGGCAATCAAAACACTATCTCCTATGATATCCACTGATGTTCTTTAAAATAAAACGTATTTCAATGTAAAGTTATTGTTTGCTTACTGCAGATAACGTTAATGAGATTCGATTCTTTTGATTCTGAGGATATGGTTTCGACTTTTCTGCAGTTTTTATGAACAAGGAGTAAAAAGACTTTTGACGGAAGTTGTAGATGCCCAAGCTTGCTTCTGATTGGTGCTAGATGACATTATCCGGTTAGAGACGAAACCGGAGCATTTTAAATTGCGGAAAAGAGACAAATTTTAAAATGCATCTTACTCGGTTTCAGAATTACTTTCTAGCGTTTTTGATGGGCACATTGCTTTTTACTATAAAGAAGTATTTGCCGTTCAAAATTTACTTTCGGTTTATTGATTTATTATAAAAGGTCATAAAGATGAAACTAGGATAGAGAGTGACAAGATACTTAGGGTTAAAACCACTGATGGCTTTTGATATTACCGATTATAAGTACTGTTACTTTAACCAAAAAATGGGCATTTAGATGATGAACTATTGAGAGAGGTTAGTCACTGATTCAAAAGTTTACCATGCAAAGTGACGATAGCCTGCCATTCTTGAAAATTTGAATTTATATTAAAACTTCCTTAGTTTTCCTACATCTCTTCTTGTTTGTTTTTTTATAAGAAGTCAATTGGACTACATTATGCAATTTGGAACTAAAAATTCTAGCCCGGTTTAAAAACAGCGTATGTGCCATTAGTTTCCCTATGCACATAAGTGTTTTTCCAGAAGAGCAATTTATAGTTCCAAATTGCAAAATGCAGTCCAATTACTATTCTAATTTTTCTCCTTCCGTCAGCCTTTACTTTGGTGAGACATCATACTGGAGTCATTAGCTGCAAGGTGACTGGCCTATTTCTTTGAAACAAAATTCGAACTTTCAAAACACAACTTCCTTACCTCTAAAGCCTCGGTTACACAATCAAATTGAGCTATCAATCTGGCAAGGTCAGAATTCTGATTGGTTCTGCGAATACCTGACAGAGATCTCTGTGGCATCAAATTACTGCAAGTCGCAGTAATTTGAGAGTACTGGTCTCTGATTGGTATGTCCAGAACCAATCAGAAACCTGACCCTGCCAACCTTCCTAGTTTGATGGCTTCAGTTACATCATGAGACACAGGCTTATCCTATGCTTACATGAATCTATCTTGTAAATTTTACTACAAACCAATACTTTTTTAAAGTCAGGCGACTTAGGCTAGGTGTTGGTCAGTTCTTGGAAATTTTAGGTGCATTTTAATGTTAATATGATGATGGGTACTATTATGTTAAATTCATAAACATACGACAAACATTATTTTGTGAGTTTATAGAGACTATTACCTCCAGATGATGGAGTCTAAGGCTGAAAGATATGTATTTGCATCAGTTTGGCAGATGATAGTTGTACAATCAATTTTTTTTCCGTCAGACTTCTGTACAGCATGGCTCAATCACAGTCCCATTGGATGTTTGAGAGATATTAAATAATATTTAGTGTCCTTTCGGTATTTAATGACAAGGTTTGGTATAAATTTGGCTAGTATCAATTTTTGGTCGAAAATAAGGTCTAGATACACAATTTTATAAGTATAGAAATAAAAACTTGCCTAAAAAAAGCTTCTAAATTATTTACTTCAGGGTTTGAATTGCTAGGATCACTGACAGTTCCATCTTCATTCAATGTTTTTCTGCAAATTGGACAGGTTCCATGCTGCAAAAAATACAAATGAAATGATTACACCAAGGAGACTGTTCAGTTTGTTCGTGATCAACTTTTGTTCCCAGATTCAAAGGGCTCTGCACACCAGTGGGACCTTACTGGCTCTATGTACATTTTGATACAACTAGTATAGGTTGTCATGAAGCTCATCATTGGGCCGAAGACAAAAAAATCCTGTAATTCAGTCCGGTAAAAGTTGAGATATTTATAATTCGACATGCCAAATTTTTTACATTCACGCCTGTACCTCATGCGCAGTTGCATGCTTACAGGATTGGCCGAAACATACAGGGTGGTGCAAAAGTCTGGAGACAGCTGGATATTTTTTGAAGGGCTGGAATAAGAGAAACGAGCTTTGTGGTAAGTTCCTGGACCAAAAGAAACTTTCTTTTGAAGGGATCAAAATGTAGGGGGGACTAAAGGGGGGGCCCCCAGCCCCCTAACTTCTCTTTCAAAATGACAACTCCTATCTTGTCACTCGTCATTCAAAAGGGCATAAAAAAAGAAAGCTTTTGGCGCAAACCGGAAGTCTTTACGTACCATTGAAACAAAATGGCAGCCTAAACCCGGTTGACAATCGCTGTTCCGACTTGTATCAAAGATTCGACTTGGAATTTGGTATCCGGAGGTTTTTTGGGTCGGGAAAAACGATTTTGGCATTTGATTTTCAAAATCTTTGCTTCATTTCAAAATGGCGGCCTAAAACCGGTGGAAACCCGGTTTTCGATTAATAATGGAAAAGGGAAACAAGTAGAAGAGGGGCAAAAGCAAGTTAAACCTTCCAATCGTGGACATTTTCGGAATCAAATGACCATATCCATTTTCCCAGGACTAAGAAACTTCCCTGATTTCATTTTTTGAGCGACTCTATTGATTAATAGCCGAAACACCGGGTTTCGACCAGTTTTAGGCCGCCATTTTGAAATGAAGCAAAGATTTTGAAAATCAAATGCCAAATTCGTTTTTCCCCACCCAAAAAACCCCCGAACACCAAATTCCAAGTCAAATCTTTGATACAAGTCGGAATACCGATTTTCGACCGGTTTTAGGCTGCCATTTTGTTTCAATGATACGCAGAGACTTCCAGTTTGTGCCGAAAGTTTTCTTTTTTTGTGCCCTTTTGAATGATGTGTCACAAGATAGGGGTTGCCATTTGGAAAAAAAAGTTAGGGGGGCTGGGGCCCCCCCTTTGGTCCCCTCAAAATTTTGACCCCCTTAAAAGATAGTTTCTTTTGGTCTAGGAACTTACCACAAAGCTCGTTTCTCAAACTCCAGCCGTTCAAAAAATATCAAGCCGTCTCCAGACTTTTGCCCCACACTGTATACACTCTTACCCCTGCATCTATCAATTATATTTCAGATTTGCCTGGCAAGGCCAGAAACTTATCCGCTTCCTTACCTTGAAGGCATTGCATCTCACAGCATGTTGTCCTCAATCCTTCTCTGCTCTACTATCCTTCCTGATTTAGCCTCCCTACTTCCTCTTTAAAATTCCATACTTAATTATGAAAATCCTGGCTCCTACCCCATCGAATCATCTAATTTTTTGGAATTAGTCTGATGATGAACTTTATGGTAACCTAACACAGTTCCATCAAAATTTACTGAGAGCCAATTGCACAGGATTCTTTCAAAGGTTTTCAACAGTTCAGAAAGGAATACATGACTCAATAGTAAAATGAAATTGTATTTCAGAGGTGTAGAAAGTGCTTGACCTAATATGAAAACGAGAGAAAACACTAAAAAAGGGCCTGAAACTGTAAAGTAATATTATGAAAAGTAAAGGCTCTTGAAGAAGGGGAAAACATGCAGAGGCATCTGAAACAGGGAATACATTTTCTTCTTTTTCTTAAATTTCTTCTCGTGAATAATTCAATGGGCTTCTTCATTCACCCTGAATATTCCAGGATCTGGCAAGTGACCCAGTACAGCTAAATTAGACGAGTTTGTGGGTGTTGGAATAACTTTTCTTTTTTTATTTTATTTTATTTTATTTTTGCAGGAAGAGTTCATCCAGTGGCACCACCTATAAATTGTCATTTTGATGAGAGATCGTCATTGTGCAGGTCCGCAATTGTGGCATTGTGCACCCCCGTGTGCAAACCCATTCTCATTGTACCTTTTTTGAGGAGTACCTAATAAATCCTAAAAAATTGGAGAGATTATTTTGATAAGACTTACAAGTTCCAACCAAGGGATAATGCAAGGCTCATGGTAGACATGATCACAGGCCAATTTTCTGACAGGTTCTTCAAATTTGAAATCTTCCCAACATACTGAACACTGCAGAGAGGAATCTAGAATGGATGAACAAAAGAAATTAACATTGATATAGATATACTAAAATACAAACAAATAAACATGACTGATACTTCCAAATGTCCGATTTTCTTACAGACTCAAAATTGAGCATTCTGTTGTAAAAAAAGGAATTTCCCTCAGTTTCACCCAATTTAATCAAATCTGGTGCACATCGTCAAAACACATTTTTTCTAAAAAAAAAAAAAAAAAAAAAAAAAAAAAAAAAAAAAGGTTAAATTATAATCTTTTGAAACTGAAAAAAACTCTATTTGAAGCAGCAAGAAAAAATTTCAAGGTTTTACAGAAAAATTCTCTGACTATTCTCCGACTTTTCTTTAAATTTTCAGGGTTGAGCATAGTTCCCCAACTTTTCGGGTTTTCCTTTCTTTTCAAGAACTTTTTGTTTGTTAAGTTTATTTAAGATGTGATATGACTGGGTCATCTTTCTTGCTGAGGTGAAAAAGTGCAAAGCACTAATACTTTTAATCTAGAAACTAAATTAGTGATGGCGTCGAGATTAGACTCTTAGGTATGCATTCCAAACTTCCATTCATCTCAAAATGAATAACTGATAGTACACTATTTGTATTGACTATGGATGAATGCAGACATTTGCTATCAATTAAATGGGTAAAAAACCTGTGGGAGAAAAAATCATATTCATTTATGAGCGCAAAAGTGAGGAATTTATAACCTCGTAACAGCAATCAAACAATTACACACATGAAAGAGGAAAATGCTTATCGCAGCATCAAGAAACGAGATTAGATTACAGTGCTGTGATGCCATCACCAGTCCCCTGTAGGAAAGCAGGGAGAAGAGCTTTAATGACACTTTATCAATCTCTTTATTTGCTCTGTTTGCACTTTTCAAGAACTTGTCACCACGAATTTCATTTATTTATGCTAAAAGGAACTTAGTGCATAGAGATTACATGCAACATAATTTCCTTTGGCATAAATACACTCAATTAGCAAGTGTCATGAATAAATATGCAAATCTAAGAAACCTGCGAGCAGATGGGTAAACTGGAGTGAGGAGATGATGAGAGATGAATAAACTTGTATTATGGTAACTAAGCACACAGAGACTTTAAAAGTAAAAATAAACATCTTACCAACTTGGGCTTGAGTTATTACAACGACCGGAATTTCTTGAATTTTTTCAGTTGACAGAGGAGGAGGGCCAGAGACTTCCATCTGATTTAAAAGCATTGTTACTATTGCATCTAGTCCTTCACGGCCCCAAGCATAATCGCCTGGATTACTCAGAAAAAACCTGGCAAAAAAATGTTATGATGAAATGCCGAAGAATGAAAGATAAACTCTACAGACCAAGCAACGGTTGTTTCATCGTGAAAAAGCAACAATCCACCTTTGCTAAGTCAAATTGGAACAGAATGGAGTTCCAGTTGGATTACAGAGGAATCTGAGCTAAGAAAACACAACTTAAATGGTATTTACACCTAACAAGAAAAAAATGAAGGATATAATGATTCTTAAAAATCCTGAAATGATTTCTTAAAAATCTGTAGATATACAGGATGATCCTAAAGTCCTGTGCCTCCAGCGCCTGGCACTCCCTCTGTAACTTTAAAACAAATGGAGATGGAGACTTAATAATTTTTGGCTTCAAGGTCAAAGAAAACAGCTTTTAGGACCCCTCAAAATTTTATGGGAACCACTCTGAAAAGGGGTAAAAACTCTAGAGGTTATAAGGGTGGTGTGTGACTTTTGAATCAGCTTGTCAATGAGATGTCTGAGAAGATTTTCCAAACTATCAATTTAACAGTATAGGCCTCAGCACAGGGCTTAGGACTCTTCAAGAGGCCATATCAAGCGAAGAATCAAGGAAGGAATGGTGCATGCAAAGAAGGAACTTGCTCCTTTGTTACTAGTTTCCCTATATCATTCTCAATAGTAACAGTTTGTTTAATTGTGCCTTGTTAGTATGCATTCCATTCCTCTCTTTTTACTGATTGAGATAAAGTTTTTATGCTTATAGGTTTAAAAAAAGGCAATGATAGAAAAAGAAGATATTACTCACACAGGTGCATTGCCTCCACGTGCGTCAACAGCACCTCCACTAAATTCAAATAGTAGCTCTTGCACTAGAGCTTCGATGGGCTCTGTCCTTGGTTCATTTAAAGCTTGTCTACGACTCCTAAAAGTGAAAAATGGAGAAATTAGAAAATTACATCTTCCAGATTTCTGAGTGTAAAACTTAAAGATTAGTCTCTTACCATCTTTAGATAGAGCGAAAGCAAAAATACCATCTTGAGGAAATTAGCTCAATAATCATAATCAATGGAAAATTCTCAAATTCACTCCTCTCTTTTCCTTCACTCCAAATGTACTTAACTAAGAAATCATTTGTCAAAGATGAGTCAACCTGGTTTCATGATTTCTCATAAAACTAAAAATGGCTGCTGTCATGGGATGCTGTTTCTCAAATAGAAATAAACAACAGAAGTGCTTCCTCTTGCTAAATTCAACTTGGAAGGCAGGGCTGTAAGTATGTTGGTTGAAATGAGCTTGTTATGTGGTTTGTTTTAACTGGAGGACCTGCATTACATGACAGGGCTCATCTTAGGTATTGCATGAAGTTATGGTACAGGGGTGGTTCATCTGTATCAAATTACATCTTTGCTATTTTATACTTTCCGAAGCAAGAGGTGAAAGGAAAAGTGAAAATTTAGGACTTTATCACTAAGCTCATTGCAAGTTCTAAGCAACTTTCCTGAAGAAATAGCTTTTCTTAGAGCTCCAGCTGAAGTTCGTGACAAACCCATTAAAGATTTTAGATGAGTAGAAAGGTCTGGATGCTGCAAGCCAAACTTGCCAATTTGACAGCACTTTAGCACAGATACTGTGCATGATTAAATTTACACAAGTGATATTTCCATCTATTAGGAGGAGCATCTCTACATTAGAACGACGCTTTCAAGTTTTTGCCTGATGCTGAGGTGACTTAGAAACATAAGTACTAAAATATACAGATCTTGAGACCTTTTGGTTACTAATCTTAGAGCTTCATCTTCTATTGGGTAAAAAAAGTAAATTGCTCAGTTGGACACTGAATATTTTTTGTGTGGTTCCAAAAAATTTCTTTCATCATTATATAATAGAGTAGATATTTAAGGGCTTCTTTGTACACTAAGAATCTTTTGAAAACACTTTTAGCAATGCTGCTGCGCCTTTTTCATAAGTCACATAGTACCACAGCTACCTTCTAGGACGAAGTCCACCAGAGCCTCCACTGGTTGAGGATGACGTTCTCCCTCGAGACAATGGAGCCATGTTTGAGCCAGACATATTTGAGTCCCTCCAAGTTGAATGAGGTAACCTAAGTGAGGAAGAGTTCCCTCGATTGCGACGGAACATGCGCCTCATACGACGTGCAGCAAGTTCCTCTTGAAATTCTAAGAAATCTTGCAATGCATCCTGGATCTGTTAAAGCAAAGAAAATATAATAAAGTCACACAGCGATTCATAATTACCAATTTTGTTTAATTTTCCATGTAAAGTGGCAAAAGAGCCCCCATACGTTAGGTAAAAAAATACTCCAGCATTTTTTGATGCTGAGAGCAAGATAGGTTGCAGCAGGAGAGGTAGAGTCTAGTATGGTTTGTAACCCTTGACCATTTTCACTGAATACTAATAGTACGGCTATGTGTATCAATCTATACCATAATGCTCATGATTTGAATGCTGAACTAACAAAAGTTTTTCTTGAAAATTTCTGAGGTTTCTCTTTTAAGGACAAGGAACAGGCATTCTGAGAAAAGTTCAATAGATAATAGCTCTGGGCATATCTTTCCAAAACAATTACATACAGAACCAACTTTTAAATTAATGCGATGGAAAGAATTTAAAAGATTTTGCAAGTTTCAAATTCTTTACTTTTCATATGATTTTTCACCATGCAGAAAAACTGAGTACAGACAGAGAAACACATTAACACAGAATTGTGAGGTTTTGAACAGTCGGAGATCACTGGACAGTAATAGATTACGAACAGGATTAATTCAACTGGTTGAAGGCTGACAAAGTTCCTGCATAAGTCACATATTTTAAAGACCAAAAGTTACAAACTGGTTGAATTCTTTGTTTTGTTGTTGAGTACATTGTAAACTGCACTGGCACTCATTTTCCTGATTTCACCCTGAATTCCTTAAGTTTTGATGATGATTCTGGGTTTTCAAAATACGCAAGATCTCTGAATGGAGATCCATGACACTGATTTTGACTCTAATTTTGTTTTGTCAGCGCCACTTTTCGGCACTAAGGTCTCTTTTTCTGTTGATGGTCAGTGTAAGAAAAATAATCTCTGGGTAAAATTATATGCCAAATTTCTGATGGCCATTACACTGGGGAGCAGGATTTGGAAGGGGGGGGATGAAAAAGAGGTCAATGTTGAGGGGGATAATCACAAGGGGATGAATTTGCTATTGAATAAAAACCAAACCCACATTTTGATTTAAGAAAGACCGTTGGTGGGAACCTTGCATCTTAACCAGAACCCCTTGAGTGTGTAGCTGCCTGGAGACAGAACTTTTCCCTATGAAAAATATGTGGCTGCCTAAAGATAGACATTTTTTCAGTGGGAAATTATATTTCTTTCATAGGTTTAGCACTGACACAAGATTTACTTTTTATTAGTTACTATTTTCATTGCTTAATAGAGAAACCACTATGATATGAAACAAATTTTTAAAATCCTTTGTTTGTTTGATTTTTTTTTTTTTTTTTTTTTTTTTTTTTTTTTTTTTTTTTTTGGTTTTATAATTCAGTAAAAGAGATATTGTGATTTTTTTCCCCATCAACAAGAACCAGTTTGAATACTGACGTATACAGCAGCGGTTAAACCGGGCTCTGAGTCACTTTCCTCATCAGGCTCCTCGTCGGCTGGTTCCAGCATTTCGATGAATCCATTGTGACAGGTGGGACATGTAAAATCCTGAAAGAAATTCAAAATAGAGGATTGGATGGAGTTCTTTACACAACAAATAAAAAACAAAAACATTTCATCAGAAGAAGACTCGGTCCCTAATAGGCATGAGCTGCATACCTCGCAGGCCATATTTTAACACCACTGCATCATGCTACAGGAAGCTAACAAGATATTCTATTGATTCGAGGTTGTAGAACGATAGTCAAAATGTATTCACGAAGTTAAGAGAGAACCAAGATGTAGTTTGAAAGCTTGTATACAAAGAGTGCACGACTGAAAATGATTTTTGAAATTTGGAACAAGACCAAATTGCATAAGGATTGCATCACTTGTTTTAGCACCCTCACGCAAGACGACTACGTTTGCATATATTTCTATTAAATGTTTGCTACAGACCCAGAAGAGTTGTTTGAATGTACAACCTAAGTAAAATAGATGATTCAATTCGTTGAAAATATGGCTGTTTCTCTGAAATGATATAATTCACCTATTCAAGTGCTTGTGAGCATTTACTTATCTATGACAGAAAAAGAATATTTTACTATGTGTGTACTAAGTATGTACTATGTTTTTACTGTGTTATAGATGTTTATTTGGTTGAGAGAAGACGTGCAACAAACCGGGTGTAACATAACCTGTCGCAACTAATTAAAAGCAATTAGAAAAGAGGAAACATTTTCTTATGAAAAGTACAAACACGGTACACAGGAACTGAGATAATATCAAACAGCAAAACAGTCTTCTAATTTACTTGATAAATGACCACACAAGAGCATGAACCTGATGTAAGATCCTATTACGAAATGTAAGCGAACTACCCAGGATCCATTAGGCATGCTGGACAGGGTGAAATAGAAAATGGAAACTTTACTAATTCAATTGTATTTTGGAGTAGAGTTTTTATGACTCAGAGCATTTCCAAAGTGAGGAAATATCTCATGAACTGAGATACTAAAACGTAGTTTACCCCCAAAGTGGGCGTCAAATGCAGTTTGTCAGCTGATTGGGGTTCAAGAACTGATTCGCTGGAGGTGCCCCAGAGTCAATAGTACTTATGACATGCAGTCAGCATACAAACCAATCAAGGATTTGAGCAGAATTACTGCAGATGATGATGTCAATGCTACAAGCTAGGAATTGACTTTAACGACTCAAAATGGATGACAAGAGAATAATCTTGGTGCCCTTGCAGGGGCGATAGTCATTGCAAGCAGGAACCAGGAGGATTAGAGCACTCACTTCTGATTTAATGACAGTGAGTCATGATCAAAGGATGGCATCAGATAGTCAGTGGCAAACGACAGGAGGCGAGGTTATTGGAGGAAAATTTCATGGGAGGTCTTAGCCAAAATAATAAGTAGAATACTCACAGGGAGAGCACGGCTGATTTCACTGTTGCATATGTGACAATAAAACCTGTTAAGTGCTAAATTTTCTACAGAGCTAGCTTCAGCCATTGGAGTATACAAAAAAAGGACTATTTAAAGATAATTACACCAAAAATAAAATTAGTAAAGAAAGATAACGACGTAGTTCTGGAGTCTGATAGTACTTTCACAAAATCCTACTTATTTTTGTTGTTACTTAAAAGCTGAGCGTTGCAGGTTGTTGTACAATTAAGTGTTAAATTCCCCACCACATTTTCCCTTTCTCCATTATGAACTTTTAATTTCATCGAGTATGGTGTCATGAATTCTTTTAGTCGATAATTTTGCCTACTTTCAATAATTCAAAGTAATTAATTACCTCATAACTTTCCGTTCCTACCTTTATAAATATACAGCAGTACATGGCAGTACATGAAGCACAAAGCTCGCTCTAAAGTTACAGTTGCCTCATCTGCTTCTTACAGCTGATTTCCCTGTTTTCCCTCATCCCTTCCATATTTTTCCACAAAATGATTATTCGTAGATAAACATGTTTTTCGGTCGAAGAGTTGCTTTTGCTGATTCCGATAAGACCTGCAACTCTATTATTTTATCATTTTATTCAAGAAATTTTCATCTTGGTTATTCTTTTAAAAGTTCATCTCCTCTTCTTCACTCAGTTCTTGCGTGTTGCAAGGTTTTCAGCACCTATTTTCTCAAGTTGACGAGTGTATCTTGTAGTTTTTTATTTTTTGGTACCAGGACCGACCACTGAGGTAAGATTCCTTGTTGTTACCCAACATATTTTCTGGGCTTGATATTCAGTTATTTGTGCCACTTTAATGTAGGCTGCTTTCCTGCCAATCTTCCAATACCATGCGCCTAAAAGAATATCACATGTACTCATTAAATGTAAATTGTCAACGACTACGTTTCTCATCTATCTGACGTACGTTAGGAAGGAGGTAATTGATGGCTGAAGTTTTCAAGGCCTCATAAGATCATTGAAATACCCTACTGTATTGTTTGACTCAATGGTCTGTCCACCACTTCACACCATTGTATTCTGAATGTCATTGTCTTTAAAATTTCTTCCTCTTCTAAATTTGAATATAAGGAAGTAGGTCCTGCAGCTTGATCTGTTCCTACTAACTTAGGTAATTACTGAAGTCAGAATTTTTCACTTATTTTTAATGTTTCAAGATTTTCTATTATGATCGCTCCTACTTTCTTCCTTTTATTTTCCCTGTAGTTTCTATCTTATTTTTTCCAGAATTTATGTCGCTGATTTTCTTGCGCAAATTTTGATAATCAGTTGTTTTGTGTAGCCTTGACATTGGGAGGAACCTTCAAGCTGGACTTGTTTTATTTCCTCCTATACACAGGAATGCCTGCTTTTAGGTACTCTGTAGAGGTAGATGATCTCAGAATGTTTCCTAATGGAAGCTTTTCACAGTTATGACCACACCCTCTCTCTAAAGTCACTAATTACTGACATAAGTTGCTGAAACAATGATAGGTCGTTGAGATGGATATTGGATAGTAAAACCTCGAACTCTTAGATCTTGATTGTGGTGTTCGCATATTTTCTCCAGTATTTTTTTATCGAGAGAGTACCTCGAGAATTTTTTGAGCAAAATGTCCTGTGAATATTGTTGGAAGAGTGAAGAAAATTCAATAAAATATTATTCTAATAAAATGATCAGCCCAGCTTTGGAAAAGTAAAAACGACAGGAAATTTGTAACATTGCAAACTTGGATCCAGGTTTTGGTACTTTCATACCATCATTACCTATTGGTTTGCACAGTTCCTCTAATATGATTTTTCATACCCTGAGAGAATTCAAAATTAATAAAAAAATATGTTCATTATTACTTACTTATATGCATACACTCATTATTATTTTTGTACATACATATTCATGCACAGAAATTATAAAAGAGATTCTGTGTCCTACGAAAGCACCATGAGGCAAAAAAAAAAAAAAGAACCTTTATCTCCAGCAAGCAGCCAGGTTTGTTTTTATTAGCTAAATGTGTGAAATTCAAGTAACTTACAACTTTATTTTTTCAGCTAAAATGGTTTGCTTACCATGTGTTGCTGTGCCGCTGCTCCTGTTCTTATGGCGAATTCTGTCACCATTCATCCTTCGATTCATCCCATGGGGCAAACCAGAACCAGGAGAGAAGGCTATTGACAACAAGGAAAAGTCCCCAATATCATGTGACTCTACTGGCTGTTATTGGTCTCGCCCAAAGGTCCCTGCAGAAGAGTCTAAATGCCCAATCGAATCTGACAAAGTGAAATAACTTTAAAACCCCTCATACTAAAGTCACCTCGAATGATTTGCTGTTTTTGTTGAATGAGAAGACAACTAGTCAGCAACAGAAAGACTAAGAATGCCTCTCTAGTCTTTTACCCTTTTTTACTAAGAAAAAAGATCGTCTTCTAACAGTGAGTTATCGTTACAGGATGATTGAGGACGGGTTAGGTGTTACAGGATGAATAAGGACGAGTAAGGCAATCTTTAATTCCTTCAGTTAGAGTTGTTAATTTTTTGATTTTTATATTTTCTGTCTTGAACGAGTGGAAATAGTCTTTCAGATAATTCTCCCATCTAAGAGAACACTAAACGGAAAGTCATTGCTCTGATCATAACACTTACAAATAGTTGATGAAGGGTAGTTTTAAAGAACTTCTGAATGTACTTTTGCGAACTTATTGTGAGCATTATGACTACATTTTGGAATTAGAAGCAACTATTCCTGGCTCAGGTTTGGAACAACGTATGCACTAATAGTTTCCCTATGCACATAAGTGCACAGATGAACCAGAAATAGTAGTTCCTAATTGCAAAATGTAATCCATTTGGACTTCATTTTGCAAGTAAGAACTAAAAATTTCTGGCTCATTTGTAGAAACACTTACATGCATAAGTAAACTGATGGTGCATACGTTGTTTCTAAACTGAGCAAGATATTGTAGTTCCAAATTGCAAAATGTAGTCCATTTAATAATGCTGAAAATCTTTTGGCCTGTATTTCTAATGCACCTCGGTTAAGCAACTTCTCATCAAACTTGTTATTTTTTCTCCTCGGCATTTTAGCCCAAGGGTCTGTCATGTGTGAAGTGAAGGAACCCCCAACCTAGAACCGAAAGTAGGCACTTGGCACTATTCCTTTGTGGAGAGACACCTGTTCAAGAACTATGAACTGTGATTACTGTATGCATTCCAAGATTGTTGCGCATGGGGCCATAAATGCTGATCATAGTCCATTATTAAATAAATAAGCAGAAACACTTCCGATAAAAATGCCCGTTCTGGATATTTTCTGAAGTCACTACAGAATGTAATCTTATAGTGCTGTAATTTTTGCAGAATCAAATCATAAATTTAACCAAGAAGTCAACTTCTTCTGGTGGTTCCTTGGCTTTTGCTCCAGTTAAGGAGCAACCATCATTTAGGGGCATTTTCTCAGATGTTGGGATGATTTTGAAGCCTGTTGGCAAACACGAAAGAACAGCCTTTGATCAGCTGTCTTTGAAATACTTAGTTATTACCTTGGTCAACCAACAGGATAACAATCAAAAGTAGCCACCTCTGAGTCACCCCTTTTTGACGCAATAATAAGTATTGTACTGACAAGGGTGTAACTGAGTCAAATTAAAAATTCATCATAATTTGATAATGATTATTCCTCCTGAAAACGAGAGGAAATTTGTTCTTCAATTCTGGAATATGACACTGCTACAAGATTACTGTCGTGAGGTTAATGCCCCAGCATTTACTATTTTTTTGTATTTGCTAAACTGTTATATTCTTAAGTTGGGTTATTGCTAATTGTTTTGAAATAAATTCATGATCTAAGTTTGAACATCGTCAGATGCTTTTTTCACTGGAGTCCTCATTGATGTGTCACAACTCAAACAGGAACAGAAATTATCTTGAGTCTCATTAACACTCTTCAGGATGTCTAGCAATTTTCATATACAAAATTCCCTGACACAAACAGTCAAAAGACAGGGGAAAAATTTAAAGTTCCTTGACAAAAAAGGGAAAATATTCCCAATTGTTTGACATGATTAAACTAATTAGATGTAGGTAAGAATTTGTTCATGTTTTATGGATATAATGCAATAAATAGAGCAAAATGTATGGTGCCTAAACTTATACAAGATACGTTTGCCTCATTTTTAAAATGTAGAAGACATCAGCGGAAATTCTGGTAGAAATTTTAGTATCGATTCCATTTTTCTGAAACTTGATTCATCATCAATTTTTAACAAAAAAAAATCTGTGTTTTTGATTTCCCTAACAAGCCAAAGGACCCTACAACAAAACGGCCAAATCGGCCTAAACACGGAATCGTACGATTTTCTCAGGGATGATAGAGGGTCTTCCCAGACACTCAAAACTGGTCATATTTTTTGCCTAACCCCCAGGGAAAAGGGGGGAGAGGGGGTCAAAGTCAAAACCTTTAAATTAGCACAACTTCTCAACGGTTTGTCGTAGAAAGATGATCTTGGTGTCAAAATTTCCAGAAAAATGAGAACTTTCAGAATATATGTATAAAATTAATTAAATTTTAAAATTTGACCCACTTTTGGGGCATTTTACAAGGTCCCCCTTTCGTAAATTTTCGTTTTTTGAGATTTTCGGTTGTTCGGTTCGCACGGATCAAAACAAAAACAATTTCAAATGAAAGTAGAGCGTTTAAGCTTTAAAACAAGCCCAAGATGATCTTGGGGAAACGATTAGAAGCGGAGTTATGAGTCTTCAAAGTTGACGCGGCGCGCGGGAACCTTGTATGTTCCGAGTCTCAAGGTCACCTGCGCGCCCCGGATTGCCTGCAGGTTGCAANTTTTCCCTGACAAAAAAAAATTCCCCAACATTCCCCGGTTTCCCTGGTCGCTAGACACCCTGCCATTAAGTTATGTTACAGAACAGCCTATCTAACAAAAAGAAGCATATGGCAGCCCCAATATTGGAACCATGTTAGCACGACAAGACTAGACACAGCCCAGTGCATGCAATAGATGTATTGCTTTTCAATGTCTTATCGTGCTGATTTTGACTTTCAATAATCGGCCGTGGATTTGATATAACCAGCAGTACTTTCTCAATCCGTCACAACCTGTTTTGGTTGATCCTTCTTTTGGCCTTCATCAGACAATAGTTGTCTACATGATTTATACATTTTTTGTATTTCTCGCTGGTGAAACGGATATTGTGAGCTTTTACCTCACCCCTAGTGCTCACGTCACTCTCATAGGAAGACAGTATACTTTCATACAAAGAAATGGCAACTACACCTCAGATTAGGTTTTCTCTCTCTGGCCCCCTACAAAGCCCCTGTCTTTCTCATGAACTTGAACCGTTTCGGGGGTTACAACCAAAATCTTCCCTAATTCATTTCCCAAGGGCTATGCTGTTGTTGGTCTCAGATTAAGATAATTTGAACTTCAGTGGTAATTTACGTGCAATTTCTGTTTGAATTTTGGGCGGCGAATAGTTTTGAGCACAAAAAGTTTGACTTGGAAAGATGAGCTTCACTGTAGCATCAAATTGCCAGGATTTCTGGATGGACACTCACATATCTTACAGATGTTAAAAATGCAAAAGATTGCCCTACAAAGATGAAAACTGACGAGACTTCATCTCACCAAAGTGGTGGAGAAGAAAAATTAGGAAACAAAAATACTGTGTACTTGAGGAAACTGATCAAGTACACCTTTCGAGAGAAAATAAAATTTAACTTAGATTTGATGGCAATTCAATAGCGTTCAAATCTCAAGGATTTGGATACCTTCGAACGCCTCCAATGAAGTTGAAAAAAAAAAAAAAAAATACACAAAATTTTTAAGGAAAAATATTTATTATAAAATTTTTTTTTGTCCAGGAAAATTGTGACCCAAGAGATAAGTTACACTCGTGACAGATGGAAAATCGTTATTTTATACGGTTAAAACTCGCATTTGAAATTCCAGGGGTCGGTAGAAGAGGGATTAGTTGTGCCCTATGATGACTATTAATTATTAGGACTTCATTTTGCAATCAGAAACAGCAATTTCTGGCTCACCCGTAAAAAACCAGGGCTGCCGATCCGATTACCCATTTTTGAGACCTTGATTAACCACCGGATTGTTTTTTCCTCACCGATTACCCACCGGTTCCAATTATACTCACACTTTACCCACCAACTCCAGCTTTACCCACTTTTACCCACCAGCTACAACTTTACCCACGTTTACCCACCAACAACCAACTTTACCCACCGATTACCTACTGTTCACCCACCGTTTGCTGCCAAATTTGAATTTTCTTACGATTATTTTGTTGGATTTTAGTAAATAAGAAAATACCCACAGATTACCCACCATTGCCTGGATTACCCACAGATTACCCATGGTTGCCTGGATTACCCTCGAATTACCCATTTCCCACCAATTACCCACTGTTCACCCACCGTTTGCTGCCAAATTTGAATTTTCTTACGGTTATTTCGTTGGATTTTAGTAAATAAGAAAATACCCACAGATTACCCACGGTTGCCTGGATTACCCTCGAATTACCCATTTCCCACCGATTACCCACTGTTCACCCACCTTTTGCTGCCAAATTTGAATTTTCTTACGGTTATTTCGTTGGATTTTAGTAAATAAGAAAATACCCACAGATTACCCACCATTGCCTGGATTACCCTCGAATTACCTATTTCCCACCAATTACCCACCGGAGTTCAAAATACTCACGAAATGGGTAATTGCCCACGAATCGGCAGCCCTGGTAAAAACACCCGAGTACACGTGGACACTAGTGGTACATACATGGTTTCTCAAATGAGCCAGAAATGTTGTTCTGAACAGCAAAATGTAGTCCATTTATTACATTGTAACAGGAAATGAGAAGGAGCGGCATCACTCAATTCAGAGGCCTCCTCTTCTTGCCAATTCCTGACTGTCAGGGAATCTAAAAATATCAGTTCTAATAGTACTGTGTTTAGAGTGCTTAATAAGCACACTCAAAAAAATTCACGGCTCAGTAAATTGACATACCCTTTTTACCTCGCATTCTTGACAAGTCATGCAATGATTAGGGTCACTACTGGCTGTCGCTTAACTTTAGCAATGGTATGATACAAAAAATGGGGGAAATTCTTTCTTTTAACTGTTTCGCTTCCACGTAACACAATTGGGAATGGGGTCAAAGGTGATGCATCACATGAAAAAACGCTCGACAAGTCTCAAACAGACATTCATCTTTGATGGAAACCAAAAGATAAGTTTTGAAAAAAAGGTCTAAAAGAAAAGAGATTAATTCACGGATCGGAGTTCTACATCAAACACGAGGGCTGCGTTGGAGGGAATGACCGGTGGAGATCCTTTTTTTCCATAACTGAAAACAAAAACAAAAAAAAACAAGTCATAAATATACATTTTAAAGTAGGATACTTATGTATTTTCTTAACGTAAATACTCTTACACTGAAAAGAAATGTTCGCGTACCAATAGAGCCCTGACAGCGCGACTTTTTGGAATCCGTCAATCTTATTGGTCAAAGGTTGACACCATTACAGGCCATTGTCTGATTTGTTAAAATATCTGACCTCGATTGGCTCATCACATTTTCTGTTACGTACGGATTATGGAACAGGTTGTGAACAATCGAAAAAAGGTTTTTACGCTCACTTCTGTAAGTCCTCCTCAAGTCCCTGAATTTCCCCTCATATTCCCCGGTCCCCTTGAATTCCCTGAAGTTTCCCAGGGCATAAAAACCCTGGACAACGCTCAACTCATGTCAAATACAACATGTTGTTCTTTGTACACTACTATGTCTCTTTTCATGACTAATTTTCAAAATTTTGCGGAAAACAAAACCAACAATGCTGAAAATCTGCAGAGAAGACTACGCACAGTAAACTGCCACCAATTAAGGAACTAAATGGTCCACTGATGATTCTGTTCAGTCAAATGAGTGTTCTATCAGCGGCCTGATAGCGAGCTTCCAAGGACTATTTTCCACTTTTTATCCAACAACATTAAAAAATATGATAATCTATGTGTAAGCCATGAAGTAAATCACTAGCTTATTGAGATTACATGTTTGCTAACACTAATTTGGAACTGATTTGGACCATGAAGTTTAATCTTCATACCTTCAGCTGGCACTGATTAGTAAGTAAATTTGTACAGTAGAAGAGAAGGGGGAAAAACTCTGTAAATTTTGGTTTCATGAAATGGCAGGGGTTTAGGCTAGTCACTAAACTGCGAGCATTGAGAAGTCATTGCTCATAGGTGTTGTTGCTGAGGATTATTGGGTATCCATCCATAATTTTCCCAGGTTTTAGTAATATTCCTCACTTGATTAGAGAAGTTGGTAAACTTGCAGTTTTTGGAAGTTTGGGACAATTTATGCTGGTGTCTGTAGGGATGAATAGGTTTTCACAGTATGTTGACTGGATGAGCTGAACTTGAGAAATTTTAAAATACACTGCAGAAAAATTTCAAAAAGAGGCAAGAACATAAGGTGAGCAAGGCGATGAGAAGCAAATATCTACTTACGCCATCTCTGGTGGGCAGACTATCCTACGTTTGCCTCCAACCTTCATTCCATTTAGGCCAACATCCCATCCCTTGATCACCTCATTCCTTCCTAGTCTAAACTTAAAGCCTGGGCCTTGTGTGGATGCATCAAACTGCTTGTTGTTGTTTTTAAATCTCCCTGTGTAGTATACATTAATCTGTTCAACAGACAATTGAGAAAACATTTAAAATAAAACGTATCTTGTGTTTTTCTGGGTGGACACACATTCACCGATATATGATAGTTTATCTCCATTTGATGATCCTCTACAGGGGTAGACCATTATCAAGTCATAGCCTTACTATCCAATTTATGTCTGCGAAGACAGCTTTTTACTTATGCAGATACAGCGGCAAAATTAAAGGAGCAATACAGCTTCATCTTTGAAATTCTAGCTTTACATGTTGTGTTAGATTTAACACAATCGCCAACAAACAAGGCTGCGGTCAGTTACCGCATTTGCTGTAATGATTGATACATCATTCTGATATCAGCATTAATGTAAACGATAACAAATAATGAGTCAAGCATCCCGTTATGCAATCCAAAACCTTAACGAGCTGACGGGCAATTTGTTGGGCAGCAATCTGATAAATTTGGTAAATCCATCAAAATTTAACAACACTAATTGTCAACACTATTTTTGTCCATCCTAGACCATCAGGTAATTTGTGATTGAGATTGGCAGCCTTGATGACACATTTCAAGTGAAAATGACAAAATAAGACTTGGCCAAAAGGAGTGTCAATAATAGTGCCTTGAATGACTTGCCTAAGATTTAAGCCTAAAATGCACCAGAGTAATGATGAGCTATCCACAAAGCACTTCTCACATAGTTAAAAAAGAAACAACTGATCCTGCAAAATGAGGGTTTAGGTAAGGGAGGATCTTACAATGCAACCAACTGATGACACTTCCCTATTTAAGTTTGATACGAGATTCTCATACGGGGCCTTCCATAAATTTGATCAGGCTAAAAAATGGGGTTTCCCCCTCTATAGTAGAAATGTTCCAAAAAACAGGATAATGCGATTAAATTGCTAAGATTGACACATCATAAAAAAAATACGGAACTAAAAAAAAAAAAAAAACGAGAAAATCTTCCAACACAGTTTAAAATGATGTTGATTGCATTTGAAACAAAGTCCTTAGAACTTGACTTAAACAGAGGCTGAAGCTTGGACAAGTACTCATCTCAATTCAGAAGTGAATGATCCGAGCTTCTGGGAGGTTTTCTCAACCAATAAAACTGAGATGAATCAAGGATGTACAGATTAACAAAAACAGAACCGTAAGTTGTAGCAGACAAAAATAAGAGAGGAAACATTAAGTCCTCGGGCAAAAATAAATCCAAACAAAATCTCCATCTAAATCCTTTGGCCCAGCCCCTAAGCTACTTAGGACTAAGCGCACTTTCTTTCCCATCCATAGCTACTTAAAAGAACATACTTCATTCCCTGCCTAAAATGATGAGACAAGATAGGCCAAACGTAGTGAAAGAGTCAGTTAAGCTCGGGAGGGATTTGCCTACAGTTTTCGGTACAAGAAGAACGATGCGTACGTTAAAATTTCACGAAAAATTGTCGCTGCGGAGATGTAACGCTTCCTTTTTAGGAGTCCTCGATAACTTGTTTGAACCGACCGCCGTGAATCTTCGAATCTCCGCGTCATAGACAAGAAGATGGTGGCGACGAAGCCAACCTGCTTACTACCGCCACGCTGCCGTTGTTGACATCATGATTTCTCGTTTGAGGTTAAGTAAGTTCTAAGTGAATGTTTCATATCCTACATGAATCTGTATCGCATTCTGATTGAGAATCTTAAAGAATTAAGAACAATGAGTAAGAATCTTAAACAAAGTAACCTACATAACCTTCAATTGATCAACAAAAACACACCGCCATCGCGACGCCGCCGTGTATTCTTCCACTACGCATTCCGCCACCATATTGATCGTGACAAGTACATTCGAAACCTCCAAGCGCGGTTCAAACGCTGTTTGAGGGCACCCTAATTTTTGGCACTTTCAAGTAAACTTTTCTCCCGTTAGCAGTCATCAAAAAATTTAGGAAAAAAGCTGTAAGCTTCGGTCACTTACTACTTTCGAATGACACAATAAAAAAAAAAATGACTTAACTGACTCAATACCGCCATTCCTCAGTCAGAGGAGGCTTCAAAGTGATTCAGAACCCTATTTAATTGATTCTCCAGAGTTCATTCAGGTGCTCATTGTATGTCTTTGAAAAAACTACTAAAGTGCTAAAAATCCTGACAATAATTTCATTTTCTGGGAACTCAAGTTGAAAACCTACTTTCTATTTTGTGCGAAAATTTAAATGACAATAGCCCTCCTATCAAATGAATTTGGTAGAATTGAACAGAAAGTTTGCTGAGACAAGACAAGGTTTTTTTTTTTTTTTTTTTTTTTTTTTTTTTTTTTTTTAAACCTTTCATGCAGCTGGTCTAGAGTGTAATAAGAAAAATAAATGCACCAAGATACTTACAAATTTACCGGGTTTTGCTACAGGGCCATCACCGACTTTAATATCTTCTACTGACACTCCTCCTTCCAAGGTTTTGGCAGGTGTTTTAGGTGTTTTTGCAGGAGTATTCTTCTCATTTGGTTTCACTGATGAACCCTAAAAAAGAGAATTTAACATGAAGATATGACAGATCAACTTTGAACAGCCTACAACAGTAACTGAATCAGCTTTTTTTAGAGGGGCGGAAAGCCAAAAACTCATGCGCCCTGGCTTTCATTGATCATGTAGGACGCTAGAGCTCATGAGCTTTTGGACGTATGCCTGTCTAGCAGAAGCTGACTTAATTGAAGACACTGCACAAATTACAACCTATAACTGGAAACTGTGTTGTGAGAAAAACGCACAATATGACACTGCCAATATTGACAATTTTTCGTGAAATTTTAACGTGCACATCGTTCTTCTCGTAACGAAAACTGTAAGATTCAACTATTTGCAGGCAAATCCCTCCTGAGCTTAACTGACTCATTGAAAATAACATTGCAAAGTTGAAAGGTGCACGAACAACATTTAGGCTTACAGGTCATTCTTCCATCCATCATTTCAGAGGCCTGACTTAACTTTGAAAAAAAGGGGGTTTCCACCTCCAACTACTCAGCTATTAATCAATGTTCTATCTATATCCTTGGGTGCGGAGAATGCGATAAGCTAATGAGGTAGGAGCAATAACAACCTCTACGCATATCGGTTCTTATTGGTGCAGTGTCCTCAATGAAGTTAGACATTCATCAGAACTCTCATTGGATGAGATATCAAGGAGTGAATCACAGGATGGATAATAGATTCAAAAGCATAGCGCTTGAGAACTTGAAAAAAAATTAACCTGAAATGTATTCAATTTTCCGTTACATTTCTGCAAGAGCTATAAAGGCTTATTTCGGGGATTTTTCTCAGCTTGACATCAGCGATGTATCACCTGATCTTTAGGGTGCTGTCACTCTTCAAGAAAGGCACATTTTAACAAGGGGTGCTTACTTCAACTTTTACTCAACTTTCCATGAGTTCAGCGGCACCCTTTATATTAATTCATTTTCTGAGAGTACCGGGTGAACTAGGCTCCTAGAAATTTTTTCAAACTTTGTTAAACCCTAAATGCCCCAAAAACCCAGTTTGGAAGAAGCTAAAAATAGGATTCATTCAATTGACGCTCAAATAACAATGGCAGGCGCTGATAACGTAGCCAGATAGGGGAACCGGCGTTTGTTGATTGGCTGAACTCATATTTAGGCATCACCTTGCTGCGTTAACTCGACTGTCAGCTTTAGGTTACTTCGATCTCCCTTTGAAAATGAATTTCAGAACATTTTAATGAACTTTTTGGTTTCTTCACAAAATTTTACAACAGAAAAACTATGCTGCAACCATGGCAAAATTCCTTGCTTCTGACCTCAACACTGTGACATTTGTGCTGCCGTGCTAAGGAAGAACGCCGTATGAACATTCGAGAGTTGCCAAAATTTCCCTTAATAAAATAGGAATTTTGGATGATATTTATGCACATTTTTCCTTGATATTTTAGATTGCATTGCGTACGAAATTTTCTGAAAATTTTGGAACAAAATATTCACAAAATTCCCAGTTATTCCGGTTTTTATCGAAGGAAACTTGGCAACTCTCGAGGGTTCATACGGCGTTTTTCCTTAGCACGGCAGTGTGGGTGTTCATTTCTACTAAGGAGGGCACCACTGCAATAAAAAACAAATCGGCATTTAAAAGTATTCATGATGCAAAAGATTTCAACTTACATTTAGGAGAGGAGTTTTGGGCTGTTTCTTGTCACTTTTGGCATTGGGTGTCTTGTTCTCTTGTTTTGGCGTCTTGTTATCCTGTTTTGGTGTCTTGTTATCTTGTTTTGGAGTCTTGTTCTCTTGCTTGGATCCCTTTCCTTGTGTCTGAGGCGTCTTTGCCTGTTTTTGCCCTGAGTCTTTTTGCGGAGTTTTGATGGGCGTTTTTTGATTTTGACCCTTTTTATTCTTGGCAGGTGTCTGAAAATAGGCATCAGTTCAATTTCGCTTGCAAAAATTAAATTCAACTTCAGCTGACACTGATAGAATGTATAATGATAGGAGGCATACGCATGAACAATGATGAATGAAATGAATCATTCATAAGGCCCATTTCAAGGAACAAATAGTCTTAAGTTCCTGAAAACTCTCAAGCAACGATCTTCCACAACCTGACCATCTGTTACACCTAATCAACACATTTCTGAAGGGAGTGGTTTTTATTTAGCATATTAAAATCATCACTTCAAAGCGTATTAATCGTGCAAATTTTGGGACTGACAAAGTGAATACAACTTACATTGGGTCTCAATTAAGGAGATAGGAATCAAGCCATACGCACATTGTAGGAAAAAATAAATTAGGAGCAGGCGTCCTTGGTGAGCTTAGATGGGGAAAAATGTTTCCAAGGAACCTCAGTTTACACTCCAGCAAACTTGGTATATGCAATTTTCACAAAAAAAACTAGAGTGTTAAGGCATATCTATGCTCTTGAAGGCACTCCATGTGTTGTGCATTAGATAATGTATGGAATAATCCAAATCCGTAGCTGCAGCATTTTTTAAATATCTCGGTCCAAGGCAAAACCTACGCTAAAAATATCTTTACTCATCAGGTTGGTTGAGATAGCTTCATGAGGAGCCGAAGTCTAAGGTTAAACGGGACAAGACACTACTTCAGACAGCAGAGTAATGAACAGGTAAGTTTGATATTTATCTGAGGCATTCATGGAAAAAGTTGTGATGATGGAACCTGATTTAATGAATTTCAAAATTGTAATACAAAATGATTGAAGGGGCAAGAATTTTGGGAGCATTTTAATAAAATGAGTATAACTCACAACTATTGCACTAGCTATTTGTAAGAATTAAGGCAACTGCACCACTTTTTGTCAAAATGACTTAACCCAGGATGATTTTTAAATATTAGAGAATCAGCCCTTTGCTGGTGGATGCATTCTAAGAAAAACTTTCAGCACCCTTGAAATGAAGATGTTTCAAACTGGACTGGTTGTACAAGTTTTCCCTTGTCACCAATTCAAAGTTGTGAAAGCATGTACATAATGTGAAAACAGTGGCTACGCTTTATTCATTACACTAAGTCAAATAAACAAATACAGAGCTATCTTCCTTTCAACTAGAGCTGACTTGGTTCCATTTTACCAAACTCAGTTAGCTATGCACTTCTGAAACATCAGGAGTACGCACTGTGCTCTAGTGCATCCATCCTATACTTACAAAAATTTTTTAGCCAGTTCCAAATTATACCAAACAACCTGATACCTAGAAAGGATGCAAATTGTTCTCAACCACTTGGGGGTAACAAAATTATGAGCATGCCTGAAAAATCGTGGAGACTAAGAAAGTTATTCTGGGATGGTGGTTTTGATCCCCATACTATTTCAGCGGGTATCCACTCTTAAACTGCGATGCTAAGAGCTGATACCTATTTTACTCTTTTGTGAAAACGGCGCATTTAAAAAATTTAAAAACATTTCTATGAGTGGATGCGTATGACTTGCTTGTGAAAGCTAACGATCAGGTGAAAGTATAAGACTTTTTATCTGCGTTTATGTTGCCTTTACCATAAAGATGGACTGCCTTGTATAAATGTACCAAAATTTTAACCAGGACCATGTGTCGACTTCTTCAGCGCATTACAGAAATGTACCTGAGCTTAGAACAATTCGTGCCCTACAAACTCAGTTGGACAATCCGAAATCTTTAACAGGAAACATGGCTTCCTGAAAAACTGATCATTGATCCCATCCTTGACAGCTACCTATCAGGCACCTCTTGACACCCCCTCCCCCCTCTGATTCAGGACAAAAAGCAGAAATTGCAGTAAGTATTGAATAAATCCACAGCATAAATAATATGAGTTATCTTCTGCAGTCATATATTGTTATAATTGGGGGGGGGGGGGGAGGAGGAGGGGTATAAAAAATTTTTCAAATGAGTACTATTTACGCCATGATCCAATAATGCCAAGAAAAAATCTTGTGAAGTACGGTATCTTAAACTGATTTTGTAGATAGAAAACAGGGAATATCATTATACATCATCCTTCTCTTTATCCCTTCTACTTTCCAACCTTTGAGACTTGATTGTTCCTTTTTCAAGTACATATCAGGCACCCCTTAACCTTACCCTCTTCATAGACCCTGACACGATTGATGAACGGCTCTTTAGTTCATGAGATATAAATGCTGTTAAAACTAGCAGTGGTCTCACCTCAATCTCATCTTCATCACTATCTTCATCGCTGTCATCTGAGTCCTCTTCATCTTCTACTTCCTCTGCCTCTAGATCTAACATATCAGCATCACTGTCGTCATCGTCTTCCTCATCATCATCCTCCTCATCCAGATCGTCGTCATCTTCATCTTCCTCGCTGTCATCGCCTATGCAAAATGAGAAAGAAAATTCAGAAATGAGTTACCTTTTATTTTTCGGGAAGATAACTTTGTTTCTTTTGTGAATAATGGAATGACGAGCTGGCTACTTGTAGGTCCTGAGCCTTAATTTGAAAATTGCTGGTTGGTTGTCCTTAAACAATTTCTTGTCAGAAAAATCAAAATTAGAGCATGGCATCTAAGAAATTTTGAATTGAAACTGCATTTCAAAATAGTTTTTTTCAACAAACATTACTTAACATTGTTTCACAATTTTTTTATACTTCACAAAATTTGTTTTGGTCCAGTAAAAAAGTGCCCATTTTTCGATTCAGGAAAGTCTGTTCAGAATTTTGTAAGAGAATTCGTTACCCAGATTACGTTTTCATGATCATTGAGCAACCGATGAGAGGTTGGTTGAGAAAAGTGAGGCTAGAAACCCTGTAATGATTTTGAGAACTTTGTTGGGGTACATTCTGATTACTGCACATCAAAATATTACAACAGCACAACAGCCTCTTAAACGACCCTACGCCTGAACTTTGATAGCTTTAGTTGAGCTTAAAAGTTAATTCCAGAGAAAACGAGTGGCACCGTCATGTTATATGCAAAATGTTACACAACCAAAAGCATTTAAATTGCAAGTTTTCGACACATGCGGGAACTTCATTGTTCATGAGAAAGGCTAGAGTGGGAAGCATCGCTGCGCAAGAAGGAATATTTCGTGAAAAAAATTTTGAAAACAAGATAAAAATCTTACTATCATCTGAGCCTTGCATCAGTCCATTTGGAATACTGTCATCATCGTCATCTTCATCATCATCGTCGTCGTCGTCATCATCATCATCAGAATCTGAGTCTGAATCTGCACAGGAGACAAATATATTAATTCCTTAGCACAAAATGAGAAGACCTATCAGTTGCGGTTTTCACTTACATGAACCTAGATACCATGAAGAACAGAGCACAGAATACTAAGACACCCAGCAGAGGTTACATTTTATATTTTGGGATGTAATGTTCCTGATGATTTCCTGGTTACGAAGAGTTTATAAAATTAACCTTTCCGAATGCCAACCTCGAGTGAAGCAGTCTTTTTTGGCCTTTTCCAGCTCATTCTTTAAGGGAAATGTTTCACTGACTCCATTTGTTCGCAGGAATTTGATTTTTTCGCCTCTCTCATCTCCCCGACATGCTGGGAAACAAAAGATCTTCTCAGTCTCTAATGAGCTGTTGCAACACTTTCCATTAGATATTGCTTGTAAAAATACCCCCAAAAAAAACCTTTTCTCCACATTGGCACATAGTATGTTTAACTTTAAAACCTCATAGTGCTTAGGAGGAACTAAAGCCCAAGGATTAGCTCTCATGGGCTATTTGAGGTAGTGGAAAAAAAAATGAGCTTGTAAGTAGTATTATATAAAAAAATATCAAAATTCAGCTGACGCCAATTTTCTCAGTATTCTGTGCATAATTCTTCAGCAGAAAAATGCTCAATGATAATAATTTGGCACCCTCTTCGGTAGTGGTGATGAGAGGATTTCATTAAGTCCTTGGGAACTTATTTTTCACAGCTAAAAAGGAGCCTTATTTTTCAAGCACATACAAATATCAAAAGTTGAAGACACATTCTAACATACGAACTCACAATTTCTCCCAACCAAGTGTGGCTTAATTATTTTCAAGCCCGAATTTATTTTTTTTTTTTTTTTTTTTTTTTTTTTTTTTTTTTTTTTTTTTTTTTTTTTTTTAGTGAAAATCTGTCAGTCGGCCACTATTCAATTAAGGAACTTAATTGAGGAACATATTAAGGAACATATGTCCCCTAAATGATGAAAGAGACTTAAATAAGAAACACTAAATGAACTAACCTTGTTTTAATTTCTTGGCATCAGGAGCCAGCTGTTTTTCTTGCTTCCTCTTGACAGGAGAGACGACAGCTTGCTGCGGCTTTTTTAGCGATTTTTTTGATACGTCTGCAAAAAGAGTTTTCAACAAAATTGTTTAAAACATAGCTGAGAGAATGTAAAGAACATGGAAAAATTTGCTTGAACTAGAGTGTGTAAAATTTCTAAGGGTCTTCCACTCCAAAATTCACAGGACTATCTACGAATGTGAACAGGATTGAGGAATTTGGAAGAAACCATAATGAGTTCATGGTGCACAAAATTGTGAAAGGAACAATGCGAGAGATCTCATAAGTAGGCCAATCCACTTTACGTCCTTTTTATTAGGGGCCATGTCCTGATTCATAAAAGAATTTCAGAATGTTAGTTATGATTTCCATCCCTTCAAATACCCACGACCTTATGTTAAGGGCAGTGTACAGGGCTGAAACTTTGGTACACATGAATTTCACCAAATTTGACTCCAAATTATTACTATTAAGGTCAAAAAGAAGAACAAAAAAACTCTTCTTTTTATGACTTGCTTTACAGTGCCCTACCCTCCCAGAATAGTTCAGAATTTCTTGTGAATAGCGCTGTTCAGAATATGCAAGTAATGCGCTAGTATCGCAAATTTCAGCATGGACTGATAAATAAACATGCGAAATTTTTAAACCTCAGGAATTTTTCGTCACCCTACACAAGATCAGGGCTTTTCCACATTTCTGCCCACATAATTGAGCAAGTTCTTTGCACGCTTGCAATATTAGTGCCAAAGAACAAAATCTCTACTAACGAGGCTACATTACCAGTGAACAAAAAATATCAAAATAATGACAAATTACCTTCAACAGGTTTCACTTCAGTTTCACTTTCAGATTCGTCCTCTAAGTCTTCTTCATCTTCACCTAACATACCAGAAAACTCATCTTCAGGAACAATATAACCTGGAAAAGAGGCAAAATTAATTTTCAGAAGTAACTCCAGATATTAAAAGACGATTTTCAGCTCCATGTCTGCACAGTATATTACAGTGTGCAGTACACCGAGTACACCAGTATTGATTACAGCATATTAGATACATTTTCCAGGAGTCCAAATGTATGGCTTATAACCAACTATTCTAAGAGGAACTCAGCAAAATCTAGCGTAATAGCACGGCTAGATTTGAGCATGCAATGTAATGTTTCAACTTTTTCCTGCACAGTATTGGGTTGGTACTTCAAGGTCTACTTCTAATGGTACTTTGGTACTACTAACTAAGGGCTAAGGACTACTTTTGGTACTACTTTGGTAATTGGTACTACTTCTAATGTGCAACTTGGTTCTCTCATTTAGAAATGAATTATCCACAAGAAAAGCTTCTTTCACAAAGCTTTAATTTAAAAGCTTATCTTAGTAATAATATATAAAAAGAAGTATCAGGAATATCTTAACTCTCAAAAAGTATTACCAGTTAAGTGAACGACTCCTTTTCCTTTGCATTCAAAGACAACTTTTGATCCAGCCATAAAGTTGAGATCCAGCGTTTCCTGCAGAGCATGCGCCTTAGATAGATTACACAAAATGTGTTCGTTGCCATCTGAATGAAATACAACTGTTAAAATGTCATTGTCGGACCTAACTGATGTTACATCTAAGGCTGCTTTTGACAGATGAAATGATTTCTCAACCGTAGTGGAGTACTGCTTGCCAGATTCTAAGACCAAAGCTGAAAAATATAGTTTAAATTAAGGATTTCAACAGCAACTTTTAAAGGTGAGAGCAGACATTATTGTTCTCTGAGGCCCCATTGTGAGGATCACCCCTGTTCAAATCGCATCACAGTTTTATGAAACATATTGTGCCAAGTGGATTCCGCTTGAAACACAGAATGCACATTGAAAAACGATTGATCTTACTTACTTCGGAGAGGCAAAATCCAGCAAATCAAAACTGGGCGGGTAAAAATTGTGAAACACCAGTTTCTTATACAGCACTAAGTTTAGCGAAGACATTATAGCGGATAGGATAATTTTCTTCAGAATGTGGGGACAGAACGAGAGACTACTTGATGTTTGGATAAGATAAGTGGGAATATCTACATCACCATGTATAATTCCGTAAGCCTTTTCTTTGCGTCAAAATTCAATTCTCAATTCTTCAATTCTCTACATCACAGGGTAAACAAACCTCAAGATGCAAACACCTCCTTTCTTTTTCTCTATGGATTCACGCATTTACTGCCTACGCAAAACTAGCGTCAGGCGATCTACTGTCACAGGCGGAAAGGGCATCGACTCTTGGTAGGAATGACCTCTAAGATTAGACAAAAGTCAGCCTGAACATGAGACATGGATGATTAAACAAAGAAAATTGTGCACAGGTGAGGGTAGGGATGGATGATTATCAAACTCAAATGCGATTAATCGAAACTTTTCGATTGCGATTTCAAATACTTTGGAAGCGAATTTTCGAATATTTTTGATTACGGCTTCGACTTTTCATTTTTTTGTGACCGTGGAACATGGTACGATTAGTGATAGATGTACATAGAGGTGTTGTCAGCTAAGTTGACAGTTGTTTCCTTTCGAGTTGCAGGCGTTTTCACGTCACTACTATCAACAAGAAAAGAACATCTGGCTCTCTCAGAAACAAGAACACAAGCTTCAATAAGTTTTTAATACTTTCAAACCTTGTAACACTTTAATTTTCAGCAACACAGAAATCACAACCACAAATGATTCGCAAATCATAACTGATAAGTAGTTTTGGTGCGATACGATCATGAGACTGATGTTTTCAATGTAGGTAGTAGCGAGCGCCGCTTTGTTCAGAGGCCCAAATTCGTCGTTGGCGCTTGCAAACCGAAAGTAACCAACCTTCAACTTAGCTGACGACACCTCTAACACTTTTAACTGAGACGATCAGTCATTACTGTATGGAGTTGAGGAAGAGTTATAATTAATAACGAGATTGACGATAGGGATGGATGGTTATCGAATTCGATTATTCGAGTCTTGCGATTCCGAATACTTCAGAAGCGAATATTAGAATGTGATGCCATTATCTTGGTGCCGATAATTCAAACATCAAATACCTATTCAATTATCTTAACATTCGACCATCCCTTGGTGAGGGTCAGAGGGTAGAGACCAAGTGCAATGCACTGACAAGAGCCTGCCTCAAGGTCCTTCATCACGACAAAGCCATGTGGTTCTGCTTCGGCTGTTCGGACGATCTGAGAGAATGAGAAAGACTTGGAAGTATCATGTTTAACAACCGAGAATGCCGATGTCTTTGATCGGTAATCAAACATCTGCATGACACTAAACATGATAATTTTAGAGCTTGACAGCTCGGGAATAAATGATGTAGTGGAATAGAAAGGTGTAGGGCTGGCAGGAAATGAGAGGTGCATGTCAAGGGATGGCGAACTGATTAAAATGCGAAGGAAACTGGAACATAGGACAAAAAAATTAAATTGACCGTATTGATGAAAGAAAACAAAAAAAGGAAGGATTTAGGGTACAGAAAGAAAAGAAACAGATTGAACGCAACGCGGTCTAAAATCGTAACCACGTGCCGGGTGGACAAAACGAACAGGAAGGCTTTCAAAGTTTCAGTTTAAAAAGTCATACGTACCCCAAAACATCTTGAAATCGCTGGTAAGTAATTAGACACGAATGTAAAACAGTATAGTCGAGACTTAAAATAGAACTAGGTAAATAAAATTCGAAAGAGAATACACGGCGGGTACGGGGAGCAAATCAGTAAATTGCAGAAGAGAATGGAGGCAACTTGACACGAGGTGGACGGTGTACGACGACAAGCCGGGGAAAAAGGGAAAAATGAGGAAGCAAGGCAAGGCAAGAGGGAAAAAAGGGAAGGTAGCAATCAGACAGAAAATCCCTCGCATTGCCCGGATTGAGTTTAAAAAAATCTGGGTAAATTGTTATATCACAAATAAATTTCCTTTTGAATTTCCTTGTCATGCATTTGTCATAAGAAAAAAAAGGATCATGATCATACAAGGTATTCTAAGAAAAAATGTCTTTGAAAAAAGTGAACGCAAGGGGGCGTTCTAACCCTTAGGGTGGAACACTGTCGCTGCTCAACGCGCGAAATTTAAAAACCGCAATGCTAGACAACGATCAATGTCGGTGGTGTGGAAATAATACTTTCTCAACTTCTCTACACCTACCCACCGGTACTAACTATTCAGGTGCTCTGATGCGATGATGAAATTGGCAAAGATGAATAGTTCGATGACTGAAGTCTAAAAGTGCATGCCTCAAATTGCGACATTGCAAATTCTTGCTCAAATTTTATCGATCGAAGAACCTATAAATACAGAGCAGTGCTACTTTTTAAGAGAATTGATACATACCCTGCTGGTATCGGCTGTTGAAAGTTTGGTTTTATAAACCTCAAAAACTGATAAAATTTTCGAAGAAGGAAACCTTTTTCGGGGGGTTTTTTACGTAAAATTTACAAGAGGCGAAATTCAAGTAAAAAAAAAGTGTTAAAAAACTCCAGGTAAAAAAGAGTGTAAAAAAACGCGATTTTTTTAAAACATTTTTTTAAAGTAAATTTTACGTAAAAAAATCGTCAGAAAACCAGGGAATTATTTTTCGAAATATTTTACGAGATCTTTTTCAGTCCCTGTTACTGGTGTTCAGAAGTCAATATTTTCATTAGTGGATTTGAGTATATAGATTTTGAAATTCACCATGACCAAGATGCTAAACATAAGAAATTTTTTTCAGCAAGTTTAAAGACTAGAACTAAATGTTGATTGTCAAATTTTGGCTTTTTAAGTAGCACACTTTGAGAGAACCTTGCAATAACATTTTGGAAAACTTGTGATTTTTTGCCTACTTAGACAAATATTGCATTAAAATTGTATGTAACACGTTCATGCTAGGTCTGCTGCCTGGCTGATCGCCTTTTTTGAGCCAGCAGAAAATTACAAACAATACCCGCAGAGCACTCAGTAGTCAATGGGTACACCCACGATGAACTGAGCCAGACGAGATGAGGTTTTTTTTTATTTTTTTCTCCTTCATAACACAATTCCACTTTATTGGACTTACATATTTCTTTAAATGTGCGATTCAGTAGAACATCAGTGGTTAGATATAGAGGAGTGGGAGTTAACACATCCCTAGTGGTCTTGAAAATGAATGATAGAAATTATATGAGCCTCCTCTTAAACTGTAGCAAAGCAACAAGGCACAAAAGAAATGGCACTGGGGATTTTTTACTGGACTCAACTGACAGAACTTAGGAAATTCCTTTTTTCAGCTGCCATTTGTTTGAGACTTCAATATTATAGTTGCGCATGAGGGTGGTATCATTCCTCATACTCTCAAAATATGTGAACCAAAAACACCGATAGCCACGATTAGATCATGAATTTTGCACCTAAAATATTCTGCCTCAAACAAAATGACACGTGAGTATGTTTTGGACTTGTAGTCTTCATATATAAACATCCATTCAAAAAAGGACATTAGGTTGAGGACGTTCACCTGTGGTCATTTGTATGGTTGCAGTATTTTTGCTTTTACACTATCTTTCTCATTCTTTGAAGAATCTATTCTTCCTTACATTTCCTACAAGATTTTCCAACCTAACTTTGTTTAAATTAGTAGAACCTTATCAGAGAAAAGAAACTGATATTCAAGGCAACGAATTTTGAAGGATGGGATTACACAATGGGGGAAGTCTGACTTTTTTGAAATATTTCCTACAATATTATGGACTAAAAATTTTTGCTGTCAAAAAATGAATTAAAGAAAAAAATCAATTTATTTGACATTCTTTAAAAACAATAAAATTTCTTACTATCTCATTAGATTCAAGCGTACATAGTAAATACAAATAACTAGTTCTGTTTCTTTTTTCAACAATTAAATAGTACGATTTTCTCAATTAAAACAAACAATTAGACTATGTACATCATAGAATTGCCGAAAAATTAAAAAGAGAGAGGAAAAAACGAATATACATCAACGATTACAAGAACCTCAACATAAAACTTATTTATACAATTGTTCTAGAACGCGTTTCAACAGAATAAAACAATACAAGACAAAAATATTGAAAAAATAATCAACTTCAAGTTACAAATTTTTGAAGAGACAGAGTTCAAGAGGATATGTAAGGTATAGAAACAAAATTTTGAAACAAATGGACATACGCGCACAATTCATCAGCTCCGTAAAACAAACGAAAAAATAACATTTGCTTTCAGGTTTTTTTTTACTTTTGATCATAGTATATGAAGGTCATTCAAAGAGTAGGTTCCGCTACTTTCATCTTCTGAACCAAAAATAATCAATTCAGTGAACAGGTACGTTTTAGACATGCATACTTGTTTTGAAGACAAGCCGGAGATTTCAAAAATCGGTTGACAGATTTGGAATAAAGCTTAATTTTACTGAGATCTCCTACCGTCGAGCTTACTTCCCACTCTGCTAGCCCTGCGAACTAAAATTTTCTAATTTTTCCCTTAAATCTAGAGTACTGAAAGCAAAAAAGTTGACATTATTTTGATTCTTATACTTTCATTTTTAATTGGGTGTACTTCCTTCATATTTTTGACTGACCAGCTAGCCAGAAAATCTGATTTTTTTTATAGAGATTGGAATCTTTGGTATATGTTGACCTCTTGGTGCACTTAAGATCGAGTAATTCTGACTCAAGAGTGCTCCATTGCATCAAATATTTTGAAGGATACAAAAATATACTACTAATGTCATATTCTGTTAAATTTTTGGAGGGTTGGGATTACAATTTTTCCAACACAAAAGAAAATTTTTCTAGCCATCACACTTTGACATCACTGTCAAACAAGACGTAGATCTAGCAATTTATATATACTAGCAAAAAATCTGATTTCCTTTCTTGATCATGAGTATTGAGCAAATATACCAAATTAACAAAGTGAAAATGAAGATTTAAATAAGATCAACTTTTTGGCTTTTAACACTACTTTGACATCAAGGAAAAATGTAGAAACTTCAGTGCAATCCTTTGATTGACTAGAGGAAGGCCTGCGACAACTGTGGTTAGTGTTAGGAAAGTTGAATTCTCTCTCAAACATATTAATTGATGTTCAAAAATCTTGCTTCAAATCCAATGGTATGCCAAATATGTATATTTATGCTAACTTGGTATATCTTCTTTGATTTAGAAGTTATAAAACAGTAAAATTTTCTTTTTGAATGACCCTCGTATATTGAGTATTTTTATTTCATGAGAGAATATAAAGGATAAATAACGTCCAATGATTGCTAGATAGAGAAAAAGGAAGCACTTAATGGCCCTTGATGCAGTGCTACAATTTTAGATCCTTTTGAAGGATTTTCACTGGTACAAAATAACACTTCGGTCTGAGAAAAATCCTTGTTTAAGGCCGTTGAAAATAAAAAAAAGTTCCACAAGAACTTTAAAGAAAAAGAAGAAGTTTTACAAGAACTTTAAAGAAAAGAAAAAAGGAATTTTACAAGAATTTTGAGGAAGCAATTGGGAGACTGGGATCCAGAATGGTCATGTCATTTGTTACGGATACCAAACTGAAACGTGGACAACTCAGACAGAATGGACCTCATCTGTACAGATAATAAATTTTAAAAGGAAACGATTCTGAAATTAGTTGATTGCTTTAGAAAAGAATCCTTTGCCGAAAGAGTAAGGCTAAAACTTAGGACTGGGTGAAAATAGTTGCTGAAAATGTTCTGTAAGTAATAAGACTAAAAAGTTAGAGTGAAAATATCTCTGATTATAAGACAATTCACATAATACATCATACATGAGAGACGTTTCGCCCACAATTATTAGACATACAACATGCTTTTAAAAGTTTATCTAAAATTAAAATGCCTACATCAAATGTGTTCGCTGTTTAATCTATTGATTTTTACCTCCACATCTAACCTCCACAAATAAATGGCCAGAGAAATACAAGTATCACATTGTGCGCATTATTTTTATGTTTCTTGCGTTGAGTGCATTTTTAAAAGTTAGTGTTTTAATTTTAGGTCAACTTATGTAAGCATTTTGTCACAGGTCTAATAATCATAGGCGAAGTGTCTCGTATGTTAAATGCAGAATGAGAATTGACGCACCCAGTAAATCTCTATCTTTATCACACAACCCCGATTACACTCATTCCGTTTCACTTACTATGCTAACCTGCAAATCTGAGAGGAATTAAATAGAAATCACACAAACTCTCAAATACATTACGATGTAAATCTTACTTTCCTGTTTGAATAAAAGAAAAATTGAGTGATGAGCTGAAAGGAAGAGGAGATCACCACACCCTCTGTTATTAATTCTTTGATGAAATTATAAAGACACCTGGTTCTTTTTTTTACACTTCCATATTGTTTTGGAGACCCTTATGCACTCTTTGAGATCACACATTTTTGAATCATTACAAAATTTTCTTTAAATATATTCCATAACTAACTGCGACAGCTGTAGTGCTTTGAGGGAATTTCTAAAATATCAACTGGTGCCAATTGACACAAAGTGCTGCGGTAAAATTTAGGATAATCTCTTGAACTTTTCAAATGGATTATGGTTGCTCAAAGCACTGGGATATTGAACAATTAGGACAACAAGACTGAATCCAAATTAGCTTTGATTTGGTAGAGGATTACGAGAAGTGAGGAATGGTGACTGATCTTAAGAAGCCGATGTGACATTCCATAATTTACTAAATTTTTGTTGGGTGCTGATACCCAAATGACTTGAAGCAATAGAACTGAACAACTCCTAGATAGAGAAAGATGATTTTGTATACTCTGCTTTTCATGCATAAGGCTTTCAGCATGAGTGAAGCAAATTTATGAAATTGGAGCAAAACTTTACTTGTCTAACCATTGGCAGGAGTTTAAAAAAGTTGATGGATTCAAAATTAAATCTGTTCATTTAAAACGAAAAAAAGGAACATGGATTGAACTAAAAAGCGTTGAGCCTATGAAACAAAGGGCTAAAATTTTTCATGATAGTTACCTTTCTGACAGTGGGCTCAGTTTAGTGATGAAAACAGAAAAGAAAAAAAAATGAGTGACATTATAAAAAAAAGTTGGAGTCTACCTAGGAAATGAGGGTAGAGTTGGCAGGTACCAGGTACAAAAAAATAAAAAAAATATTGACCGAAACGTTTCGATAATGGTCGAGTTTTATTCTTAAACAAACATTTTTTGACAACAAACGAAATGGTACAATATCGAATACGAAGCAAATAAGTTTTCCGAGAAAAAAAGTAAAAATAAAAAAGATAAAATCTGAACTGGAACTAAATAGAAATGTACATATTCACACTTACGAGTTACTTATAATTTATAAAATTATCACAAGGCTGGTTGTCTCGGGACTTCTATCCTTCCAGTGTTCTTAGAAAACATGCTCCATGGCAGTTCTGGAGATGGCGCAATACAAGGTGGCAACAAGGACATGACTCAGTTACACTCCATGTATTCCCACCAATCTTTCTCGTAGCCTTCGTGCACATGTTCAAGTAATACTTTTCTCCGTCCATCGCAATACCTGAAACAAGGTTAATAATAATTATTATTACTGTAGGATTGTAGGTATACCATTCGCTTCAGGCTTTTGTTGATGGTTGGAGGACATCATTTATTGCAAGTATAAAAAATACGCTCAGGCCATGATGGATTGAGAGAGGGATTAAAGAACCAATGCGGGAGATGCAGTCAGACACCCCAAGGGTACTTTGTGCCTCTTTCATATAGATGTGGCTTAGCATTATGATAGTGGTGTGTTTATGCCTTAAACAAACATGTTAAGGTATGTAGAGGTAGGCAGAGAAATAGTGCTGGGTCCACACCATTTCACAGGGAAATAGAAGCCAAGAAATTCCAAAAAATTTTCAATTAGAGTCAAAATAATGTTATGCTCTGATGAGTACCACACAAGACTGAGGAGGGGAGAGTTTTCAACTCAGGCAGCTTGCATTGGCATATTAAGTTGAGGTCACGCCGAACCAATGCAAGCTGCCTGAGCTGAACACTCTCCCCTCCTCAGTCTTGTACTGATATTTATTGGAGCGAACAATTTTTTCGACCCTAATTGAAACATTTTTGGAATTTCTTGGCTTTTTTTTCTCCGCGAAATGGTGTGGATCCAGCACCATTTTTCCCCCTTGTTACATACAATTCGGCCCATTTCTCAGTGCTTTTTCTCATTTGTATGTATATGTATTAATGATGAAAAAAATAAGATATAAATAGAATATGAGGCGTTTTTACAGATGAGCTGGAAATTGTAGTTCCTAATTGCAAAAGAAATCAAACTGTAATACATGCTAGAGGTTCTAGGTAACCAAAACATTAAATTAAGAGTAAGTAAAAGGCTGAAGTTGCCTAGCTGACGCACTACTCGCAAAATTCCCTGATTTTGCTGGGTAGGCGTAAATTCTTTGACTTTCCAAGTTTTTTAAAACGCCAGTAACACTACTACTATTGCAAGATTCGGAAAATACTTTGAGGGCTTGATTTAAATACAGGAAATAAGGTAGGAAACCGCCTTACCGATATTTGTCTTGAACTTTTTGTTTAATATCAGCCAAATTTTCAGAGGTGATCTCCCGTTCTAGATATTCAGATAACTTCTCCGTAGCGCTTTCTAAATCTTTTTGGTTATCCTGAAAATGTTGACAAATTACACATTAATAATGGCAAAAGGAAATTTTCGAATCAAGAGCTGAAAACAAAAAGCAGTGCATGAGAAGACAATTTTAAAGTCAGGAACAACGATCAAGTGTCATTTTTACTTGCAGGAATGTCTGTTTCCTTCTGTTTCCAACTAACAGGTTCTACTGCAGTTTATTTTAACTGACAATAGATGCATCTACTTGAAAAATGATGTGAAATTACACACAGAGCAACTCTTGAGAACTTTCTGCGTTTGCAAAGGAAGTTGTGTGTATTATTTAATGCTAAAATTAGACGAAAACTGACATTTTATAAGATTAATTTAAAAATTCTAGGTTACATAGTGTTTTGGGAGCAAATTCACCTATTTTTTAATGAATTAATAAACAAATTTAACGAATTCTCACCTCAAATAGGACAGACTGATTATTTTTACGTAAATAATAGGCGAAAACATAGGTGTACATTAGTGTTTGTCGACACTGACATAGAATATCAACTGCCTTCTTCAGAAATTGAACCTGGAACAATATATGACAAACCATTGATATTTGTGCAACGATTAAAAATCAATACACAGTAAAACCTCGTTACAACACAAGGAGGAATCAAGAGTTTAAATCATCATACCAGTCAAATTTCAAACAATTTCAAAGAAAGCTAAAAACTGTTAAGAAACCCACTTGCATAAAAATCAAAAATATTTGTTGTGGGAACTAGTTTTGAGGCATTGGGGTGTCATCTTTAGTAGCATGACAGATTGTGTTATTCCTTTCTTGTGCACATGGCAAGAACTGATTGATTACGTCAATGACTGATGAAGTATTCTTGCCTTAGTGGCAATGGTCAGAATTCTGAACGTCTAATACACTCAGCAACACGTTGGTGATTCCTGTTAACTCCATTTTGAAAATATCTCTCTGATGTTGCGATATATGTATTGTTTTCCTTATGTTGAATTTGAGTCTTTAATTTATTCACTTGAGGGACACTTAAGGAGTCTCTCTTAAGATTACTTTCACAACTGAAACTACGAACAGACCAGCAAAAGTAATCGGGTATCCCCTGGGCATTGTTTAGCAACTGGCAGAGGGGTCATTCCACCCTAGATCAGGCCAAGGTTTTGCCCTGATAACCTAAGATTTTAATGAAACTTGGTTTACTCATTCTATACAGCATACCAAGCAAAAAGCCATCAATTTTAAATTTCAACAGACAGGGGTTAAAAATCTTTCCTTTGGCAAGGAATAATCCAGAGGGAACAATCTCATTTGTATGATTTGCAGCCAAAATAATGGTTAGACAAAGTCATACAAAGATTGATACATTATTCAGGCCTACATTCGAGACAACACATGGTTGTCCAAAGTGCCAAACCTCAAATCTCTGTTTGCAACGTTACAGCCTTCTGGGCATACTTTATTTTTTCTTTAGGAAACCAGTCAATGTGATATCTTGAAAATTTCCTTGGTTTTTCGTCTCTGTATACAGAATATTCTGAATAAATTTCAAGCAATAAAGTTAACTAGTTTTTCTTTGGAAAAATAAAAGAGGCGCGAAAATTTTGAAACACCGTGAGGGAGATACAATACAAGGTCTGTTCAATAAGAAACCGGATTTCGGTGATAACTAGCCCACAATGCGTCCAAATTGGGTTTTCTTGGACTTTCCTAACAGCTGATAACATGTTGAAGAACACTAAACTCTCTGATTTTGTTTATTTTGATTTATGTTCATTCTGTGTCACCTTGAATACGAGTAAGTCAGGTGCCTTCTGCGATTGTCATAATGCGATAACTGATAGAGCAAAGATTTAACATGTAATTTTGTTTTAAACTCGGTATACCTTGTACCGAAACTTTTGGTATGTTAAATGAAGTTAACAAAGATCATTGTATGTATAAGTTTTTCTCACTGTTTCTAGTGATTTAAACAATTCAAAACGGGTCAGTAGTGCGTCGAAGATGCGGAGCACGGAAATCGACCATCAATGGCAACTGACATTTGGCACGAGGAAGAAGTGCGGGCAAAAGTGCTCGAAAATGGTCGTTTCAAGCTTGCTGAACAGCGTGATACTTCTGAAGGCTCTGTGCATACAATTTTGATAGAATGTTTAGACATGAATCGAGTTACAGGTAAACTTGTCCCGTGATTGTTGTCCGTTGAATAAAAATTCAACCAAATGCCAATTGCCCTTTAGCTTCTTGAACGTTCTAACAATGATCCAACATTTTTGGATAGGATAATTTTCGGTGACAAAACATGAGTGTATGGCTACGATATGGAGACAAAACTCCAATCATCCTTGTGAGTTGAGAAAGGTAGTGCAAGCCCGAAAAGAGAGAGACAAGTTTGGTCAAACATAAAAATCGCAGAACACCCATGAGGTTGCCTTACTTCAAGCCACGTACCAACTAAGCTAGTTAAAGATTTTTCAAGTTTATGAACGTAGCATTCTCAAGTGTAGTATTTCCAGCTATCAAGAAAGTTCAAGAAAACCTAATTTGCTAATCCTTTGTTTTCTTTATCGGGAACTACGTGATTGACTTACTTACTTTCTTTTTCGCCCGATGAATTTTTTTTTTCAAAATTTCATCGGGGGAAAAAGAAAGTAAGTAAGTCAAACCTAATTTGGACGCATTTTGGGCTGGTTCTCACCAGAATCCACTTTCTTATTGAACAGACCTTGTACATGGTTTCACACTTTAGCCATAACTATCCATATAGAAGTCATCAAAGGCTATTTCATCACTTTTCTTGAAGAACTCAGATAAAAATTTGCAGGCGATTCAAAATGTAGGTGTGATTTAATATGTATAGCAGGTTTGGGCTTAAGGATGATTTACTTACTTCTATCCATGACATATTATGCTGTTGCATAGCCTCCATTTTTTCCTTCACTGAGGCATACAGAGTATGCTCAAACTTCAAGGACTGCATGTGGTTCATGTAACGATTACAGTAGAACAAGTAACGCTGAAGAAGTGCCCGTGAAGATTCCTGGGCATCCCTGGCTGCTTTTGACTCTTCTTCATTGTATCTATTGCAGTCATACCTAAAATATCATTTAAACATTTTAAAAAATCATTGATCAGAACAGTTGACTCTGGAAAAGACATCTCTGTGCTGATATTGGTATTCAATTGATACAATCAATTCGAAGTAAGTAAAGTCACTTGACAGAAACAAGAATTAGGGACCCCAGGTACACATAGTTTTCAACTATTTCCACAAGCACTGCAAAAACACAAATGAATACAATTTGACACAAATTGAATTAGAAAGAATAATTCCTCTTTAATTTAGTACTAGGGGTCCATGCCCTCAACCCCAACCCTTAGAGCGCCCTCTAAGGTCCGCTTCACGCACCTCTCAAGGGTTAATCTAAATAGAGTGGACTCATCTGGGGACTATGTTCTATTGATAGCCGAACAATTTTACAAACTATGACAGGAGATGAAACAAAAAAGAATTAATGATAAATTCTCAGAATTCTTGAGGAAACCAAAACTAATGATACTCTACGATAAGAAAGAAAACATTTTTATAAAGAGTGATTCACGAAGAATAAAAAGAAAAGCTCAGGATTATTGAGGGAGTCAATAATAATGATACTTTACCATGGGAAAAAAACAATTTTATAAAGATTACTTCTTGAATCACTGAAAAGTTCACTGGAATCATACAAGGAAGTGAAAAGAAGTAGAAATAAAAGAGAGAAAAAAAAACCCCTGGCTAAACCAAGTAACATACAAAAGAACGAGTCGCAAAGTCGCAGAGGAAACTGGCATGTTGGAAAACTGTCGCAAAAAGCAATAAAAACATGAGAGGGAAAGTGGGGGTGGAGAAAGACTTATGAGAAAGGGCAGTCAATTGAGTTGGCGAAGAATGGGTGGAGAGGGTCGATATAGTAGAAGGGATGGCAGACTCGCCCAGCGTTAGGTTGTGAAGCGCACATTATGATTTTATATCGTAGAGTAAGATTAGTTGTAAACCTGCTCTTCCCACTAGATTGAAAAAAGAGCTTCATTATATCTTTTTTCGGAACCAAAGCGCTTGGTTCTTTTTAGAATTTTGAACAGGTTTGATACACATAAAGGTGCTGCTTGCACACCGATTTACCTTGACTTCCATAGAGCATTATACTGATCAACTCACACTTTGCTGCTGTACCACTGCTAAAGGAACAAGACATTGCCTAAATTCATCATTAATGGGTCCATTGAGCCATTTTCCCTACAAGTTATTCGAGAGTGTTAAGTGAACTAAGCTTTCTGTTGTTCCTGCATTTTTGGTAGTGGCAACCAGGAGGAAAGTTTACTTGAAAGGGCAAAAAAACAGGGTAGCCGAAAACAACCTTTGAACTATAAGCTTGTTGCGCTATAATTTATGCATCATGATTAATATGACAGAGGAAGCTGTAGTGGAAGAATGAGCAGTAGTGCTGCTGTGTATTGTTGATTAGTATGTAGATTATAGGCTAGGCCCTGCAATTTCGATGACTTCTGCGGTCGGCCAATATACTTACTAGATTTCCCCATTGCCGCATTTGCTAAGATCCTTCCTTTTAAAATGTTTTAACGTTACCACAACATTGCAGAATTATCCTAACCTCAAAGGAGATGTCAGCAATTCAAACAAGAGCATGGTGGTAGTTAATAGGTAATGGTTAGTGGCCCACTTTCCTATCTATGACTTGTAAATTCGACTTTAAATGACTGAGACAAACGGGACGGTTCAGACATGTTTGGGAGGTCCCCTTAAAAAAATGGTGTCCCTCCGAGGAGACAATTTTACCATAAGAATCGTTTTCTTTGTGACAGAATTACGTGAATCAACTGTTTGTGGGCCAAACTCGAGGTCAACTGACCCATTCATAAAATGGAGATCACTGATTCATTTCTACATTGTTGCAACTTTATCATACGGCACCTAATTTTATCTTTGATATAACTACTTATTCACTGAGTTAAAAATGAAATATAATTACTTACCACGAGGATCCATGTGGTTCCCAAGGGCCTAGGCAAAACCAACAGAAATCAGCTTTACAGTTTTGATTCTTACAGACCATGTGATTACATCCACCGTCTTTCTCTATCGTTACGTGACACTTTGGACATTCCTGTAGCAAAGAATGAAAACACTTTAGTTCAGAATAAAAAGGAGTCACAAATTGAATCCTTATAAAATTTTTAGGGATGGACCAAAATTGATTTTTCGCGTCACCGGATACGGATATCGATTTTTTGTATTCCACTGGAGCCGGATACCGGATAATATGCTAAGGTATCCGGCCGGAACTGGATAATACCGGATCCGGATAATGCTTTTTAACGTGAGAAAAATCTCCCAATTTTGCAGAACAATAGGCACACTGTGTATTAGACCATCTTGACCGTCATCCACGATGTATGTGACTTCTTACCGGCAACTTTCTTACGTTTCAAAGGCCTGCGATGAGTCAACTCGCTAAAACGCATACTAAAAAAAATGATACAGGAGATTAGCAGCATAGCTTCCATTAGGTTCATGGCGTGATGGACCAGACGGATCTGATGGGCAGAAAGAAAAATCCTATCAGAAGTGTAAACGAGACAAGCACTGTCGCCGCTTGCCGATGAAAAGTCGCAACATTTCAAAGCCTGTCTTGGCGGAAAGTTGGTCGGCTAATCTCTGTTGATGAGAATCTCTAAATGAACGAGGGAAATGGATGTTTAAACTGATCACAAACTTAACTGGCCTTTGTTTCGATACTGCGATAATAAACTGCCTACTGCTACTTTACGATAATGCAGAGTTACACTCAGACTAAAAACGTTACGAACAGGGAACAGATGCACATGTTAGTAGCATTGGTTTTTATTCACCTGCATCTTCGTCCTTGAAAGTGAAACACGCGGACCTCAGGAACGAAGGATCACGTTGCGATTGCATTAATTTTCGGAAAATGTACTTAATGTCGGTAATAACCAGTTTCGGAAAGTTGAAAAATTACCATGACTAGACAAAGTGCACCGAAAAGCGCCGGAATATGTTAAGCTATCACTAAAAATTTATCAAAATTTTCATGGCTGGAAAAGCACTATCCGGCAGGTCCAAGAACCGGATAATCGCCAGATAGCCGGCCCAACTCTAAAAATTATACAGAGATTATCACTCCGTAAGAACTTTGTGGAATCTTGATGTGAGATTAGAGCAATTCTTAATGAGATGTTTGTTACAGCTAACTTGCTACTTACAGGTAGATCAGTAGTTGCAATGAAGACTGAGTGGATTATGACTTGACCCATTACGAATGGATGAATCCCCTATTTTCAACCACACAGATGACGATTGACCAAGGAAAATCATAGTCCACCCTGATTTTTTAGGCAGATTGTGATCAGCCCGGGAGATGGGTCGTTTGAAAATCACAATTGGATTTAAAAGGCTTGCAATCTGAAAATTGCAGCTAATAACTTTTATTTTTGGGTTTCCTCAAGAAAACATCTATCTATTTAAATGCAAAGATTTATCATACACATTTACCTGTGTGTTAGCTGCAATCCAATTAGATGTTTCTGAATCATCGTCACATTTTTTTATCCAGCGTTTGAGGAGGTGGCACTTGACTGGGTCATGCCAGTTTTCACCACACGCAAAACAGAAAGTGTGCCGACACCTACATGTTACTGGTCTTGCATCCACATACGGCACTCTAATTGCATTGTTACAATTGGGAGAAGGACACCATCTCAAAAGTCGATTGCACTAAAGACATGATAAGTATTTATATTAATTCATATATAATATGACAGTTCCTGGAATGATAGATCAAATTCAAGTGAAAAATATTCAGTTTTTTAAGGACACATACCATCCTGCATAATTTTAACATACAATTTTCACAGTTTTAGGCCCAAGTTGGCGTCTCAAAACTGAAATCATGGACTTTTATAGACTGTAAACAAGGTTCTACTCAGTAAAATCTCATAGCAGTTGGGCTGCTGGCCCATTTTTTTAATTCTTGCAGTACAAAATTTGGAATGCTTCAAAAGATAAAAATTTGGAATGTCTCAAAAGAGGATATGGATTCAGAGCGCCGATTCGCTGATTCACTTAAAATATTTGCAGCCCATTTAGAGCCTAGTGCCTTCCACTTAGCCTGCACATCTCCACTATGTTCTCTTTTCTCCTCTTTCTTCCTTTTCCCCTAATTTTATCTAATATTCCCCCTTTTAGCGTGCCTGACCCAATGGGAACTTCCCAATTTCCTGGTGGGCTAGTCAACCTCTAATTGAGCCACAGATCGATTCTACTGTTAAAGTAATATAAATGCAGCCAAAGAGAAACTTTCTATAGTAAAAACTTTCAAGAACATTTGCTAGTCAAGCAATGCATTCCCTACTAAATTATTCACCTAAGTCCTGGTATCGAGAGTTTAACTAAAGATATGACTGAAGGTGCAAAAATTGCTCGAACTTGCAAACTCTGCTTCGTGCCTGGAATGAGAAAATTCCTGAGCGCGACAGGAAACTTTTCGATTATAACTCCCCTCCCCTTTTTTTTTTTCTTTTATTAGGGAAAAAAGAGAAGAATGTTCTGATTTGCCAAATTTCTTAGCTAAATTATACTCCTAACCTGCCTTGCGGAGTGAGGAAATTTTGAGGCTGAGATTGAGACTGATTTTTTATCCAGAGAACTTTCTGCACCCCAAGATATGAAAAAAAGTTGCTCCTTGATGGGCATATGTTCAGCAAAGTGTTCTAATACGCATGATAAAATTTTCCTGCAAGACAATGTGGTGGAGACATAAATAAAGCTGGGTGTTCATGAATTGCAGGAGAAATAGTATATTGATGTAACGTTTTATTGTATCAATCAGGCACAACATTCACAAGATACCTGTGTTGAAATATGAATTGACTTTCAAAAAAAAAAAAAAATTCTCACCTCAACAAAACTGTTGGTAATTAGGTGCTGATATTTGAGTTTCACCTTGGGGTCTCTGACTAGCCTCATAACCGAAGCATCATCAACGAGAATATCGCAACCATGAGCGGCACATGCAATTGTCTGTCCCATGCCTTCCTCCATTATTTTAGTGCCCAGATATTCACCCCAGCACTGAGTACAAAACCGGTGATTACACTCCAGGCCAGTCATCATCTAGATTCAAAAGAAAAGGAAATAAGATGTAAATAGAATTGGTGATTCGGTAAAAATATTATTTCAATTATCTTATTAAAAAGTTTTTGATAAACCTGTTTGCCTGATCAGCTGTCAATCTTCACCTATTCCACTTAAGAGACAGATCATCAAAAAGAGAGAGAGTGAAATTTGTAGGAAAGGGGACTTAACCTAAAAGTGTGAACACTTTTTGGGAAACCCCGGCAAAACCTTAAGTCTATACTAAAAAAGAGAAAGGAAAAAAGAAAAACAAACCGGACATTACTTTTTCTTTTTCAAAGATCTGAGCGTTTCAACAAAGCTAAAATTTACGATTCGGACAAGTAAGAGCCTTTTTCTGGAAATTTTTCAGCACAAGTACGAAGGACTTCTTTTAGTAGCAGCAAAGAGAGGAATAACATTATGGTGCTAATGATTATATCTACTTGAAATTCTCTAGACTCTAGACTAACTGAAGTGTCACACAAATTCAAGTGCGAGAAGTTTCAATTAAGAGAGAAAAGAACAATTGTTCTTTGGCTTGCTGTGCTTAAATATTAAAATTTTATTTTAATGATGAAAATATTTGTGGTTGATCCATTGAGAGAAGAAATATCTCTCATGTAATTTTCCTTTCACTAGGAAGACAAAAACTTTTGATCAGAGAGTTTGAGTCTAATAGACAAGCATAGAATGCTGATTGGTGAGATGAGAGGCCAAAAAAAAGCAAAATAGAAAAAAAGAAGAAAATATTCTAAAAAAACCTACAGTATTAACTTACATTACTAGGTAAAGTCATGAAACAAATTTCACACTCCTCTGTGCCTGATGAGGATGACGGCTTCCGAAGAGGCTGGAACAAAAAAAACCACAGAATAAGCAAGTGTTATCATAATACAATGCATGTGTACATTGACTGTAAGTAACCTAGTCTGAGAAAACAGCCAAGATTCTGCAATCTAGTGAAGGAATATTCTGGCAAATTTTAGAGAACTTCCTTCACACGATCAATTTAGCACTGCTTAGTTATGTAAAGAAGTACCTACTTCAAAAATTATAGGGACTCTGGCAAACAACCATCATAATTTTTAGGGCAAAATGCAGTAAGTACTAATTTCATGAGCTGTATGGACCAAGGAAACATCAATACTGGAAACAAGAGCCAAGTATGGCTGCTTTCAGCTTCTTTGAAATATTTCAATCCTGACAAAGCAGAGCTGACAATGACTTGAAAATGGGGTTCTTTCGCAAAACTCACAATCATTCTTGCACAGTAGCAGGCTATGAAGAGGATAATCAGAAAACACACATATTTTTTTAAACTTACTATACGGTTTTTGATGACTTTAAAAAACCAATTTTCCTAGTCGAATCAGCTTGGAATTAACTTTTCACCTAAAAAATCCATTTTGTTTGTAAAAGAGGAAATTTTGAGTCTATCACAGCAAGTAAAATTAAAAAGAGCTCATACCTTTTGCCTATTATTAACTATGGGTTTACGAAAAGGGTTTATGACTTTGGCATCAGCATACAGCTTATCTTGATCGCCGTCATAAAACCGCTCCATCAGTTTTTCCTTGTCCCATTTGAAGTAGTTAAGAAGAATACGAGTGGTTGTTGCAGGAATCTAAAACATAAACAAATTTGTATTTATTTATTTAAAAGAAAAAATGTTTACAAGATATAAAGTGACAATAGAGTGACATTTAGTTGTACCATTGAGCACAGCTTGTTCGGCAGGACAAATACATTTCACATTAACAAGAATCAAATACAAAATTCAATGAAATATAAATTGTTAATTTTAATCTGGGTGGCTAACATCTGGTGCTCCCAAATGGAAGGGGTATTGATAAAAGAAGAAATTTCTTAATCTTCGTCAAAAAAACAATTCCGTCTTTGTAATATTTCAGTCAGAGATTGAGAGAAGACTGATAGTAATGTGGTCTATGGTGTGAAGTAGGCAACAGAATAATCTTGTGACAAGATGAAATTCTAGAGGATGGAGCTCCAATGGAGAATTTATCGTTCACTCTGATCTTTCTTAGGGGAGGGAAGACAAAAACTATGATACGTTCATTCCGATGCAAGATCTAGGAGTTGCACTAGGGTAGTAATGTCTCTGGGTCATCATTGCTTCGCTTTATATTCAATGACCAAGCACAAATATTTACTGAGAAAAAGTTATGAGGGGTTACTGGCCTTGCTACACAATGGGATAGCAAGCCATTCAAAAAAAGAGGAGACTGTGTTGCACTTACAGAAAAAAGACAATAGGAAAATGTTGGTGAAACTTTCTCATCAAAGCAAAAAAAAAAAGATTGGTGTTTTGAAAAGAATGTGTTCAAATTGTAAAGATGATCTTTCAACTAAAATTATCCACTTGGTATTATTGTCTTACTACATGAAATCCCCATAATATAATAATACTTTAAAACTATCCTTTCCACTTTAATTTTGGAGTTGGTGCTGAATACCATCAATTTAATTTTAACCACTGTGAGAAGGAAGTTGACATGGAGATTAAGACCAACAAATAAATCATACAGGGAGGGGTTCACTCATATTAGTTAGCAAAGCCATTAGAAGACTTTCGCCTGTCTTCAATTTAGAATGCAGTGGTTTTAGAACAGTTAAGAAGGACAAAGCTGATGCTGCTACGCAGCTGTGTGCTATGATAATAAAGTTACATCTTCCTTCGCAACACCTCTCCTCAAGATAACCGATCTCGACAACTCAACTAAGAACCAGTTGCAAGGCAAAACAAGTATCCACCACAAATGGGGAGAAATGTTTTACTATGATGCAGTGTATTAGGTCCTTCTACACTCCTCTCCTATGGGTTCATTAGACATACTAGTGGATGGTAGGTCTGCTATAAGATCCTTGTAAAGAATGTTACATCAGTTAGAACATTCCCTGAACAGAGGCCGTGTTCAGACTGATGTTTTGGTTAAAATGCCATATACCAGCCCCTGTAGACAGTTTAAGTTAAAAAGACAAATAGGACTTAGCAAAAATAAGTAATGATGGACTTTAATTGGGATAGGTACTACTTAAAGAAAATTTTGTAGGACGTAGCAAAATTCAGGAATGGAATCCTGATTGAGGTTTGATTTCAGGACCAAAAACAGCTCAGCATGATAAAGTCGGGTTTAATTGGCTTGAACTGCAAAAAAATTTTCCTGATCATACGGAGTGATCGGTGAAAACACTTGCATCGGGGCACGAATGATTTCATGATTGATGAACTTCACCAATATGAAGGCCATGATATTGTGATAAGAGATTATCTGTACTTAGTCACTCGAAATCCTAGATTACATACTAGAGCTTTTTTTTAAAATCAAACAGGGATGGGGTGTTTCAATGTACTCTTGATGAACCAAACTGTCACCATTCAAGGCAAGGTTACTCAAACTGCGATCATATTGGAGTGTTACCTTCAAGTCCCCTCGGTGGATATTCAAAATTTAGGTAAGTAAGTCCAATAGAAAATGGAACTTTAAAATGCAAACTTAATTAAAAAATTGCAACTGGTTCAACTTCTACTAATGATAAAATGGAACATAGAATAATACTGATCAATGAACAAAGACGATAAGTCTCCATACAGCGAACGTTGCTGCCTGCCAAATCTGTAGACACCCTTCCACAATGTGGTATAATATGCAGTAAGTAGTGCTCCTCAGCAAAAGGAATGGAACATTTGTATTTTTTTCCAACACATAAAATTATGGACACAAAGAAGATTCGTTATCACTAAGGGAGCTGTTGATCAGTCTTGACCAGCCATTGGGAAAACATTGACAGGGACCAAAATGGGGTAATTACCTCCACAACAGTATTCACGTCCCTAATGGAATCGATCATATGCTGGACAATTTCTTCGGTGGATAAGACTTCGAAGGGATAATCATCTGCTTCCATTTGTCTTTCCTTGGGGTTGGTTGATTCCACTTCCATCTCAATGTCAACATCATCGCCACTCGACTCATTGCCCGAGTCATCGTACAGAGTTTCTTCCTCAGAATCCATTCTAGACAATCTGAAAACTTCGCGGAACACTCACTAGACAAATTTAGCGTCAATGAAACGGCACTTGAGAAATTTGGATAAAAAATAAATAAAAAAATCACAAATAATAAAGCTGAGCCTACACCTGTCCCAATGCCCCCTTTTTGCTGGAACACAAATGACGTCACACAATCTCCTTTCAGCAAGCGCAATGCATTGTGGGATGGTCTTTCGTTTTTCATGTTGCCGCTTTCATCTTTCATAATGTATTATGTTATAGTTGTATACAGGGTGATGAATTAAAGTTTGCGCGAATTTCTTTCATATTCTTTCGAGTGAGGCACCTATCACTCACAAGAGGGATCTTCGTATTGGAAACAAAAAGTTGGGGTCCTACCTCGCCCCTTCCCCAAAATAATTATTTATAAAAATTGACATGATCTGCAGGGTGTCGCAATAGTCCGGTTCGACCCCCCTTCCCTCCCGCTAAAATACCTTACTTCATATTTCGAAACGAAATCTTTGAAAATGTTTGGGGATCAATGTAAGCTATTATCACCCCCCCCACACACACACACAGAGGGAAGGCCTTTGAGGGACCTCAACTTTATTTTTATTCAACGGCAACGGCAATCCCTCTTTTGGTGACAACTCAATCGAGAGAGGATGAAAAAAGGAAAGTTTCGGCGCAGACCGCAAATCCAGAGGTTTTTCGACAGAAACAAATTTTTCGAAATAGCGGCCGTAAGAATAGCGATTAGTGAAAAGACTGCACAAGTATCTAAGTAAGTTGTATACTCAAAAATAGCACTACAGCTGGTGCTCGAGGGATATTTGGCACGAGTATGTAGCCTGTAGGCAGAGATGGAAAGTGAAATTTCAAAAGGCTCGAATAAATTTCACAAAAGTTGAAATTTATTAATTTTTTTTTAGAGTTATTGATTAAACCTTTGAAGGTCTGAAAGCGTTTCAGATGGTCTTTCAGTTGATGCTGCGGTATTATGCTACTCTACTGAAGGTGCCAGACCCAAAGAGGGGGCAAAAAGGGGAGTTTAGAGAGATAGAAGAACCCCAACCTAACCTCTAAACTAAACGAAAACATTTGCAACGCGCGAATGTTTTAGGCTTGGGGTGAAAAATTTCAAAATTTAGAATCACTGTTTCTAGGCATTTCTTAGCCTCCTAAAGGTATCCCCAAAAGTTTCAATAAATTTCATGAAATTTCGTGAAATTTCACTCGAATAAATTTCATGAAATTTCGTGAAATTTCACTCGAATAAAGTTCATGAAATTTTCCATCTCTGCCTGTAGGTATCTAGCATTGGTTTATCAGATCGCCCATCATTCCAATACTTGAAGTGGCCATTGATGAAAAATGAATATTTGAGTTTCATATCAGAGATTTCCTGTTGCACGAAAACGGGAGCCGGCTATTGTCATACCGAAATATCCTCGGATACCAATTTTTAACCCAAATCTTGGATAGGATTCTGAACCTCTGTTCTGAACTTAGACCGGCCGCCATGTTGTCAAAAATCAAAATGGCAACCTGCGGATAGCGCCAAAACTTTTCTTTCCTCATTATCTTTCAAGTGACACAATAAGGGGGGAGGGGGTTGCCAGTTGAAGAGAAAAAATTGGGATCATTGATCCGTGATCAATCACGCGAAGTTTAGTTTCAACAGATGAATTGAGGTAAAATTTTAGGGGGTATCGACCGGAATTCTGGGACACCCTGTAAGTACGTAATGCCAACATAAAATTTGCAGACATAAGTTTCCCTCATTTTGAAAGGCGGGAATACTTGCCGTTTTTCTTAGCTGGGAGGTGGAGGAAGTGAAAAAAATTCCTTAATTTTATAAATAAATTGTCTTTCAACTAGTCTGTGTGGCATGAGTCAGGAGTGATTCAGACTGCTGATAAATATTTTTTTAACTATTATGGCCATAGTGAAGAAGGTTCTCCCAAGATCAGCATATTTCAGCTAAGACATTCTCTAAGAGCACAAAATATTAAAAAAACCTCAGAAAACTCATAAAACACATCTCTTAAAAAATGATGAAGTACAAATTTCGTTCCAGAAAATCCTCAGTGCGTACTTCATTCAGTAGAATTCATGAGACGTAAAATTTTGGTAAAAAGTGTAAGACTCTTAAAGTAGATATCAGCTGTAATTTTCAAAAAACTCAATTAATCTTCTCAATCTCAAACAGTGGTCTTCATTAAAAAAAAAGAACTTAAATCAGTAAATTTCACAGAATTAAGTACAAAAAAAAAAAAACTGATCGAAAAGGATTTCCTAAGCGAACACTTAAAGAATTTTGTACGACTTCCTTTCTAAAAATGGATTTTTTTCCAATACAACCTTGATAAAAATGGAATCCTACACACAACTTAATTGGTTGTATTAAATTCAGTTTTTGTAATTATTAAGTTTCTTCTAGTTCTAGAGATTTTCCTCCTGATCTCAAAAATGTATAATGCATGATTCTCTGAAAATGTATCCAGGTACTTGTACTCCAAGAATCATTCAGCTTCTAATGCATTAGTGCCTGTGGATGAAAAGCACCTCCATAATTTTATTATTACCGGTAATTTCTAAAGCTGATTGGAAATTAAAAGTGTACAATTTCCATATGGAGAATCTCTCATTCATCGATCAATCAAGTTCTGAAACATTTCTCTGAAAACTTAAAGTGCTTCATTAAGATATTGAAGTCAGTGTGTAGTCGAGAAGAAATGAGAAATCTTATGCTTGGAAAAAGAGAAAGAAAAAAAAAAGAGTTTCCGGTTTCAATTCCTGTGTTCATATTTGAATTAGTCTTCAATCTAATGAAGCAACTCTCTTAACTTTGAACCTCGACCATGAGTGAAAATAATGTAAACTTAGAAAAACTGAAGCATGACTGAGGAGGAGTCTAGCTGGTCGACTGTCATGCCCAGTAATTGCACTATGATAAAAAGAACTTGTTACCGTGGAGCAATGAAATAAACCAATGATAAGGCTCTACTTCACTTTATTCAATGTCTAGTCACCAACAAACATAAAATTTCGACAATCAGCCCAGAGAGTCCCTACTTAACAGAGAAGGTACGATTTCGCATGAGAAACAGCAGGTAATAATAGAACTACCTCTGGGTACTTTAATCTTTGAAACTCAAATTGCTATAAAAAAGGATTGCACACTCAAACTATAAATTTTAAATTTCTTCTTTTTTTCAGCATAAAAAGCTTGCTAGCACATATTAATTCTCCCAAGAAGAATTTTTTAAGACTTTTACTTGTGATGCTAGGCAGCTAATTACTGAGTGATCAGCATGCCTATTTAATGACTTGAATCATGAAAATATAATCGCAATACTGCAGAGAGCAGGCTCTGGTGAACGGGCAATTCTCGCCAATTTGGGTAAATAAAAAAAATTACAAAACAGCTAATTGGATACCAATTATTCAGCTGTCGTTTAGAGAAATTCAGAACTAGAGAGGCAACACCTGGGCGTGAGGATGGTTAATGATCCTGAAACTAGTCTCTCAATTCTCTTTCTGAGTAAGAAATTTTGGCTTCTCTTATTTCCAATGTTCGTACGCTACAACCATCATATCGGCATCAACTCATCTACTTGCTTTTTCCAATTCCATCGAATTGGTGAGAATTTCTGAGTTCTGGGATTAGAGACAGAATTTTGAAGTGCTGCCATGATATTTTTTATGGGTGAAAAAGTATACAAACAAAAAGGATTTGAGCAACTAACAACTATTTCTGTGATGAGACAAGAAAAGACAAAATTTTTAAAAAATACTTCCAGGGGGAGGTTGAGATTAGTCCGCTTCAAATTTTAACGATTTGACGTGTGACTTGTGTTGATATCGATCAGTATTTTTACCAAAATACCTCTGGGAAGCCCTTCCAAGCCCCATTTTTTGGACAGAAACCGTTAAGTGAAGCACCAAGAACTGATTGTGTCGACTTGCTTACACTATCTTATGAGAATGGTTGATGGAGTAGTTAGCATGTTATTGATAGGATTCCTTTCTCCAACTAGATTTATTTTATCATGAATTTCATAATATTATATTTTTTACACCTCTTTTGATCCTTTCCATCTTTTTACGTAGCTTAAAAATTCATTAAAAAATTGATAACACTCTTTTTACACTTTAAACTTTTACAACATGCTGCAGTATACTTGCAGAAATGCATTTTGATGCAGTTTGAGAAAAAGAAAAACAAGTGATAAAGTATTTTTGCAAAGGCCTTCTGGGGAATGGACTTGCTTCATGTTTGACAGCTGACGGATCAGGAGCTCAAAGTTTCTGATCCGGCAATTTGGCTTTCCGGCTCTCTTAAAACTGCTACATAGGTGCAAGAGAACAGTGCCCATCCTATATTTTCACAAAATGATAACATCAGTAATTCAGTATTACAAAAGCTTTCCTTAGGCCCAAAATCATTAAAGTTGCAAACGGACCCTTGATGACTTCCCTCCATTAGTTCATGAATAGTTACAACTACAGTAAAGCACCGAATATCTGTACTTAGGTTATCCATTTAATTGGGCATGGCTTTTTCATCATTAAAACGTGGCATTTTCAGACATGACACAACAGAAACCAGTGTCTTGGGCAAAAATTGAAAATATGAGTGGTTTTTTGTAATTTATTTATCAATTAAATGACAAAGTTTTACAAATACGATAGAGAATTGGCTAAGGTTGTTCTTTCTGGCAACTAACAGAGCTTGAAATGACATTTTTTCGGTCTTTTATGGTAGTCTCGATTATCCGTTATTTTCGTTACCTAGCGCGGACCTCCACCACATAGCACCGGATAATGCGTGCTTAACTGTATACCTACTAGTTTTATTTGATGAAAAATTTCATAGCGGAACAAAAGATTTCTTGAGTACAATTTACAAGTCATTTAAAAAGAAAATCTGAAGCAGTATATTTCAGCAGGTTAAATAAATAGTTGACTAAAAAATTCACATATCAGTGAGCAGAGCAGGTGATCTAAATCAAGATCATTGAATTAGAAACAGCTTTTTGAGTTCTAAATGCTAAAAAAATACAAAATAGATGTACATACATATAATATCACACTGTTTATCTTCTAAGTTATAAAAATAATCTGTTTTTCATTCAAACTGTGTCAACTTAAAATTATAGGCTATTTCGAGAGCAGACGATGAATTAGAGTTGTTTCAAAGTATCTATGATATTATATCACTCCACTGATGTAGAATCTGCTGTCCCACTTGATGGTTTCACTTCATCGGAGGAACAAAGAGGGTCATAGGAAAGGAAGAGTGATTTTTTTACTGCAGAGGCAGCATGCAGCCTTTTGGCTGTATTTGTTTGTAGTACTGGCAGTTAATTTAATGTCTCTGCGCCCTCATAACACAAGAATGAGACTGAACAGCTAAAAGAAAAAATTCTAGGAGGCCACCAGAGATTTGCAATATGCTTGGCTCACATGTTCATCATGAGTCAATAAATATATTGAATTCGACAAGCAGTGGGTTTTTACACCCCAATCAGAGCTCTTCAGTCCAATATTCCTCAGGCTGTGAAAAATTGATCGACTGAAGTGCTCTGCTTGGTGCGCAAAAACCAACTATCTTGATAAATTGAAAGACTCATATTGACCGTTCAGGTGTCCCAAACTTGGACCATCAAAAAACTTTTCTCAGAACATTGATGTTTGATTGGTTTATTGTGTCATTATGGTAAACATTTACAATCCTTTTGAGAGAAATCAGATGATTCTGTGATAAAATATCTGTGATATAACATCAATGATCCCAAAATATTTTAGGAAGGTTCAAATTTGGGACACCATATTGACCATAAGACCCAGGTTAAAATAACGAGAAAGTACCCATGATTACAGCTTATGAGTGACAATTTTACTTGGAATTATAGAAAATTGCATGAGATCTTCGACCAATGTTTGAGCTTAAAATACAGCAGACACCTCGAAATTTTCCCTGACTTAAACCTTTCAATTTTAAATTCTTAAAATGAAAAAGATTTTAATAATTTTTTTTTCTAAATAACTACCTTCAGCAATAAATAAATTCCTCATGATTGGGAAGGGAAGGAGAAATCTTCTACAAATCTTACATGATTTTTTTTCGTTTGTCTTTGAAGTTGCAGAATCATTAATGTCAATGTTTTTAAAATTGTTTTCAAAATCAACATAATATCACATGAATAATTCCACATGGACCTGCAATGAATGAACTAAAGATTATTTTCTTAAATAATTACTTGAATGAAGTATTTGTCTTAAATTATCATCACCTGCCAATACTTAAATACTTCCACCTAATGCCCTTGATGGTCCACTTCGATAGAAGCACAACTTTTTTTCAGCTTTTCGTCTTACTTTAAGGCAAATGTATTTCCTGTGCAAATATTGAAAGAGGTAACAGTAATGAGGCATTAATCAATCTTAATGATGATCATGCATGGGTCTTTTAAGACCCTCAACTTGATGAATCAGATCCTTTCGGAATACTTGTGCTCAAAGTCTGCTTCTCTCGCTCGCTTAAAAACTTGGTGGTATTACAGTCATACTGACTTAAAAACCAGTCTCTTACTAAACCATTCCTCTTCTTCATTTCCTCTTCACCGCTTAAGCGTGCATCATCTGAGGGGGATCGGCTTTCGGTATAGAATTCTAGGAAATCCCCTTGGAGTTTTCCTTTGTAACTTCCATCAGAGTCAGAATTTTCACAGTTCCTTTCCCGGTCAATATCATTTAGTGCTCGTAACAGCGCATCTTTTTTACTCAAGTCTAGCTCATTGCCTAGGCTGAAATCTAGCAAGTCGGATTCGACTTTAGAAAAAGATTCAAGTTTTTTCTTGGCAGCTTCATGTTCTGTCCGAATTTGCTCTTTAATCTCCTCCCAGGAGAGTTCCTCTTTGTGCGAGTTTCCCTTCAGAGTTTCTCTATTGGCCCAAAAATTATGATGCCCATATGATCTTTCTTCTGCATTCCCATGGTTCTGACAATCCAACAATTCTCCATCGCTGGAAGATTTGTGACAATGAACTTCTTGGCCGAGAAAAATTTTATTATCATGTAACTCTCCTTGATTATTGGAATTTTTACGATGAGATTGCTTTATTTGGCCTACAGCATCTATTTGACTGAGTGCATATTCACTTTTATTTTCTACAGGGGCAAATTTTTTACTGCTTTCTGAAACTTTGGACTCATCTTCTTCATGGACAGAACTTTGCCGAGTTAGTGATTTTTTACTGGATTCAGAGGTAGCATGCACATACTTTTTTTCTGAACTTTCATGGAGGAATATACTTGGGAGAGCATTATCCTTTCCAGGAACTGGACTTGAAGTGACCTTGGAACTATCGCTGATTTCAAAATCGTGGTCATAATTTAAACTACTGCGACTTTTAGGCTTACTCCTGACAGTACCTTTTGATTTTGTTTTACGAGAGTTGGATGAGCTGTTGGAAATTTTTGCATTTGAGCCAGAAACTTCACTGCCTTCATACTCAGAATTTGGCACAGATGATGAGAGGGTGGCTGGATTTGAGTCGCTTTCATTCTAGAGGAAAAACACATTATACAATTAATGTGATCAAAGGCCAGGAGAGAGTTCGAATATACATTTAAACCTGTACATAAATAATTAGGTAAGAATTTCAAGTGTCAAATGAGGTAGTTCTTGTGTAAAATGTGTGGACACTGTTCACGGTTTGAGCCCTTTTTTGTAAACGAGATAACAAATAACAGAGGTCCTATCTCTTATCATGAGCTTCGATCGTAGTTTAACTTAAAGCAATCTTGTGTGAGCTGCAGGCTGGTTCTCAGACTTACGCAGATATACCAAGTGGTACACAAGATTTGCTTTCATCCCTATTTATTTCATGTAAATATTTGAAAAATAGGACTGCGTCCAGGATATGTACAAAAAAAGGCTGCAAGATCAAAAAAGATCTATTCCCAAATAAATTAGTAACATCACTTCAAAGCTACTATCACACTTGCAGTATGACTGTAAAATCAGTAACATTCGCAGGCAAAATAGACAGCCTCTGTGCATGCGCAAACTGTCAGACAGTGAAGTCGGGACTGATAGTGTGATAGCAGCTGAAGAGAGTGTCTCCTAATTTTCAAGAGTTTTATTTGATAAAAATTCCCACATTTTTTTTGTACAAGGGATCCAAATTTTATGATGCTGAGGCCCCCTGAGCGTCTCTCGAGGGGTACATAGGGAACTATGAATTTGGAAGTCGTGGCTCTATCAGATCGCAAAATGATTGCATCATGATAGAGAAGTACAATGAAATTTTAACTTTAGTTGACATCTAAAAGTTCAAACTTGGCCTACTCAATGGTGAAATATGAGCCCTTTAAGAGGGAATCAAGGAGTCTCTCCACAAATTGCTTTATGGGCCTAAAATTGAGGTAGCCTCTTCGAACAAAGATAGCACCTTGGTTACGCTGTATTTTTACATTTCTAACTTCATGAGATGATCCTGCAAACCTTTATTTCAGTGATCATTTGTCAAAATTTCGTTGCTTTTTGAAAATTCTGACTCGCAGATACTACCTCATAATTCACAGAGAGTAGGTACTCACTTTTTCTTGACCTGAGAGTTCATGAGCACAGTTTTTCCCAAATTTTGTATTCATAGGTGATGTTTGAGTGTTGGATAGAAGCTGTCTGGAAAGTGAAAGATATAAAAGAACATCGTTTGAGTTGTGAGATTCCAAAAAAATATCAGAAAAAGTTAAAAATGTGTATGCTCAAGGCCTCTGAGAAGGGATAGAGGAAGGAGAATTAGGACAATGGAGCAGGGACAAGGGATTTTGGCATGGTTGCAATGTAGTTTTTTCCGTTAAATTCGGTAAAAAATCCAAAAAGTTAAAAAAGTCATTTCTAAGGTAAGAAAACTATCACAATTGGACCTATGAAAGCCAGGCAACAGTCGAGTTGATATAGCAAGGCGATGCCTGAGGCTGAGTTCAGCCAATCAGCAAACTCTGTTCCTCCTGCCTGGCTACATCACCAAAGCCTGCCAAAAATATTGTTTCAAACGGGTCTCATTATTGGCATTTTAAAAACGGGTTTTTTTTCTTTTGTTGCTATTTAAGGTAAAAAATTATATGAAAAATTCCTGTAAGCTTAGCTCACTTTGTCCTTTCAGGAATGCATTAAAAAAAGGGTGCCACTGACTTATTAGTGGCAGTGGAGAAGATTGAGCAAACATCTTTTGAGAGAAACCAAAATTTTGCCTGGAACATATTCAATTATCCCATTGAAGTTTCAGGAAGATCTTGTGAAGTAAATTCTTCTCACTCGTTGTTGACAGCATAGGATGGCTTTAAGAGGGTTCCAAAACTAGTTCAAAGAAAACGCTGCGTTCTATTGAGTTTTAAAATAAATATGCATGATGCATGGGTGATGAAACATTTTAGAGGTACTGTTGTAGATACTTATCCTCAGCAATATCCAACGGATACCTGGAGAAGCCTCTGGTCTCCTCAGTTCAGATTACACAGAGATACCTTGGTAACTACTTAGACGGTACCTTCCAATCTACAACAACGTTGCCAGGCAGACATGCATACATGCCAAAGTTATGCTTGCTCTAGCATTGAAATGAAGAATTTTTAGGTAGTATCAACATTTTTTTATCAAATTCTTCCTGTGAAGTAACTGACTATCTAATATACCTCTAAAAATATATCAAATTCAGCAACAATCAGCCGTAGAACAGACGGATATATGCTTGAAGGGTGGTGTAATATCATTGAATTTAGAGGAATGAATTTTGAACATTGTTAACTGTTTTTTGCACTACCCGCAACAATGATGACCTCAATATGCGTATGATTTTGAAGTGCCTCCTAAAAGTTGTAATATCAAAGTTTCACTGTGTGGCTATTGAATTTCAATCAGTAAAGAGGCTTACTTGGATATTGCTGGAAGAGGTCCTACAACACTGTTATTTGTGAAATGAAGTGTCCTGTTGGATGTTGTTAAATATTTCTGTTTTACCTGAAAGAATAACAGGATTTATTAAAATGAAGTATTCATCATGAGTTTGTGAAATATAATCAACAAGGGGAGGCTCATGAAACATGAGGCTCTGAATGCCATGCAGTTTGGAACAAACAATAGTTGAAAAGGTCCTGATTGACAATTATTTCACAGTTTTTTTCAGATTTAATTTCAATTATATATATGTGAAATGCAGTTTTTATACAAGGTATCAGCCATCATTTATTTTTGTATGGATTTTCCCATACGACTAAGAATCTCGATTGAAGAGTCAGGTTGGCTTACAAGTTGCATTCGCGACTAGCCGCCAGAGGTAAAACTTAAGAGTTGTTGGGTGGCTAATGGTAGAGAGTATGAGCTGTGCTGCAGCTGCAGTTCTTGCCGGAGTTCGACATCCTGATTTGCACAGCATCTCAGAGTGTTCGAGCTTCTAATCTGGATTGGCTGTCGATGCACACCTAACTACTGATCTAAAACTCAACCAAACCTCAAATTAGAGGGAAAAATCACAATTGAGTTGGCATGGAATGCCCAGTCCTCTTATGACCGTGTAAGAGCCCAAAATTCTAAGTCTGAAAAATTTTCAGAATGAGAAATATTTTTGTGGCCTTTTGAAGAAGCTCATCTTGCTCTGTAAGTTTGGAAAACTAATTGAAACATAGTTTCTCCTTTTTCTGGCTTAAATAAGAAAAACCTTCAATTCCATTCACCTCCAGAGCTGCTTCTAGTTTTTGAACTGTAGATAAAGCTTGAGAGAGTTGCCGCTGCGTCTCTCGGTGTTTTCCAATCTCTAACCTCAACTGATGTTTATAATTTTTGCTTTCCAATTCAACTCTCCTCATTAAAGTCTGCAAATATATATATAAAAAAAAACATAACATCTTAGAGATTTATTATGTAAAATTTAAACCCATAGACAAATCGGAATGTTGGAAATTCAGGTTACAAAACTTATCGTCAAGGATACTATGGGAGAGCCACAATCAAATTGGGAGAGGCATTGCAAAGAAATTGCAGGCAGAGATAAGGAGAGACCCTCCACTAACTTCTTGGTGACAGGTAAAAACTTTTGCTTTCAGAGATTCAAAAATTCTTCATGGCATGTTCAAACAGGAAAATGATGACAACGACTTAATCTCTATTGACATGATCAGAAATTTTAGACCTCCTTTCATCAATTTTGAAATTGCTCACCTGAAGGTTCTTGAACAGTATAAGGCCCATCCTGCTGTTGGGCTGTTCAAAAACTTTTCTACGAAATTAAGAGGGTTATCAAAAAATGGGGAGGTGAGTGTTTCTCCAAAGGACCTAATAACTTTATTGGTTGGAAGGGCTTGTTACTTTCTAAATAATTTTTATAATGATTAACACTTAAATTTTTATTGACATTTATGTTGGGCCATAATAAGTGAAAATTGTGTGCGTAGATTTAAAGAAAATAAAAAAAATAAAAGGAAACAGTTGCTATAGGTACTACAATCTGTGTTCAGGGCGTTTTTAAAAGTATTCTTTGATGAGATGTACCATGGTATCCCGATGAAGGCTGAACATGTCCAGAAATAAAAAAAAAAATAAAATAAAATAAAAAGGTGCCTTTAACTTTTGAGGACTTTAATATGATGAGTATCACTACGGTATCCAGAAAATTTACCTTGATTTTCTCTTCTTGAACGTTGACTGTTTCCAGAAGCTCCTCAACTTGCTGTCTGAGTTTCTCACGTTCCCCAAGGTGCTTATCTTTGGACAGATGCAGCAAATGTTTGTGCTGTTCTCGAAGACAATTAAGTTCATTATCCCGTCCCTTCAATTTTTGTTCCATATCATGACATTTTGTTTTCAACTGGAATGTGTGGAAATGGATATAGATTATCTGAATCAGTAAAGTTTGAAAACACTGATACAACAAGAAAAGGAGGAGTTGCGTTTTGGGCCTTTTCCGGCCCCACCTGGATTTTGCTAAATGTTTCATATTTTCAAAGTACTAGTTTTAGGTAGACTCTGTGCCAAATATTAGACCGAACGGAGCCCATGCAAGGGCGCAGCAGCGCCTCAAACCCAAAATCCTGGAATCGAAAAACAATTATTTTCGTCGACTTTTTCGACTGTTATCACTCTTCCAGCACATTATTCTTATGTATTTTTTTGCGTACTTTTCGTTTCTGGCCTTTTTAAAGGCCTCCGATAAATTTTAAGGGGCCTTATGGCCCATTTTTGCCATTTTTGGCCCATTTTTAGGGGTTTTTTCCATTTAACACATTCAAAACTCAACTTAATCCAAAAACTGTGTACATTTTTGAAAAGTACGTAAAAAAATGAATAAAAAATGTTCAGTAAAATTTTTTCCTATGTTGCCAAATTTCCGAGAAAATTGGTCCCAAAGTGTCGAAAACGGCAAAAAATCGATAAATCGCCGCGCCTAAGGTTCAAGAAAGTGGAGTACATTTTTCATACTGTACCAGATAACAGCTCTTATCCATCCATACAACATACTAAAATATCATAGTTGTACCTGGATTCCCACGATGTGAAAATTGACCGAGATGTCGATTTTAGCGGCCTTTTTATACTTGAAGGCAGCTCTTTTGAATGTTTTCCGACCTTAGTCACCCTCTATGGGTGTGTACTATATGTATTTTTCTACGTACTTTTCATATCTGGCCATAAAAATGGCTTCCTGTGAGTTTTAAAAGGCCTAACGGTCCATTGTTGCCAATTTTCACTAATTTTTAGGGGTTTTTTCAAGTTTACGTGTGTGAAACTTAATTTAATCTAGAAACCGTATACAATTTCGGAAAGAACGTAAAAAAATACATAGAAATGTGATTTGTACCTTTTCCCTACGTTGCCAAATTTTCGAGAAAAATCGTCCTGAAGCGTCAAAAATGCCAAAAATTGGATTAATCATCATGTCGGAGGTTCCAGGAAGTGAATTATGACATTCATGTGGATCGTGGGACACTTTCTCCACGCATTTTCTGTTCTTCGGTATATTTGGCCTGTAGCAAGCATCTTGAGAACCAAGGATTATCTCGAGGTTACAGGAATAAAGAGGTGAACTGGAGTGAAGGATAAAGTAAAAACACCTTGAGGGCCCGTTTTGTCACTCTCATCTGCGCCATTACATGTTCCTTGAGATGCATTGCAATTTTCCATTTTCGATACGTTATTTGTAGTGAAAAAAAACTTGAAATTCACTTCCTGGAACCTCCGACGTGATGATTAATCCAATTTTTGGCATTTTTGACGCTTCAGGACGATTTTTCTCGAAAATTTGGCAACGTAGGGAAAAGGTACAAATCACATTTCTATGTATTTTTTTACGTTCTTTCCGAAATTGTATACGGTTTCCAGATTAAATTAAGTTTCACACATGTAAACTTGAAAAAACCCCTAAAAATTAGTGAAAATTGGCAACAATGGACCGTTAGGCCTTTTAAAACTCACAGGAAGCCATTTTTATGGCCAGATATGAAAAGTACGTAGAAAAATACATATAGTACACACCCATAGAGGGTGACTAAGGTCGGAAAACATTCAAAAGAGCTGCCTTCAAGTATAAAAAGGCTAAAATCGACATCTCGGTCAATTTTCACATCGTGGGAATCCAGGTACAACTATGATATTTTAGTATGTTGTATGGATGGATAAGAGCTGTTATCTGGTACAGTATGAAAAATGTACTCCACTTTCTTGAACCTTAGGCGCGGCGATTTATCGATTTTTTGCCGTTTTCGACACTTTGGGACCAATTTTCTCGGAAATTTGGCAACATAGGAAAAAATTTTACTGAACATTTTTTATTCATTTTTTTACGTACTTTTCAAAAATGTACACAGTTTTTGGATTAAGTTGAGTTTTGAATGTGTTAAATGGAAAAAACCCCTAAAAATGGGCCAAAAATGGCAAAAATGGGCCATAAGGCCCCTTAAAATTTATCGGAGGCCTTTAAAAAGGCCAGAAACGAAAAGTACGCAAAAAAATACATAAGAATAATGTGCTGGAAGAGTGATAACAGTCGAAAAAGTCGACGAAAATAATTGTTTTTCGATTCCAGGATTTTGGGTTTGAGGCGCTGCTGCGCCCTTGCATGGGCTCCGTTCGGTCTAATATTTGGCACAGAGTCTACCTAAAACTAGTACTTTGAAAATATGAAACATTTAGCAAAATCCAGGTGGGGCCGGAAAAGGCCCAAAACGCAACTCCTCCTTTGCTCAGTGATAGTAGAGAGGATGCCTCAAAAGAAAAAAAAACTACTGGTACAAGAGAAAATGATTTTTCAAGGACACGGAGAATTAAAAAACAACAGATGCTGCTGATTGGGAATCAATTCAGTTTTTCTCACCAGCTATTAAAGAATTTTAGTACCTGCTTGTATTTGGTCTGCAAGACCCGCATTTCATCACTGTGCGTTTTGATTAGCTGGGGTAGTTGCGCCTCTTCACCCTCATACTTCTTCAAAGCTCGTTCTTGTCGTTTTAAAAGAGCATTCAAAACTCGGTTTTCTTCAACTAACTCCTGTGAGAAAGTCAAATTAGTAAGTTGAATAAAATTCGAAATGAAGTTGTGACATATTCAGAATGATAAAAATCCCTCTATAAGAGGACTGAGAATGAAGATTATTAAATGCAGTCCGAAAAAATCACAATGGTCATTGATGAAAGTCTGGGGGGAGGGGGGCCATGAAAGCATGTGCAATACATCTAGGACTCGGAGGGAGGATAGATTTTTGGCCACAGATAAGTCTTAAGGTAAAGTTTAGTTACTTCAAAATTTATCATGGATAAAGTTTCAGACAAATTACAAAAAAGGTTGAACCTTACAACTTATTTTTGACTTGAAATACTGCGAGACTGATTCTTTCTCTCTCTATCTGTTTTGAATGTTATTTGACTACAGAAATGAGGTTTGTAACTCCACATGCATTAAATTGACTCATTTACAGGAAGTAGGTCGAAAAAGTGAAGGTCTAATGAGGAGGAAACGCAAGGAGGAGAGATAGTAATAGTGTTGAACCTGGATGAGGCCAGGATATTAGATAGATTTTAAGATAGAGTGCAAACCGAAATACAAAACAGTGCTCAAAGTCGGTGAAAGAAGAGTTTAAAAAACCTGGACTATTCTTTGTAATTCAGTGAGGTGTCTTTTTCCAACATACACTACACTCTGAATCTCAAATTTATATTGCACCAACAAAAGATTAGCCGAATCTATTTTTTGAAAAACTAATCTCCTTATTTATTATGTCCTGATAAACAGAAAAAATGTTGACTAGACCAGTCCAAGTCACCTTGCAATCTCTTTGATGCCTGACTAATCCATGTATCAAACGTCCCAAGTCAGGAGTACAGAAAATGCCCAATTTCGCGATCTTAAGTGGCAAACATGAGGCAAATCTTAGGTCATAAGGCAATATTTTAAAGATGATGACTTCTTTTTCTTCTTCATTTTTTTATTGTTTCACATTTTAAAAAGTGTGGTAAATACCACAGTCTACTGAGAAACCGAGCATGTTGCTATAGAATCTGACATTTGGCCATAAGGCAAAAAGCTGGATCAAGAACGGTCCTTGTTTTGGAACTTTCTATGCTCCTACCCCAAAGGCTTCTGGGAACTTGCATAGCAGGTGAGGCATGGATTTTTCAATGCTTCTCATAAAGGGAACAATGACGAAATCATAAAGTTTCATAAATTTTTGCAAATCCGTGTTTTCCCAAATGTTAAATGATAAAAATAAATTGGTTGCATTATTTTATTTCCTTAGAGGACTTGAAAAACCAAGCCCAGAAGAAGGCAGTTCCCATTTCAACACTTCACACAGAGAGGTCTATTGGTATCAAAAATAGCACCATGAGTCATCAAGAAACATTTTTTTTGTTCTCCACCCCTTAAAACAATGAGACACGAGTCTTGCTCTGACTTAGTTTACATTTAAGAGATGTCGCCAACGCAGACATAAAGGGTTGAGGCTCAGTTGGGTAAACACTCGACTCGGATTCAAGAGATGCTGAATTCGAGTCCATGAGTGACGATGAAATTCTTTGTACCTATCCATCATTCATATTTTAGACCAGTCATCAATTAACTCAAAATGATAAACTTGATACATAAATCAATGATGTGCCTTATCGACACATTGCGTTGGAGTTCACTGCTGGCTTTCTTTGCATAAGGCGTTAATCTTCTCAGCAGATCAGCTCTAGTAAGCAGAGCTCCCTTTACATTCGAAAATTAAAAAAAAAAAAATTAAATAAACAGCCTGATCTCCCGCCTATCTAAACTTTGCATTTCCTCAACCTGTAGTGTAGTGTACAGTAATTGCCAATTACATAATTAAGGATTTTTTATAAAATCTAAAAGTGAATTTTGCATCAAATAATTTGGTTTTGAGAGCAAATCAAAAAAACATGTGCATCAAAAAATAAAGAAAAAATTAAATAGAGGGGTAGCAGTTCCAAAGATTGGGTACAACATACATACTACACAAAGTCTAAAGCTTTCGAAAACTTGACAGGATGGGCACAAGTTTCTGATTAGAGGGGAGTACTATACAATTAGTTTTGAATTTGGTGGCCAATTTTAAGTCCAAAGGACCAGTCATTTCTCTTTCTGCTTCATTGGCTGGTTTTATCATAAAAAAGAGCAGTTATATAGGACGGCTGCATAAACCATCAGCTGCGATACCTGCCAGCCAAGCCTAAACTACGAGTGCCTACTAACCTAAACTACTGAGGAAGGCAAAATGTGTTTCATTTGTTTGCTATTTTTTTCTGTCTCAATCAAAGGAGGACGTGTACACGACTTTGGTTTTTTTGTAAAAAGGCAATATGAATGTAGCGTTGAACAATCGTACTACTCAAACGGTCTAAAAGTGTTCTTGAGTCTACAGAATATAAATTCATTGAGATGATTTAGACATCAATTGATAACTACAATTTAATCCTTTGAATTTTTTTGAAAATTTTCTCTTAGCTGCTTAAGGAGTGAGGTGGCAACTATATTTTTTTCCACACGTGAACAAAAATTTTGTAAAGACTATAGTACTAATAAAAACATAATTCCTATCTTTTAGGCTCTGAAATCAAAATCTATGTGAATACAAAGCTCTTGGTGCAGGTTCCAGTTTTCTACTTGCTGTTCACACAAGCCGCTGGACTTTTACCTGTAGACGAATTTGTGTTTCTGTTAATTTGTTTTGAAGATTTCGCACGCCAAGAAGTTTGGCTGACATTATTCTTTGCGTGAACATGCTCACGTTACTTTTGCAGTTAGAACTGACGGTGTAGCAAGCTGACCGGTAAGGATGATTGGGCGCTGTGAGGAAAAGAACTATTAAACTTTCTTCAAAGCGTTATCCACTATAAGTAACCTGTTGAACTAGTTTCTCTGCTCTACAGCAGAATTTTACAATGTACTCAAAATAGGTACAGCCATTTTGTTTCAACATCAACAGAGGTGAGATATAACTACTCTGTTGACAATACTCCGGGCTACAACTATTGTCCATTTCGGCCCGCACAATAGGGTGAGAGCACCTCAAAGGGTTGGCACGGATTTGGATTAAATGATTAAGGTGTGCAAGTTACAGTGTAGCGCGTGTCAACTCAACGATGGAACTTGCGCAGTGCTGACTTTCACAAGCCGACCACAATTACTACATCTTTCTAACCCTTATCACTGGCCAGCCACCATACATAAGAAAAATTAGACAGCATATTTACTTCCTATTTGACATGCAAGAGCTTGTTATACACCCTAGAAATATGCAAAAGAAAAAATTCCAGAAACTTGATTTGTTTCCTTAGCAAATCATCCCTGAGTGAGATTCTTAGAAATAAAATCATGACTAAAATATTTAGGTCCTCAGATAACATTTTTGGTCGAAAATGTTATACAAATTATATACATGTAAAAATCAAGTTCCTCGACCCAAGTTTTCTTACATTAAGGGGTTCAAAGATTGTGAGCAAGGGTGCACATTCTTCTATCCTTCCAGTTTCTTGCCAAAAACTTTACCCCTTCCACAAAAAACAATGACTTTTTTCTTCTTCTTTTTTTGTCTGATCAAAAATCCTTTGACATGAAGAAAAAAAATAGCACAACGATCTCCTTCAACCTCCCTCCCAAGGGTTACATAATTTATGGACAACTCCCGAGGAAAAAATAAAATGTTCTCGCCAAAACGTTGATTGAGTGATACACACTTTTCTACTACTCCTGTAGCTGTAGAAAATAAATTAAGACTTATCCGGATATTAGCACAATCTGAAAACTGTAGAAAACCTGTCATTCTTTGTGAGAAAGTAGTAGTAAGCCTTCCACAATTTTTTGGCCAAAAATTATTATGGAAAGCCTTCCACAATATTTCAGTAAAAATTGTAGAAACCCTTCCATACTGTTTCTGTGAAAATTTTAGAGACCCCTCCACAATATTTTGGTAAAAGATGTTGAAACTCTTCCACAATAATTTGGTGCAAATTGTGGAAACCCTTCCACACTATTTCAGTAAAAAACTCTTCCACAATATTTCAGTTAAAAAAGTGGAGACTCTTTCACGATACTTCCGTAAAAGTTGTGGAAGATCTTCCACACTTTGTGGGAAATTGTGGAGACCCTTCTACAATAATTTGGTAAAAATTGTGGAGAATGTTCTCGATATTTCGGTGAAAATCGTGGAAACCTTTTCACAATGTTTCTGTAAAAAAAAATGAGATTCGAAGTGAGGAAGAAAATAAAAACTTCCATGAACTCTGGGAGGCTTCCACATTTTCGCGCGAAAATTTCTTGAGTGATCTAGAAAAATGTGCACCCCTGATTGCGAGGACTCATCTCATCTGAGTCAGTGCATAGAAAATCAACTTACCAAAAATAGGTAATAAACTCTTTTTTCTAAAAACAACTTTGCCTTCATTTTTCATCTTAAAATCTGTGCTTCTGGACGTGCTGGCTTCTTCTTGTAATCCACTAAAAAAAGGAGAAACTATATTATTAGCTGCAAAGTTGAATGATTTAAATCCCTGTTTACTATATTCACTTAAAGGCAGTCAAAAGGCGATTGAAACTTTCATACTCAGTTATGGGGACATGATACCTTGAGTAAATTCAAATATTTGCTTTTGAAATACTTGCAAGAATGATATCTTTATCAGGACTGGGCAGGTGTTGAAAATTAGAAAAATCAGCTCAGCCAAAATGGCTAGTTCGAAAGTATTAGGCAGGGGGTGCATAGTATGAGAGGGGCATTGCTACACTATGAGTCATAGTGAGTTGAGTCACTGGAAAAAAGTTGAACAGACCATCATCACACAGTGGACCATGGGAAGAAAGTTCCCGGACAACTCTTTGCCAATATTGACTCAGTCTAAAAATTGACCAATTTCACCAGTCTAACTGGTGACTATGTTACATTACATTAGGACTATTAATGAGTAGCTGCTTCCCCTTGGGAGAATACGCCGTTTTTTGTTATTCATTATGTAGACAATAATTTAAACCCCTGTTATAACTCCCTTATTAGGCAAGTAGGTATATATTTTACCTACATCCCTTTGGGTCTTGTATTTAACTTTATGAAGATTATTCTGATCGCTAGAGGGACTATTTCATGCAACTCTACCTCCAAACAAACCCCCTTAAATTTATTGAAAAAAAGCAGGCTTTCCGAGGAAATGACTGATATTTCTTACCATGAAGACGTAGGCAACGTTCTTACCTGACTAGAACTAGTTCTTGGGATTTACAGTATTGCCCATTTTCTGCAGGACCATCACTGTACTTCATGAGATTTAGACTACTCTCTTTCTCTGTGCCTTCCATCCTAAAATTTAGAAATCAAATATAAATAAAGATTTACAAATAAGGAAAAACAGATAGCAATATTACATCCAGACAATATATTCGGCTAATTGTTGAGAATATATCTAAAAAATGTTGAAAAATTTATAAAATATCAATTCTTTGGATGACTTTAGAATCTACGTTGTCAAAACTGTAGATCAATACTAGATATAACATAAAAACTGACAAATAATATTGTTCAATAGAAATAATTAGTAGGCGAGACTAATATGTCAAAAACATGGGAATAGTATGTAGCTTAAAGCGACGAAAAATGGAAAGAGGAAAAGAACATAAAAAACTAAAAAGAACATTAAGTGTCTCAATAGGTTTGGGAGCCAATTTGTTCATTTTGCTAAGAGAAGATATTTACTTTCATTCTTTGTTTAACATGTATTTAAAACTATACATCTCATAAAAGTATATCGCTTTTTTTTTTTTTTCACTGTCGCGAGTGGAATCGCCCACCCCAATTTGGGGGAAAATGTTATGTTTGTGCTAAATAGTAATTTCTAATGTAATAAAAACTAAAATGAACATTAAGTGGCTCGATAGGCCTGGGACCCAATGTGTTCATTTGTCTGTAAGTTGTGACTGTTTAACATGCCCCTCAAGTTCTTTTTGCTTTTGGCAGTGTTATCCTTTGTAAAGTTTTACTTGTTATTGTACTTGTATATGAAAATAAAAATCATTCATTCATTCAAAATCAGATATCAAGAGAGGCAAAACTAGGAAGCCAGCTTCATAGCAAGGCTTTCAAAAATCCTTGCTCACAACTTATTTTAAAGAGAATCCTCTCTCCGGTAGAGGCCATCACTCTTAAATGACATTTTGTCCTGGGAGTTTATAATTCTAAATTTGATCCCACGTATTTTGCTTTCTCTTTGAGGTACTATTGTGTCTCTCCAAAAATTTTGAGGCCAAAAGTTCCGCAACTTTCCAAAAATATAGGTGCTTTGATGGAGAAATGGCGCCCTTCAGTGGCTGGTTTTAGAAAAAGAATATTCAAATATGCTTGGCTAGAAGGAAGATATGCTTCACGGCTTCCCGACAAAATTTATAATTTTAGATTTGTATATGTATGTAATGCTCCCGAATGATTATGCTCCTTTTTGTCACAGTTCTTGAACTTTCTGAAGGTATAAGCCTACAATTTTTAGAGGACTTCTCCACATCGTCATGCACAAATATTCTCCTTCCTTGTCTGAAATTAGGGTTGTCGATACTTAACCGATACTGCCTAAGTATCGATACATAACTATATCAATACCATGTAGTATCGATCCTCAAATCCCAATTTCGATGATATTGATACTTCATCTGATTTGGCCATGAAGAAGGCCTCTTTTTCTTTTTAACAACTTCTCTCTCTTCTGTTTCACCTTCACTATGCACTGTGACAAACGATGGAATAATCAGGTTTTTCAAGATAATTACTTTCGTTAAAAATGTTAAAAGCTCCGTTAGATAACAGTGGTGAAGGGCTCATTAAAATTGACTGAGCAGGCGAATAAGGGCGGTTTTAAGAGAAGCATAAATCTGGCGGAATTAAACGGCCAACAGACGTACACACACTCCGATAAACGGCATAATTTAGAAATGGTGTCGATACCTCAGAGGCATCGATACTTCAGCTTGATGCTCAATACCGGTAACTATGCTTAGAGTTGATACCAGTATCGATACTTCCTCGAGTATCGACACCCCTATCTGAAAGGCACCATATAAAATATGGAAAAATATACATTGGAGACTCGACATTAATTACACTTGATGACTTAGTCCCACTACCATCTCATGCTTTATGTATCCCTTTCGCCTCTTCTTTCTCTTTCTAAACTTTTTCACCACCCTCATTCTGGCGCCTTGTGCAGCCGCTCCTCAAGTGCCAGCCTCGGCCCAGTCCTGCTTCAAATACATGAGTGACCCCTTGTCCATACATTACACTAATGATAGTGTGGTTAAGGCAGATCAAAAATGTGCTGACTAGGCATCAGACTACGAGTTTCGGTGTGTAAATCTGATTCCGTTTCACTCCATGGATGTCAACAGCATGATCACAAAATTGAGGAGTCATCGTTACATTCCCAACACTAGAGATGAGCTAATCAATTTTCTACATCTTGCAGAGTTAAGAAGGTAAATTTTAGAAGAAAGATGAGCATGAGGAACAGAGGCATCACCTTAAAAAGTCTCACCTACCAAAGCTTTGTTAGCGCTTAAGACAATAACTAAATAGAGGGAAATCAGTAACGGTAAAGTCACTTAAAAATTGAACACCTACGACTGTAATGCGACTTACGCGCTTAAATATTCTGAGATATTACCTGACAGATACTGCCTCTGCAATGAGGTGTGTGGGGAGATGAGATATGGAAAATTCTAAAATTCAGCCAAACTTTCCTGACTTTTTAGTGACAGAAACTAATCAGAAACCAGAAACACACAACAATACAATAAAATAACAACATGTTATGTTATGAGAAAAAAAAGCCAGAAACCACGGAAGGAAAGGGGTGGTGCGGGGTGCGGCAATGTGCGGTGGTGCAGTCGATGACGTAGGCCAGGTGCAGACTGATTGTAGGTTACCCAGAGATTAAAGTTCGTCTTGTCTCTGAGTTTGTCATCGATTATTCGATTTTCTCAATAATTGTTCGGTTTTTAAATACAGAGAAAGTTTTCTAAGTCGTGTGAAATATTGAAAAGCGTTGAAACAACGGACTTTTTTACACGAATATTAGTTAACATCGTCTTGTACTTACCTACGTCACGGTGTAAACAAATCAGAAATTGCCATCACCTCCTGTTCTTCTTGTGCTACTGTAACCAGATGCGTAGGCAACGCCAGATGTTCGTTTGTTTTTTTTCACCCTAATCTAATTCTAATGCTAAGTAACTTATGTATCATTTTGCATTCTCATTTATTCATCAGGCTCAATTTTGCTCTTTTATCTGCCTGTTCCACTGTTGTGAGTATTGATCAATGTAATCTTCAAGCCCCTGTATCAGTTTTTAACGCATCGTGAATCCGACAGTAGTAATTCTGTGTCCATAATTTCTCCGGACGTTTCTTGTCATCGTAGCCAGAAATGCCAAGAATCCATCCCTATTCATCGATAACGCGGCACAATGTAGATAAGTTTTCGGCCGACACACATATAAATGTTTAGTACAGTCCAGCAGTGGTCTACTGTACTTTATTGAAGTAAACTTTATGTAACAAGTTAATTCTCTGCTCGCGGTGTAGAATCTGAGCATCCTCATAATGACGACCGCCGCGTATCTGGAGCAGTATCTAGACAGTAAGTTGATTAAATATTTTTTACTTCATTGATTTTAGTAAAAAATTTCCAATATAACATGGAAAATCAAATGGCATTCTGTCGGGTTATGGGTCAACTCCGAAAGCCCTTATCCTAGATCAAAGTAGAGCGGACGCATCGTATGTTGAGACAAATGTCAATCTCTGATTACCTCCAAATCAGCACCACTCAGAAGGTTAATACACGCAGTCAGATGGCACCACTGATGAGTGGTGACCTAAACAATACTTGACAGTATGTCTCAACATAAGATGCGTCCGCTGTAGAGCTCTAAGTGAGGTCACGCAATGTCACTTTGAGAGCTCTACCTTGATTGTCTGAAATGGGCTTAAGGCACAAAGACAGAGCTCTAGAAGAAAAGAATGATGCAAACTCTCCGATTGGCTAGAGGATTGGTGGCGAAAACGGAACAAGTTTGATATTCAAATATAAGGCAGGAACTGAATGAAATTGCATATTAAAACAAAGTATTCTTGCTTGCTTGCTTATTGTCTCATCAAAAGAGCTGTAGGTACGCGCAATCTAGATTGTATTACATGCCTCTGGGAACAACCTGTAGAATGATTGGCCATACAAAGTTGAAAGCATGGCTGCTTCCTTATTGGCAATCATTGTGTGTATACTTCGGAACTTTTTGCACCTGGAACTGCTCTCTATTTGTTAATCTTTCCCTCATAATTGGAAATCTGCTCCCAGAATCTTTCGTCTGTTGAGCTTGCTTGTCAAATCCTTTTCTTTTAAGGTCTGAGAACCTTCAAAGGTTCCTACTCCATGTGATGTATTAGTTTTACAGGATGATTGTACTCTGTTTCATCTCTGAATTCTGTTAAAAAATTTTCAGCCCTAGAAAACCTGCCAGTTGAACTTCAAAGAAATTTTACTCTCATGCGAGAACTGGACTCCAGGGTTCAAGCTGTTATGCAAAAAATTGACGAGTCAGGTGATGACTTTCTCAAGAACATCAAACTTCTCTCCTCCGAAGAACGGCAAGATCGTATGAAGAAAATCCAAGAAATGTTCAACAAAGTAAAAGCCCTAGGAGATGATAAAGTTCAGTTGTCTATTCAAACATACGAGTTGGTAAGAATCTGCTCTATGTAATTTATAAACAACTGTCATCATCAATCATTATAAAATTGCTTTTAATGTATAGTATCTGTTGCCATATTGCAATTATATAATGATAAATATGTGCATGAAGCACCCCCTACTTTTTCTTTTTTTTTAAAAAAAAAAATATCAGACAATGTTCAACAAGAAATGTCTTGAAGTATTGTCATTATTATTAGTGTAAGAATTGATGAAAGCCAATTTTTGTTAATAGTTGCACTGAATTAAAAGGATCGATTGCACTTAAAGTAGACCAAAGCTATTCTGCTGTAAAATAATTTTCATTTCGTACAAATTTTTGCATTAGGTATCACCATCATTCACTTAAACAAATGAACTCATATGTATTTATAGTCTGAATTAGGCTCATAAACGTGTAAGCTTTAGATCAAATGTGACATCACAGTAGTCCTGTGTGACCTCTATAAATTTTTTGTCTCCTCAGTCCTCTAGACCTTTTTCATATGTGACAAGATTTACCATGAAGCAATTTTATCTTTTCAAATACCTTAGCTGACCCATTCATAACAACACCCCAATGATGCAATGACAGATATGTAATTTAGGTTATCATAGGGAAAATCTGATTTACGGTAACTTTATTTAATTAACAAATATTCGTTCAAGAATAGTCAAACCAATATTTTGTCTCTTTTTCCAACCTTTTCAAGATTTTTTTGGCTTAGCCGACTTAAGCAAGTGCTGTTTCACTTTACAAATTCTGGGTTGAAGAGAGTTTGGTTTGGGCAAAGAAGTCAGAAGCAAAACCGGTGACACTTTGCCAGCAGGCCTGATTTCTTTGTCTAAATGGAACGCTCCTCCACTGAGATTCTTGAAAAAAAGCAGTACTTCACCAACAAAATCTTTAAATGCATGAAAAAAGTGAAAAGTATTAGTTCGATTTTAAGTCATATTTAACCTCCGTACAATAGGTAAAAATTGATTGAAATGTGACATTCCCAAATGTGCTTGTCAGAATGTTAAAATAGTCTCTGAAAGTGTCAAAACACGGATAAAAGAGTACAAAAATAATGATGGAAAACAGGAAGAAAAGCTATGAAGATATGAATCACAGTCATTGAAAGTGGAAAAACCATTTCTGCAGGAAAAGTTCATTGAAATTTCTCCCAAAAAATTGAATTAGTTCAGAAGTCTATCACTGAGATTTGACCACTTAAATTTACCATTCAAGCGTACAGTCTGATTTTTATTTTAAAATGTTTGTGTGTCTTCAGGTTGATAAACACATTAGGAGATTAGATTCTGATCTGGCTCGATTTGAATCTGAGATTCAAGATAAAGCTAATCACACAAGGAATCAGATGGAAGAAAATGAACCTGTGAAACGTAAGTTATCTAGAGAGAGGAAGTATGATATTTTGTAAGCACATTCAACAGCACTATTTATCAAGTTCAGCCATCAGTGTTACCACAAGACTTAAATGAAAGGCTGAACTTCGGTTGTTACGAAAGCAACATATGCTAAAACTGGGAGTATCAACACCAGTGATGTATGTGTAATTTTTAAATGGTCTAAGCATTGTCAAGGCAATTTAATCCCCCTCCCCTTGTAATATCTTTGTGTTAATGCAGGATGAAGGAGGGTTGCGGAAACTGCTCAAGCTTGTGAGCCTCAGTCACTTGTGAGTGGCATGAGCTAATCAGTGAGCTTGTAAAAAAAATGTTCCATGGAAAGTTTGAGTAAAATGTAAAAGTGCACTGCATTTAAATTTATTTGACCCTTGCGGACTGCTGATATTTCTGCAGAAAGAGAAAATGTTGATGCTGGGATTGCAACTGATTATTGCTCCAAAAAACTTCCTGCACCCTTGAAGCAAAGTTGTATTGTTGCTTCGAAGACTTAATTAACAAGAAATATTTTATACACCTCTCTGTGTAAAGAATGTCCATTAGCTCTTTAATTTAACTTTATATTTATCCTTCCAAGCTCTTGGCAAGACTGGCATAAATCAATACACTTATTATTTTAAATATTTTCTTGACCAAAAATGATCTTCAAAAATGTTGAAGTGTGAAAATTTTAAAATGCAGTCTGGGAGCGTCCAAACAAGGTCCCGTCACAGTTTGTTTTTTTTTTTATGAGCGCAGACATCTTTGTTGGCTTTCAAATGTTCAGAATTATTTTTTAAAAGATGGCGTGTTTTTTTTCGTTTATTTAGGTGGCCGGAAGAAGCTAAAAGAGAAGGAACCCAAGAAGAAAAGCCGAGCTGCAGGCACAAGTAGTGAGGATGAAAATAATAAAGGAACGAAGAAGAAACAAAAGAAAAGTGAGTTAATCATGTTTCCTCTTGATAAAAATAAACAAGGAAGTCTTGGATCTCCTCTTTTTAAAATATGTATTTAAGGATTTACAACTACAGCATAAACCTAACAATTTAAAATTCATTTTTTAAAATCTTAAATAAAAAAAATCTAGGAATTTTTCTCTGACTTTCAATATAAATCCTCTTCCACCCACCGTTGCATCATCCAACAGCCGTCCACTAAGTCTCCTGCTGACTTACTACAATGTTGCAAAAATTCTTTGGCTGACACCTTGGAAACCCTGTGCCGAGTGCCTTTTTCTTATTTTTGTTCTCACTCTTAGATTTGAGAATCATTCATTCATCTTCATATTTCATGGATATGAAGTTCATTCACAGAAGGAAAATAAATCCAAATAACATGATGAACTTATACAAAAAATAGGAGATCAGGGAAAAAAAGCTGGATAGGCAACTTATTTAACAACAACTAAAGTAAAACCCTTGATGCGATTAGTTATCAGAGACTCAAAAGCACCTAGTGATGGGTTTAATGAATTTATATCAGTACCAAAATTATTGCTTAAACTACTTAAGCTCATTACAAAAGATTCGTTTTAGTAGTGCTGGTATGAAATCAAGAAGAAAGGGCAAAAATATTCTCGATAGCTACATCAAGGGAACTGCAGAAGAAGCAACAAGATGCAGAGCAGCCATCTTGTCCTCGTCTAAGTTTTGTTTAATTCTTTTGCTTTACCGTCAGGCGGAGCAGCAGGTGGTACTGGACCTGGTAAAAATGCAGCCAACTCTACTTCAGGTGGTCTGCCTGTTGAATCAACTCTAGCCTCTGTCCTCCCTGGTCTAGTGGGAGTTGTTCACCCAACAGATGTCTTAGACATGCCGGTTGACCCTAATGAACCAACTTATTGTCTCTGTCATCAAGTATCATACGGTGAAATGATTGGCTGTGACAACCCTGATGTAAGAACTTGTTTTAAATATTTAATATCCTTTGATAAAATCTCTATCAACTGGGCTTCACTCATAATGTTTTATAAGATTTTAAGGAAGCAACACTTTTGTTTTTGATTCAAGCCTACATTTTTCCGTTTTTCATCTAGTTAAATGGAGTTGTTGCGTGGGTAAGGGATTTGAGGAAAAAAAAAATATGTCGGTATGGAGCTTTTCGCGAGAATTACTATGGTAACATTTAAACAGTTCAAAATCAAGCCCTAGAGCCCAAAAAAACTTGCTGAAGTTCCATTAAATTCAAATCAAAATTAAACGATTTTCATTGGCTGCTATACAGCTTGTCAAACTATATGTCACACTGCATGAGAATCTCTCCTGGCCGTCATTGCCAGTATCTTGAAACTCTGACCATGAGTTTATCCTCTGGAGGTTAGGTTAGGTTAAGCTCATCTTGAAGTCTGATTGACTATGATGATGAGCAGATACTGCTGACATCACTGAACGACTCCTGCTTTGTGTAGAATACGGGAAAGGAGCGGTTCTTAACTCACTTTTCGTATCAGAAATTGTTGTGAAGAGCTAAAACTTGGGTCAGAAAATGTTTCACCTTATCTTCAGGTATTCATGAAGATAAAAATTAATTGGATTTAGTCAGACAACTCGATTTTCCCGATTTTTTTAAAAAATGCATACTAGCATGAAGCGAAAACCCGTAGTAGTGCGTTGTGGAGTCTGAGTAACGAGATTTCGAGGCGCTGGAAGGAACTACGTTTTATATCGCCCTTGAACTTTCAGGGCTATCTCTCCATGTTCTCATCATCAAAAAATTTTTAAGAAAATATCTTAACAATCAGCACCCGTCCGAGTAGAAACTGAATTACAAAAACATGATGCAACAACCTCCTTGTAGCTGATGAAAAAGACGTCCAAGTCTCCAAAAATCCAACCCCATTTCAAATGGAAAATTATTGCGTCATTGGCTGCCGTTTATCATTTCACCCACATTTTTGTTTACTTACTTTTTCTAACTCCCAATTTAATCCTTCCTTTTCATTACTTTTCAGTCAAAAAAGCTGTGTATTGAGATTTTTAAGGCTTGGAAAAATGTTTCTCAGTAAAATTCACAGTGGAAATATCTACTTATCTTTTAGGCAATTCCTGGATATTTTTTACTAACACCATTGTAAGGAAGATAAATTTAATAGTATGACTGCCACATGATGTTTTTGAGAGGTAGCTTAATACCAAGTGACGATCATATTAGGTGAGAAAGTTCGTCAGTGTTTTCTCCTCCTCAAAAACTATCAATTAAGGCTGCAAACTGTAGTCTGGAGCTATACTATGACTAGGACTCCTTAATTAATCTGTGTGGAGCCTATTTCAATCTACTTTTACCACCTTCATGTACGCAACATCTTTCATTGTCAAACGATAACTCACTTTTTGGCTTTACAAAAATCATTTTTAACTAAGCAAAAAGTGGTTAATTGAACTGACAAAACATAGTGCAAGGAGGTACTTGGGTCATTTGTCGCCAGTTTTCCTGAGAAAGGTATTCAATCTACTTTTTATTTTACTTAAGAATTTTACTGATTATTTAAAAAAATTTGTTTTTTATTACAGTGTCCAATTGAATGGTTCCATTTTGCGTGTGTTGGTCTCACCACTAAACCAAAAGGCAAATGGTTTTGTCCAAAATGTACAGCGGATCGCAAAAAAAAATGAGGTACTTGTCAATACATATTATTGCTTGCTTTGTTTTGAAAAGCTCATTATTTGTGTAATTTGGAATGGGCCTGTTGCATGCAAGAGATACAGCCGCGCTAATAAACTTTTTAAAGGTTAAATGACTCGAAAATTACGATGGTCACATTAAAAAAGTCTGAAATACACTCCTTACTGCGCAATTTGCGTTGTTAGGAACGCATTTTTTCAAATTTCCCGCGTCTGGGGGCAGTTTTCTAATCACCGGAAACGAGCAAACGGCGGGCTCGGTGATTTCCGGAAGATGCCGAGTCGTTGTTGTTGTTATTTTTTCCTTCAGTTTGTTTACAAACCCAACGTGATCTCTTATATTGGTTCATTTACGCTTTATGCGCTAACCAAATCGATCAACTTTCAAATATCCAACGCAACCCTCCTACATTTCATTTCACGATATCACGAGCTCCGTTTTTTAGGTTATGTTGTCAGTTTTAGTTGACCGGAAATAGCCGCGAGTTGCCGTTAATTGTTTCCGTTAGAAAACTGCCCCCAGATGCGGGAAATTTGAAAAAGCGCGTTCCTAACAACGCAAATTGCGCAGTAAGGAGTGTATTTCAGACTTTTTTAATGCGACCATCGTAATTTTCGTGTCATTTAACCTCTGAAAAGTCTATTAGCACGGCTGTATCTCTTGCATGCAACAGGCCCATTATACCAGGATTGAAAGATGTAATAAATTGAAAGAAGAAAAGAACCATAATCAACGATGTTGATTCAAGGTTTGAAGGATAAAAATTCAATTGTTGTCCTCCAATGTGTTCAGCCAAATCACCTTTAAGAATATAATTTATTGAGAGTTACAATCTAAAAAATCCTATTGACTGTGGAACTCCCAGACCAGGTGTCTCGGTCGTGATGTTTTAAAATCTCCTTCCCCATTTTATTTGTTAAAGGAGAACAAATCAACATCATTCCTTGAAGTTTTCACAGATCTTCTGCAGGGAAGGAACACTACTTGATTGAACGGTCTGCCAAATCATTGTAGTTCACAATTTTACTCTGGCAAATTTTGACTTTTCTTATGAGTGAGAGATTCAATTTTTTTGTAATCACTGCAAAATGAAAACGTCAATATCTTGGTTAGGAGCCCATTTCAGTAATTTTTGTTGCGCTTATCCTGTTCCAAGTGATATTTGAGGTAGGAAATATATATCAGGGTGCTTAAATTAGTATCTTGTCTATTGGTCCATTGGCTGGTCTGCGCAAGGTGACTGAGCTTTTGAAGGTTTTGCATTCTATCATATTGTCTATTGTTGCTCAATGTGTTAGGTTACAATTTTTCAGAATTTCGGCTTGATACCTTGACATGTGCTTGTGTTCTTTGTCTTATCACGATCTTAACAATGAGCATGCCTTAAGCAACGGACCAATTAACTCTAATTGCCGCTAATGACAAAATTTTCTTCGGCCCCCAGACAATTTGACTTAACAAACTTTCACTATATTATTAAAGTCAGAATTAGAGTTGTCAAGTCATAAATTCTCATTTTGGTTTTTGTTTTGCAGATTTTTAACTTCAGATCATCAAGTTCACAATATCTACCTTCAGGGAGTCTTTGCCATCATAGGATAGGATCATTTTTGAAAATAGGCACATATTGCCTGATGAATCCTTGTGAAACTTGAATTATTTAAGGCAATCAACATATGATCTCTTCGCTCTTACTTTAGCTTTTTACTCTTCGGGAAAATTTTTCTGCTTGTCTGTTATGATTAATCATCAATTCTTGGTAGGTTTCTACCAGATTCTAAGTAGCACTGTACAGTATTTTTTTAATTTTATCGTAGCTCTCTTTAAATGTTTATTTTTTTATTGTTAGTTCACACCTTCAACTGTACCAAATTGAGCCAAATCTACAGATAATAGACTTAGGCTACTGGCGGAAAGAATAGAAACTATTCACACAATAACGATCAAAATTAACATGGATGTACATGTAGTGCATCAAAACATTTAGCTGGATTTTTGAAGTTAAGTTTTTTGACAAACTTATAGTGTGCTAACCTCAGTTTCCCTTAATCACGTTGTGAAAGTTATATTGGTCTCAGAGCCAAATTTGACTAGATCAATCCACAAAGTCAGTCATTGCACATTGTCCCCCGACTTGTCCATTGAGTTTTAATGTCAACATTAGGTGCATTCATGAGAGACAATGAGCCTTAATGGAAATTAACCTGTGACTGTCATGGGGGTTCAATGCTCAACGCAAAAGCGCAGCACCTTTTGCGACTGGTGAGTGGAACATTGTGCAATGAGGTGGTAAACAGAGTCACGTGACAGTGGTTAGACTTCAGTTGGACAATGGGGAACATTGTAGATAATTCACCTAGATTATCTCCGTTGTCTATCATGAATACAGCTATTACCAACAGTTAATTGAAAGATTTCCAATTCAATGAATTTCTTTATGGAAGGAGATGGGACAAACAAATTGTTCTCTTGGTCAGTTTTAAACCACCTCAGGTCTTACTTGTGGCAAAGTTTTTAGGTTTAACGGCATTTAAAGCAAACACGTACTTTTAATTTCATTTGGAAAACAAGTTTTACTCATAGATGCGAAGTCACATATTTTGAACATTATACCAATCAACTGGCATTATTCAGTCATTAAAAAGCAGCATGTCAAATGTTAATAATTGAAGATTATTATTACAACTTCAAAATTAGCAAAAGAGCATACTTACAGGAAGTTCATACTTGTAGCATTTCTCAATAAGTTTACAAACGATTGACTAGAGATTTGATGTGTAACAATGGATACATGGAATTTTAGTTAGTTTAAATAACTCTGAATTATATGCTTTTTGCTAACTTCCTCCTTTAAGATCCCCAAAGTAATAAAGCTAACTTTGAATTAACCATATCGCTTGATTTTTCTTCCTCTTTTTCCATGCGGGAATCAAGTTTATGGTTCGTCCATCAGTGACTTTGGAGTTGTCCTACAAGTTGAGACACTTTATGTTTTGCTGCTGATCATGCACCATAATTTTATTTTGTTAACAATTTATTGAAAAATTGATTTATCGAAAGGTCTTTCGATGTATCTTCTTCCCTCTCTCATTGGTTTACATATATCAATCTTTTGATTTCAGATTTATCTATTTTGTACGCATCTGTTCCCAATAGATACATTTTAATAAATGAATTTCTCCAGTACGAGTGTTGATGTTCAATTTACCTAAGCCTGAGACTATCATTATCCACATTACAAGAATCTGTTTGATGACAACTGAGCCAACTCCAGAATTTTTCTCTTATCTAAACCCAAGAATCCCAAACAATGCTTGAATTCAAAACATACTTATTTCAACACATTTTTAACGGTTTACCTGATGAAACTGACAAAACCAATCCTAGAATCTGATCCTTTTCTATGATCCCCAAACATGTATGTAATGTATTTCAACACATTTTTCATTATTTATCTCAAGATACATAAAATTTAGCTGAGCTGCGTAATTTAAGACATAATTTTGATTACTTTTATTTCTTTTATTAACATAAAAAAGACTTTCTGCTTCAGAAATACAGAAGGTTGATGAGACTTTACAGGAATACATTCTTTGTAAGAAGGTGAAAAAATATCTCTTAACATTGGATGATGTGACATCCTTATTGGTTATTGAAACGTGATCAGAACACATATGATTGCACAAAATCTTACAATGTATGACAAAAATCACTAGGAGCCACAGTTTGTTAAAGAAGTTTGAAAATTGCAAGTTTCAAAGGAGGAAGAAAGAAAAATGTTCTTTAAAGGAGTTGTTGACGGCATCAACCATCTCAGAATTTATGATGCTTTGAGGTCTTTGAATTTTCTTTCAAATTTTAAAGCCCTTAAATATGCTTAAATTTTTAGAATAGCCTTGTTGGGCTAGAGCATCTTTGAATTCTTTGTCATCTTGTTATTTCGTCTACAATCATTTGAAAAACAAGTCTTAAATTTTCCTAAACATTTCCACAATTTTTTAACAGTCCTCGGAAACTTCTTCAAAGTCCTCAACTTAACTGACAAAGACACCTTGACAAGTCCATAATTTTAAATTTATGAATCTGTATGGATACTGCACCAGTACCTAAAAAGAGTTCATCATGAGACATGATTCGCTACCGATGCTGTCTGGTATATTGTCTTAGCTCTCTCACTCCCAAATTTTAATACTTTGTATATTTCTTATTTTCTTTTTAAAGAAAAAGGCCACTTTCAGTCTCTAAGAAAGGCACCCTTTCAATGATGCAAAAAAGCAAATATATGTCATGCCTTTTTGCATCTCTCTTCTGATAAGACTCATTGCTTCAATGAAAAGAACTAATTAAAAATATGGCCGACTTGATTTGCCAGAAAAAGCATTGCAACTTGCTGCCGAATCTCAACAAAATCAAGGCACAAAGGAGTTGTTGCGAACACAACACTGTGAGGGCAAAACATCCCAGTTGTAGGTATAAGATTTTCTCAGTCGAACTTCTTTACTGCACAGAACTCCAGTTCTTTTTATGTTCTCAAAGAGGGATTCCATCTCTGCTGGTGATTTTTTGTGGGTGACAAGATAGGAGTTCGAACACCCTCTTGACATGTATTCGGTGTCAAATCGTGGATCATGGACACGGGTAACATTCAACGGAGCCAACCAGGTACCAACTGAGATGTCTTCACTTCGAAAGCGACTGAAAAGAATACATGAGAAGCAAAATCAACGGATCCTTAAAGGGATGTATCATAAATTAAGGCTGGACAAGAAGGGGCGCTTGGAAAAGAACTTAAGAGGGAGTATATGTTCAAAACTAATTTTTTTCAATTTTTATTTTTCATTTTCTTACTATCTATCTGGATTCTGCTGAAATGAATTATGTATTAATTTTTTCCAGAAGTATTTTTAATTATTTTACAAAGTTGCTTCATCATCAAAATTAATTAAAGTACATTTTCTTTATTCACCAATACTGAAAACTTTACTTTTTAAGAGTTTCTGGATCTTGGAACAAATGTAACTCTAACTGCAGTTCTATTGCAGCTAAAAAGCTATTGTTTTTTATTTTTTTTCAAATACTCAGAGTTTAATACTCTACAACTTGTGGTATTGGTTTGTTTGTACATGTGATGGGTAATTTTATAGAAATGAGGAAAGTCTAAATGCACCTGAGAAAATATTGAGGCATGAAAAAAAAAAGGTATACATGCTTATCATTTAAAAATAATTCTCCAAGTTGTAGAGCTAATATAGCTGATCGTTTTTTTTAAAAAAAATAAAGTCTAAAAAGACTGAAATAATAGTTGTTCCAAAAAATCTCCATTTTTAGGCCAAATTTCCTGCTCTTCGAGAAATGTCCAAACGGGTCAAATGTACTGAAAATTTGCAGAAAATCTGAAGTGCCCTAACAAAAGTAGAGTAAAAAAAAATATTAGGTGTACAGGGAAGAAAGTGTATAGAGGAAGTCTATCTCCTTAAGAACTTAGACTGTTGGAGGTAATGAAAGAAAATACCAGATAGAAGTTCAGCAAAGTAGGGCGGAACACTTAATGTCAGGAAACAAGAATTTAGCATTAAAGTTCTGAGCCAGTTTTTAGCCCTTTTTTAAATCAAATTGAGGCTGATCAATGGTGAAGAACAGCATGCTTAATGTAGTGCATGAAACCACTAACAATCACAAAAAAATAGTTTGCAGCAATGTGTTGCTCAGGCACCATTCGCATAGCTCTTGCAGTGCTACAATAGCATATTAGGGGAGACTAAAATAGACAAGACATGATTGAAGATTACTTTACAGGTATTAGTTTTCTTTAGTGTCCACGGGAGCTGGAACAAGATGCAAATTGGTGCCAACGTACATGAATAGAATTGTGTCGAGGGTAAGTTGCAGATTTTGCTCAACTACAGTCTTTTGGAGACAGATAAACAAAATTTTCTACATCTCGTTTATGCATTTAGTTTAAAACCAACAAATGGCGGGATGCCATCTGTATGTTGAAGGCTCAACTTAGCATCTTTGTACCTGGAATTCCATGATTTACATTTTATACTTCTTGGGGGTAATTGCTAATTTTATCCTTTAAAATTTGTACAGAATGTTCTTCGAACAACAAAATTTTAAAAAAATTCCCTTGATCAGTTTCCCGAATAAAGACTCAAGTATGCAAGTCTGAGGTCTGCAATGTTGCAAACTAAGTTATGGTGATTTCAAGTTTGGCTGCCAATGATTTAAAAAGAAGCAGATCATGTTTTATGCCTCAGATCATAATGAAGGAATAAAGAGAGTGAATAGAGAATGATCTTACACAAGATGTTGATGATTGTCTGCGATAAACTTGACAAGCTTTTGTGACAAGATGTAGCCTCCTCCAAGTGCATACGGTAGATACCGATCGCAGAGTATCCACTTGTCCTCCTTCCATTTCCCTTGTGTTTTGACATGTGCTCGACCATCAAAGAAACCCCAATAGAGATAGTCAGACTTCAACCTTAAATCTACGTTATCGTGCAATTCTGCAAATATCTTGTCAACACGGACGAATGAATCATCATCACATTTGAGGAGATACCTGAAGTTATGAAAATTTGTTACATAAACTATTGATGCCAAAAGTTTACTGGTAAGGCTTTCGTACGCCTCCACAATTTGTGGTAGTAAAATAATATCGTTGTGAAGAGATATCTCTCGCTGAACAGCAGCAGTTTGGGTTTTCAGGTTCCGCGTTCCAAGCACAAAAAAGTACTTCACTTCATCAGATCCTGAGACAAATTTGGTCCAGGTCTGTCGAATGGCATTCCGCCTTTCAATATTATTCAAAGCAGAGAGAATAATAACAACTAATGTTCCTTCATGCGGAGTGAATCGTAGTTCAATCTCTTCATTTGGTCGCTGACTAAAAATGTTAACTGTGAACATGCACCCCAGAAGGAAGAAGAATGTGCTTAAAAAGTACGGTAAAATCTGTCGAGACAGCATGCCTGAGAGGAATAATATGCATGTGCTCTTCATGAGGATTCAGCGCAGTTTCGTTTGGCTCATTGCGTTACACGGACTTGCATAGGTTTAAAATCTAAAACTTAGATGAAATTGCAATCATTCATCATCAGACGCGATGAGACTGCAAGGAAAGGTGTTTAATTTTTGAAAATACTCGCTAGATATGAGGCAGAACATTCCGAGGCACCTATACAAGAGCACCACGACTAAAATAATAAGTGTCAGAACTTGTAGAGTTAATATGAACAAATAAATTGTATCCATTTAAGTGGAGGAAAAACTGCATTGAAAATAATGTTCACGAGTTACATTTGATGTTCTTCAAAAAGTATTAATGTTCGCAAAACTACACAGGCGTCCAACTTCCAACAAGAGCAGACTTTGTTCGACTTTGTTTACATTTGTGAACAACACAACAACAAACATCGCCATGATTGCTGTTGATAAGAATATTAAAGATGGCGGCTAGGAGAGCTTTTCGCGCGCTTTTCCCCCCTCCGCCTATGGAATTGGGATTTTTGATAACGATAAGAAATTGAAATAAAGAAACACCTGCCGGAACCCGTCGAAATGCACACCGCGTGCGCCTCGTTTNAATGGAGATCCTTGGCTTTTTACAGTCTCACTATTGATGTGTAAGTCATTTATAAATACATTTTATGATTCCTATATCCCTATCTTTTAAATTCTGTTTCAAAAATCGCGGGTGATTATCGAACACTCACATACGATATTTTCATACCGATATTTTAGAATATCGATATTTTGAATATCGTATCGACCCGAATATTCGATATTTTCAGAAATATCGTATCGTTTGAAATATCGGTTTTCTTGAAAATATCCCCAACACTATCGCCATGATCAGCTGTTGATAAGAATATTAAAGATGGCGGCTAGGAGAGCTTTTCGCGCGCTTTTCCCCCCTCCGCCTATGGAATTGGGATTTTTGATAACGATAAGAAATTGAAATAAAAAAACACCTGCCGGAAGCCGGAACCCGTCGAAAAGCACACCGCGTGCGCCTCGTTTTGTGTGTATTTCTTTTAGTCTTTGTAAGTCGTGTTTATTAATCTCTATCTTTCTGCCTAACTTTGAATAGAAGTAAAGAGCTTCTACTATCCAAAATTCCCAAAAACTTCTCAAGATAAGTGGATAATTCATCACTCACCTAACCCCAAACTTTCGAAGCACAAAGAAAGCTTGCTGCTTAACGTTTTTAACGGCGAAAAATCGAAAATCATAGTGTTTGGCGTCACTCTTATCCTGATACAAGTCTGACAAGTGGGGTTTTGCATCAATCACGACAAATCTTCAACATGGCTTGCATTTTAAACGGAAGTAAAATGGAATGTGATCTCCCCAAAACCAAAGGCCAGATTCAGGTATGCCTTACTTTATTTTGCTTATCCATCAGATTTCATCTCCATCTGAACGTAGTGTTGCCTTGTAGCAATTTGTATTTCAGAGACAGGACATGTTAATTATGTCAGATTGTCAAAGAACATGATCCTTCTCCATCCGTTCTTGCTCACCTTCCAGGAGGTATCCTCAGAAATTGGCAGAAGATGCCATGTGCTAAATGTTATCAAGGGGAAATCGCCAATGAAATTGCTGTTGAACACATAACAGGGGAGCATATGATAATCTTATTCTTGATTTTCACACTGGTGAAAATGTCAAGGAAAATTTGATTCCTGGGAGCATTCATGTTGGCTCTCCAAACTGTCAATGATTACCTTTTTTATGTTGGCGCCTTTTGGTGTGTGTGTTTCTGTCATTATTTCTCAAGGGAGTACCTAGACTCCATCCATGATCAGGTCAGTTGCGCTAGTCACAGAATTGTTTTTTATTGCTTGATTTTTGTTGATTAGCTGATTATAGTAAGATCTGTCCAAACCACAACTTTCTACGTTCAATATTAGCCGAGATTAGTATGGCCCTTTGAAAAGTCAGGTTTCTGACATCATCCACCGCAGCAGTGACGCCCTTGGTTTCTTCCTATTTTGTTCGATCAATGATGCAGAGGGTAGAACACGAAACTTCAGCGACGCCTAATGTAAACAAACTGAGGTGAACTGACACTGACCGCCTAATCTCTTCGTGGCGAGTGCGTTATCTCCTGATGGGAAGATCTTCAAAGTGTGAATCCCTCTGTTACTTGAGTTTGTTTGCATCTAACGATGTTGAAGTTTCACGTTGCACCCTCTGACAAAATAGGAAGAAACCAAGGGTGTCACTGCTGCGATGGATGACATCAGAAACCTGACTTTTCAAAGGGGATATCTCGGATAACCCTTTCTGGTCCGGGGCCATCTTGCCACGGCCGCCGTAGCAGGTCCGCATACTTTTTTTGGAAGTGAGCCCAGAGAGTCCACTAGAGGCCGCCACATGCTGGTGGGTTTGGAAATATTTGACAACTGATCTGCACACAAGTTAAAACTTTTGGGCTCCTCTATCCGACATCGGACCTGAACCGGTTTTATTGCGATGTTGTATTTATCCGACTTCGGACCGGGAAGGGTTAATATTGAACGTAGGAAGTTGCGGTTTGGACAGATCTTATTATTTTTTGCTACTCTACAAGAATCAAGCATCAAAACAGGATTCTATGACCAGCACAACTGACCCATTCCAAATATAGTTACAGTACCCTGAAAGAAGAAAGTTTACACTTTGACATCTGACCTGGGCAATGAAGGCATCTGACCATGAAAACCTCAAATTTCACCTGTTGATCTAAGCACCAGTGGGGGGGAGGGGGGGCTTGGTGGCATGCCCCTCCTCCCTCATGCCAAAAAAGGAAAAAACGGAGAGAATGAAAAGTGCTCCTACAAATTTACTGAAATGGTTTCAAGACAGAACTATATTACTAAATTTTACCAAACCAAAGACTACTCAACACCGCAGAAATACATACCTTGTCCTTATACTAAATTAAAATTATGCTGAAAGAGGTATTATGCGCCAAATTAACCTCCTGAGAATGCTCAAAGGGTATGCTAAAACTGCTTTAAATTCACTGTGGGAGGGCCTATTTCTCTAAAACCTTCCTTCCTCTGCGGGGGTGTCCCCCGGACCCTCCACTTGGCATTAGCTAATGCACCCCTCTCCCCCCTCCGCCACAGCCTGTATCCACCACTGCTAAGCACCAGCACCTCAAGGAGTTCTCTCGGATTTTCTTGCCAAACATTTTTTAAACTCTGATTACCTTTGTGCCTAATTGCAATGTCCTTACCAACAGCAAACTACGAGTATTGTCCTAGGCAAAGCCTGATTGTTTTCCTAGGGAGGGCCTAGCCACCCTAGAAAAATGGTCCCTACTTCAACCCTCAGTGAGGGTCTGCTCCATGAACGAAGGGGGTGAGAAGGGCCACCCTGGAAAATTTTGAAAAACTGACTGCACTTTATGGCTACCACAACGCAAATTTTCACTCAAAGTGTTGTGAATTTTGTGACTTTATTGAATTTCCCTCCTCTTTTCTATTCATCTGCACTGCGTAGCAAGGAAATTTAGATCTTTGAAGTCCGTCTTTTTTGGGGGGCCAAATTACTCTATTTCAATTTTAGGGGGAACCAGGTGGACCTGGAATAGCTGTACGTCCCTGAGTATTGTTTATTAGTATCAAGAGCAATTTTAATATCTCTGGTTTGTCAAAGTATCATGAGAAAATTGCCCTGAATTTCAATTTAAACGTCACTATGGGCCTTTTTATGGATCTTAGGAGAAGCACAATGCCCCCCTCCCTGTGGTAAGAATTTTGAACTATTTTCTCCATCTCGTCCCGGACATCTCATGGCTGTGTTTTCTCCTCTACAAAATCTGTGTGTTATTTCTAATAATAATATTATTATTCCAGCACATCTAAAAACGAGTAGAAAATTTATTCCTATTGGAATGGGGTTCATTTGGCTGGAAATTTTTTCGTTTAAAAATCACAGCTAATTTTTTTCTTTCCTTTATAGTAAGTTTAAAAATAATAGAAAAAATATTGCAACGTCACATAATTTTATTTTACAATTTATCATTCATTCAAGAAGAATTCTATTTTTTTTTCCCATAAAACTACTCGTGAATTTTTTGCTTAATTGTACCAAAATTTCCTGTAAATTTTGTTGTTCCACAGCGGAATTAGGAGTGAGGGGGGGGGTGGGGGCTCTTTCCCCCAGAAATCGACTCCCCGCCCCCCTCCCAAAGAATGTGAGGGATCTTGCTAATTTAGTGCACTTCAAAATTTTTGTCTTGGCAACTGTATTTTGATCAATTTTTTGGTGAGAATAGCTCACAATTGCTTCTGAAATGTCTCAACTTTTCAAAATTTCTACAACTCCCTTTTGTAGCCAGGGAAATTCCCCGAGCACTCCTCTAGAGCTGGGGGAGCACCGCAGACCCCCGTTTTAGTGGAGTGTGTTTTTTTTTTTTGTGCTCCCAGACTCCCTTTTGGTGAGATGCCCTTCTGCCTCTCCTCTCCCCTCCCCCTCTTCCCCCATGACAAATTTCAGGTTGCATCCATGCTGAGTTGAGAGCTTCTTTGGATTATGGTAATTCGTTTCAGAGAAAAAGCAATAGCTACTTCGTGTTTCTCGACAAATTGTTCGTGTGATACCATACTTCAATCTCAAATTCCTGCAGTATGCACTGTATCAACTGTATGCACTGTATGCATGCTATTCGGCTCCATTTCACAATTTTATCTTTCATTGAGACTTTGCAACCCTGTAGTCTGCTCCTCCATACAGCGCATGCGCATCTGTCACCTGCATTTCAGAGCCACTGCTATTGGTTGAACGGGTGATTTATTATTTTGGGGATCATAACCTAAAACGAGGAGTGAATTTTGTTATGTAACTCGCTATCGGTCTATCATCAGTTATGTTTATTCCTCTGACAGCTGAAGTGAATGTGCTCTGTGACAGATTCTCGGGATCTCGGGCTATTCTTTTCAGCAACCTAGCGAACGTTTTGCAAAGTGTATAAATCTACAGTGCTTAGTGGTAAAAGTGCCTTTGACGATTTGTCACATGTAACTCAGTAGTTTACTTTTGCTTTTTCCATCCTACAGCATCCTATTACAGAACTTGCTGTTGTTAGAAATGCGCTGAATTGTAGGGTCTTTAGAATGGAGTCAAGTTATGATGAAGACTTGAGCGAAAACATCTTCCTCGAAAAACTGCAGACTGATCATATTGAATTATTTGATAAAGCCATCTGCGACGGCTGGGTGATCTGCGTGCCCAGATCTGGCTCGTTCGCTAAGTATGCTTTCACTCATGATGACTTTTTCAACCACATCCTGATTCCTAGTGATGAGCTTCCAGAGACACACTTTCGGACATTAAACAACAAAGACATCCGAATATGTAACAAATTAATAACCTTAGAGCCCTCGGACATTTCCAAACCGTTCACCACGCATATCCTTTTTGAAGAGACCTTCTACACAGAAGAATACTTAAAGTATAAGCTCTTGTGTATCGAACGCCCATTAGAGCCGTGTCAAATTGGTGATGAGATTAAGTCTAGTTTTGTTAGTGTGCAGACTTTACGAGATTGCATTGATCTATTATGGACAGAAAGTGCAGGCAAGTCAATCCTAGAGAAGATGGATGAAATAATCAATGAGTTTCTGGAAGCAAACCATGATTTGGAGTACAAAACTCTACAAGTTCAACGAGATGCAACCAGTCGTTTGTATACGAAATGTTTGCAGGTATGTTTAAGCGATACTCGGCTAAGGAGTCAGACATGTGTTAACAAATATTTTCTAGAGAACATCAAGATTGCTGTTGAATCCTACGTACATCATCATATCTACAAAAAGCTGATAAAGGGTGTTACAGCATGCACAGCATATGATGATGCGCAGTTGAACAAAATAATCCGCAATTTATCAGACCTACAGCTGGGTGACTTAGACATTCGAGCAGATCTTCATGATACAGTTCCACAAGCCAGGAGCGAGCTGTCAAAAGTAGATGGGTATAGTACAGTGCTTGGTAAGCTAGGGTGCCTTAAAAGATGCCTTGCTGCCATTGCGCAAGAGTCCATGAACCATTCGGAAGGCAACATAGTGAATGCAGATGACTTGTTACCAATATTTGTTTTCTTGATCATCAAAACTAACCTTCCCAACTGGATTGCTCACCTGACCTATCTATCCCAATTCCGGTTTTCATCATCGAACCAAATGATAGCTGATACAAGTACATTTTTGATAACATCTCTTGAAGCTGCAATTGAGCACATTAAATCAGGCTCCCTACTAGGCTCACCAATGCCTGAATCACAGTTACCAGATGCAGATTATCCAGATTCTGCTTTGACTTATGAAATGTCAAACATGAAGTCATATCAAGCAAACCTTAAACCGAAGTATAATGCAAAGTCAAATTTATATACACTGTTTGAGGAAACACGTTGTGGAAATCTAGAAAAAGTTAAAAGCATTTTAGATAATAATAACTTTCCTTTGCCTGAAAATCCCTCTAAAGATAAATCTCAACTCTGCCATCCCTTATGTTCCTGTGACAGCTGTGAAAAGCAGATGTCAATCATTTTGTGCAATACAGTTCCAACAGTTTACTCTTGTGATGATCGAGGCTTCACTGTTCTGCACATTGCCTGCCTCTTTGGACGTCCCAAAATTGTGGACTTGCTTCTAAGTTATGGTGCAAATCCTAATGTCCAAGACTACTCTGGCTCAACGCCCCTGCATTATGCTGCAGCTCGAGGCCACCAAAATGCCCTGTTACTCATTCTGCACGCCACAAGTGACATTATAGAGCAGCCAGACAATGAAGGTAATACTGCACTGCACCTGGCAACAGAGAATGGGCATGATGGCTGTGTGAAAGCACTGTTGTACTTTGCTGAGCACAACGGAATTCCATTCAACATTAACATGACCAACAACCAGGGCGATACAGCTCTGCACTTCGCTACTCGTTGGGGTTATGAAAATCTTGTGCAACTTTTGTGTGATTACAATGCCAACCCCTTGTTAGAAAATAAACGTAAGTTAACTCCGATGGACTGCGCCCACAATTTGCATGTGGCAAATATACTGACGGAGCATTTGCGCGCGAACAAACCAATTTTGCATTTGATCCGCCCATGCCCGAAAAAAAGTGAACTTGTTGCCGCAGCATCGTTTGTCAGTCTGGATTTTTCCGACACATCAGATAGTTTCACCTCAACTGAAGAGTACGGGACAAGACCACAGACTATGAATCAAATCAAGAGGGTGGAGAAGCTGCTTCGGGCGATTGAGTTCAATGATATTCGGCTGATGTCGTACTATCTGGGCTTTGATGAGCCGGTAATTATAATTCAGTCTTTTTTCCTTTGCTACAAATTAAAAGAATTTAACTCTTTTCAACTCTGCTGTGATAGCGGAAAGAGCAGTATGTGCATGCTGGGATAAACCTTGAGACACACAAAAGCACGTGCTAACCATGGCTCATATAGAAATGCACTTATTGCCCTCTTCGCTATCACGGAAGAAGTAGCAATACCATCTACCCATACCAGGCCATTAGTTTTTAGTTCTCATAGATTCCTAAGATTGCACAGGATCCTGTGGAGATATGCAAAAAATGGTTCCCCCCCCCCCCCCCCCAGTCAAAGTAAATTTTTAAAGGGGATACATTTTTATCAATAATTGCGTGTGTGCAAGAGAAAGGGAATACCTAAATGAAATTCAAACTTCTAGAACTGGGGAAAGAAAACAAGAGACAAAAGTCACATCAGTTTGGATGCATCTATCATCAGTTGGCCCATTGGTTAGCATGTAAATATCTGTTGAATGGTGCAATTTTTGCAAATTACATCTTTTTAACCATTTGTCATATTTTTAATTGTCAGGGGACTTCACCAAAAGGTGTCAGAGAATTTCATTTCCGAAATTCTATGGCAACCCTGAAGTAATCACGCCATTCTGAACATTGTGGCACACAGTCCCTTGGGTTGTATTTTTACTGATTAATGAAAAATTTCTCATGAAATTACCAGAGAGGTTTGATGATATCCATTTAATGTCCCATCTTTTCCAAGCCACCTAAGTTTGCCAGTAATGTGCTGAAGATTACTAATGTAAAATTATTTTTATCTCCAATCATTCTATACATTTTTCAGGTAGTGAAGTCAGCCAGTGAACAGTCAAAGAAATGTCATCCTCTCTGTTCCTGTGAGCTCTGTTGGGAAGAATCAGAAGATGAATTCATCGAGCAAAGGTCGCGGAAACACCGTTTAAAAGAAGCATTAAGTGTGAACGTGTGTAACTCAGACGGCTACACACCTTTGCACATAGCAACACTTCACAACAGAGTTGAATGTGTACGCCTGCTCCTAGACGGTGGAGCAAAACCTAACCTTAAAACCAAATCAAAGGAGCTAACAAGCCTTCACATCGCATGTCAGAATGAGCGGACACGCATCATCAAACTTCTGTTAGCCTCTGGAGAGACTAACATCAATACACAAGATGTCAATGGTAACACTCCACTTCATTATGCATGTATGACCAACAATGTAAAACTTGTAGAGACATTACTGAAATATGAACCCAAACTCGGAATCAAAAATTCCTTTGGACAGACCCCCTTGGACTTGGTCAAGGAAAGCATGTCCCTTTGTTTGATCAAGCTGCTAGGTGGCAAACCTGTATCTGGGTTATAGCCAGTTTTCTGGAACATCTCAATTAGCTTCAGGACCTTTAGACCCTGCCACTTTTTCAATCAAGTTTTTTTTTTTCTACTTGAGTGAACAGGAGTTTTTCTGTTCACTCTGTGGACTTGAGTTACATTTTATGATTTAGGAAGGATGCTCAAACTAAAAGTGCTTTGATTTTTCAATTTATTGACTTTACCCCGAAATTGTTAAATATCGGAGTAATCTTATTTTTTAGTTGGCCCCTTTGACTTGTAAGTTGCTCTCTGAAAGTCTTTTAGAGAGAAATAACTGGAATTGAGTAGTGAAAATCCTCTTTTACTAGGTCTCATAGTACAAATTTAATGAAGTACCTTCATAATCTACTTCAAATACTTCAGTCATCCAGATGAATAGAAACCTAATTCATCAAGGGTGAAAGGATGTCCATGAAAATCCTATAATTTTTGTTATTTCTTCTGAATTTGGTAAATCAATTTGTTCCCGATTCACTTGTTGATACCTCTAGGTTTACCTTCAGGTAAAATGTTCGTAAAAGTATTTTCTCTCATGGAGACTCTCTTCTCGCAACCCTAGTGCTCCTTTATTGATGATGTACACATACCTAACAGGTCATGTGCTAGCTTGTGTTACCGTGACAAATAACCTTAGCTAGCGGCAGAAACAGAGAAATTAGATTTTGTGAATTGTGTCCGAACTTTCTGTAACCAAATTCATCGGTAAGGTATCAGAGTAGTTCTGTCGAGCATAAATTTTAGACCAAGGAAATAACTCTAAAATTGTGGCCTGATTACTGTAACACAAGATTTTAAAACAGTAATGAGTCTACCTAGAGCAAAAAACAGCTGAAAAAGTACTAACAATGAAATTTGAGCTGCGCAATGTAACTGCAACATACATACATCCTAATTCTATCAAGTGGAGGGGACGTATTTTAGCTCAATGAAGTTTAGAGTAAATGCTTTGCTGGGGTCAGGTCATCCTAGTTAGTCTTTTTACTACTATCAATAAATTTTAGATCTGAAAACTCACTCATTTAATTATTATCATTTGATGATAATTGTGTCTTGCAAATGTCTTGCTGTTGTATGAAATTAATTTTGGAAACCAAAAGAAGGTTTGGAAACTAAAGAAGTGGAAATGAAAGGAGACCATGCCATGATACCAACAACACACATACTTTATAACGAGAACATCTATTACTAACAAAAATCAACAAATAGAACCTGAGTATGTTAAAAGAATATTCTAGTTTTCTTAAATTATAAATTTTAAATCAATGAAATAAGTCTAAATAAAATGTAAAACAGTAAAAAATTATTATGAATGAACGTAGATAGATGAATGGAAATAAAATAATTAAATTCATCCACTATCTATTTTACAAACAAGTTGTTGTTCCTTTGAAGTAAGAAGTTTGCTCACTTTCCTGCATTTGTATTCTTATGCCAAGGAGCCTCAATTTGTCTTTATTCATTCCTTTTGATGCTGAAGGGAGACTTTGATTTTGGTGCTAAAAACATGGAGAAAACGAAACTTATCCATTCTATAGACTTTTTATTTAGTTCAATTTTACTAAGAGGATAACCCACTGCACTCATGTTTTATCAGCGTGTCAAACTGGTTGCTCTATTTTAGTTACATATTCATTTATATTCATAGTTCTTTTGGATCTCTGTCATCTTTTAAGAATGTTCACTGCTCTTCTTTTGGAAATGGTATTCAGAAGTGAACAGGCAGGCGGTAACGCTGGGGAAAATTGCAGAGGGCTGGTGGATATTTTCGTTGATTTTGGATTGATTTGTCGCCTTCATTCTGTGAAAAAAGCATCTAAAATGGACGATATATGTGATAAAGTGCGATAAATTTGTCGGCCCTGGCCCACCCCTGATAGTATCTCTATTTTCGTCGATTTCCAAGCAAACCTTTTCAAATGAATTTCTAAAATACCTTGATATCTGTAAAATAATTTCATTTACTATGATGTTAAGTTTTTCGTGCCATCATTCCCAATCAAAATTGTTAATTGTTTTAGGATCTAAACATAAAGCTAAACTTATGGTGCCTTCAGAATCCTTAATTGGATAGAGCTTTTGCCCTTTATTTGAACTAAAATTGCTGATAAAATATCTTAAAACCCTCATGAATTGTAATCCTTGTTCATTCCGTAAGTAATTAAAACCCTCATGAATTGTAATCCTTGTTCATTCCGTAAGCAAATATCTAATATGTCAACAGCTGATTATAAGTCTCAGTTCATCCTGAAAGGTCAAAGAATTGTTGAAAATTGTAGCTGCATTAATGTTTGAATGCTGTTTTCGGAAAATGTAAGAGAACAGCAGCAGTATCTCATCCAGTCTTTAGATCAATTTCTTCATTAAGTGAATGCTGATGTTTAAATCACTTTTTGCATGTGTCAATCTGAAGGATTTTGTGGAGCTTCCTACCCATTTCTGGTGTCTTTACCAAAGGCGAAAATTCCATTATAATTGTATCAGTAGCACTGATGAAGGTAGATCCCCAATGAAATAGTGTACTTGATGAGCCAATCTCCCAATTAGACAGATCTGACTGTACTGTCGAAGTAAATTAGAAATTCAAAGTTCAGTCCACAAGTATACAAATCCTATTGTTAGGTAGAAAAGCAATCATTTTTTATTATTTTTTCTTCCTTGTAAATGGTAGTTAGCTAGAACTGGAGCTTTACACCTGGCTTCTTCTCATAGCCAAGGTAAGGAGTTACATGGGGGCTGAGGGTGGTACTCAGCATTAGACATCTATTTTTTAGTTCAGGCTTTAAATTTGGCAGAAAATTTGTTTAATGGTCTCATTATGAAGTGTGCTAAAGTGTTTCACTGATATTATCTTTCAATTACCCCCTCCCTCCCCTCATGTTCCTGTGCGTCGAATAATTGAATTTTTGCCATTTTTGTGCAGTTTTTCCTTAAATTTTGAAAACTCTAGTATGCACCAGTATTTCCTAGATTGTTCTAATTGCAAGTGACAGAGATTCTTAGCTCCCATTATAAGTCCCTTGCACCCCTAGAAGAACAGCCGCTAAATAGACATTTAATTTTGGAATTTTTGCAGGCCCATAGTACATTTGTAATTGATGAAAGGAGAAAAAAGTACATTGTGTTCGCAATTTAACCTGTAGAAGTCGTTTTGTCTACATTTTCTTAGGTCTCTGTGTAAATTCAAACATTATTAAATCTCATGGTGACACAAATTCTGCATCATTTTCACAAAAATCTTGAGAAAATTTTTACAAGAATAATCTCTGCGGAAGTCAGTTTACCCTGCCTAACTTTAATGCTATCATGTAACTTCCTCCTCTATTTTTGACCTGAATTCAAGAGTATACATCTTTTTACTCTCTTAAGTAGAGCTCAATCTGATCTTGATCTTATTTAAACAGCGATTAGGCTAAAACCGAAATCAGACTTCTCCAAGGAATTCCCTCTCCCTGTTCACAAGCATCTCCTTTTCTGCTTTCCCCCCCTTCTTCCCCCACTCATTTATAATTCTAGTCTTGACTCTGGCCCCATGTCTTTGCCCTTGAACTACTGCTTAACATCATCAGCACAATTTTATTTGTCTTAGCTTTATGTTTTATGTATATATTTTTCTTAATTATTTTGCAAAATGAAGCTGATCGTCATTGTTTATATTTTTGTAGTGTCACGGAGTCAGCAGTTATGTGTGCAGTTGAAGATTTTGAATTTGTATGTCTGTGATATTTTTTATCTATAATTATAATATGAATTGAACAAATTCAACAGCTTTCACCCTAACTGCATCAGTTGTCGCTTAATTTCCTTCCATATGCTATTTTTTGTACTGAAAAGCTAAGCAATATCCTGATTTATAACAAAAATTTAAAATTCTTCCGAAAAAGATCTAATGGACCACTAGACAAGGTACGAATTTAAGCATTCTGATACATGTTCCTTAACAAGAATTTCATGTAGATCACGATTCGCGCAACGAAAATGAATAAAACCAACTCCGAACGAAGTTGTTAACGTTTTTATTTCACATTGGTTACGAGGAATTTGGACTGCCCGCTCACAAGAAGCTCAAAGCTCTACGTGAGTCAAATCGCGCACTTCAAAGGTTTCAGCAAGCCTCTGATTCGAGCAATGTTCATTTCCCACCATGTGTTGTTCCAACTAAAAGCAATTTGCTGTATCTTATCAAAAGCGTCAAGATTGAGGATGCCAGATTTTTATATCGCATAGACTGTCATGATAACGTTTAGCGTGCGATGTGAATCACGTAGAGCATTGAGTTTTCATGAGCGGGTGGTTTGAATTTACGCATCAAGAATCATTAAATATCTTCGTAAGGAGTTGATTTCGGCAATTTTTGTTGTGCGCATCGTGTTCTACGTGAAATTTTGCTTTAGAAACATGAATCAGAATGCTGAAATTCGTACCTTGTCTAGTGGTCCATTGTAATTGTACACGTTTTGTATGTGTATAACCAAAAAAAAATAAATAATACCTTGAAATGTTCTCTAAATTGTTGGAAAAATTTTCTAGAAATTCAAGGCGATATTGTGTTTATTTCTTTTTTATTGAAGTAAAATACTGTAACATAACTGACAACTGAAAATGAAGTCAGGCTGATTTTGGTTGAAATTGTCCAATGGTGCGAGGAGCAAGTATCAAGTAAAGTATTCCCTCTCATCAAAATGAATTCATCTTTACTAGAGTTTAGCAAGTCCTTCAGGTACATATTATGTATCATGAAGTAACCTCTACCTACTATTTTTGTAGTAGCTCTCTCAGTGCGTATTTTTTCCATTCCCAAGAAAGTTTGTCTAATGTTTAGGATTGATCAGTCCCTTGGTTGAAGAGCTCTGCTGTCTCAAAATCCATTCTCACTCTGTAACAATTCTTTCTTCAGGGCAACAAAATATTCCTCGACATTATGTAACTTAAAATCTGTAGAATTCAGTATCTTAAACGCTAATGTAGGATGCAATTTGCCTCATCAATTGAATCCATACTTCAAGTGTAAAGAATAATAATCATATAATTTTGTCACTGAAGTCTAAGAAGATTAAAGATTATACAATTAAGTGAACCAAGTTTAGAATGTATTTGCAAATAGGCAGATTAAAGCAGTCTTTTCTTTATTATACTTAGTCCTATCAAGATCGGTTAGACTCTGGTAATTCAAGTTCTTTACAAGTGTTTTTTTTTAACTTTATGATCAGGATTAATTATTTTCTTCCTTCCCCCCCCCTCAATTTTCTCATCAAAATGGATGTCCAACATTTTGCAACTACCCCAATTAATTGAGTCTTAAGAAGGCTCAGGAAGACTTTTGCATTCTTGACTTGATACACAGTCCCAACTCAGCAAAGAAACAATATTTTCAAAAATATTCTATTGCCAAGCAAATATTTTCTCCCAGAGGAACTGTTGGATCGTTTTGTGTATTGCTAGAGTGAGTTTAACCTGTTCTTATTTTTCTCATTATTTCTCCCATAAAATGCTTGTTCATATTGAGTAAGGAGTCGTCGTCCCCCCCCCCCCCCCNAGGTCATTGCCTTCATTTCGAAAACTCATTTCAATTTTTTTTTTTATTATTATCTCGGAAGGTCCCTCATTTTACTATTGTTTATTTATTACATAGGATGTTCCAAAAGTGTAGCACATTTCCCGCTCTTCAGCAAACGGAAGCAGCTATCGATTTGCGGTTTATGTGTTTAAATTCTATGTAATTACCTATGAATGAGACGAAGATCAGTCCGCTAGATCAAATGGTGACAGAGCTACAGGGTTTTGAAAATGACTTGTCGAGAGACCCCCCTCCAAGATGTTTAGTCATCAAGGGAATCAAAATTGGCTACATATCGCCGAATTTCAAAATTTGCAACGTGTTGCCAATGTTATAACTATGTTCGCCAAGAAAGAATGTTGTCAAACGAATACACTCCTGGATGTTGCATCAAGACAATACGCGCCTGCACAATACATGATGGCCCAGTTCACCCGCAAGTTTATGAAAAGAAACGAAATCATGGTTCTCCCTCAAAACCCCCCNCGCCCGCCCTTCTTATAATTTAGATCTGTTTCCGTGTAACTACTGGCTATTTCCCGAATTGAAACAATATATAAGAACAAGGTTCGATTTCATAGCCGAAGTCAAAATCGCTGTTCAAAAATTCTTCAATAGCCCCTGTAAAGAAGACTTCAAACAAACTATCCCTGTGTGTTGGGCAGATCGACTGAAGCCTTGTGGTCAACACGGTTTAAAATATTTCGAGAAACTTATAAATAATGAGTCAACTGACGAAGACGTTTAACTTCAGTCAATTTCTGTAAGATTTTGTAATTTTTTTAGTTAAAACATTCAGTTCTCATTAAAATTTTTTTCTTGACAAAAATAGCTAAAAATCCTGGAGGGGGTCTCACAACAAGTCATTTTATAAACCCTGTAGCTCTGTCACCATTTAACGTAGCGGACTGATCTTGGTCTCCTTTTATAGGTAGTTACACTGACTTTCCTTTCAATCTTTTTGTATCTTATTAAGCTACTTTTATTTTAAGCGTGCTTCGTATTTAATAGTTGCACACCTTTTTCACCCTCCTTTCTTATTTTAGGAGAGAGCCTTATTTGTTTCAAAGTGACCCTTAATTGTTAATTTTTGTCCGTTTTTTCCCCCTCGTACTCTGTATTTTTTGTGATTCTTATTCATCCCATTTTTTCTGTTATAAGAGACCATTCAGAATAGTTAGAAGTGACACATTATTATTTCTTGAATCTAAAAAATATGAAAAGCGTTCTTCTTAATCAGCTACATTTCTATTAGTGTTTCCCACACATCTTTAGTTCGGAGACTGGATCAGAGTGATGTAGTGAATAAGAGAGAAATTATGTTTATGTCATGCTGATAAATCTAACCCGGTACCTAACAACTAATTATCAACTTTGTTCTAACCATGAAAAAAGCCAAGGGCAAGAATTTTCAATTGAAAACGATCTAGCTCGTAGGCAAGTCTTAGTACATTAGTGGTAAATCGATGGTGAAACTGCAGAAATGCGTATATCTGTTTGTTGCAATGCAGACTTACTACCGTCCATTATTTTCTACATGGGAAACTACTGAACGTCATTTTTTAAAATTTTAGAGATTTTTTCTCTTAATTTGAGGAATATTCGGTGAAAACTTCAAGCCATGATGTTGGATTGTCTCATTTTAAAAACAGGAGCTGAGATTTCAAAACACCGCAACTGAGGTACACATTTTTGCAGTTTCACCAAGGAAATACTAACTCCTGCAGGGTGGAGAAAAATTTTTGACTAAGACAATCATTAGTAAAATGCATAATTTCGGTCAGCAATATCGCAATTTTTTAAAAAATTGCCTTGCTTTGACCTAATTCAGCCCGCTGTTTCATGCAACTTAAAAGAAGCGGAGCAATTAAAAAATTAGATAAAACGATCACAAAATTGAATCGACGTATGCAAAAACGTCCGTTGTCCAATACAGATTTTCATAATTGCGGTAGGTTGCTTTTGTCCCACAACACTGATAGATAGGATCGATCTCTTTTGTAAACGTTTAATTACACTTAGAAGATTATTTATAAAATTGGTCTACATTCCTAACGCCTTAAACCATCTTGTGTTGACAACAAAATTGTCCACTCAAATTCTGAAACACTGACTCCGACATCGGACGTTTTCGCATCCGTCGATTCAATTAATCAAGCTATTTGTTACATCAACACTACTCAAGCAGCTCTGCCAAATCAACAGTCATGTAGTATGAGAAGAGGTAAATTTCACTTGATGTCAGCCTCATCTTTGTATGTATATTGTTATCATAACGTCAGCTTTTCCAATCTCTTCAGATATTTCTTGTGGTTGAGGGCTTCTAAGAAGATCAAAATAAATGAGAGCAAGTCTGTTGTGAATATTTTTTACACTTTTTGTATTTTACCTTTATATCTCTCTATATCATATATTGTGAATAAATTTATTTTGTTGACTATTAACTTGTGTCTAATTAATTTTACTATCAATATTATGATATCCTCAGTATCTCCTCGCTTACAATTAGCTAGTAAAATGAAAGTTGCCATGAGCAGAGAATGCATAATTTTTTCTGACTTGATCAGCTACAAAATGTTATGGTAAACCATTAGAGAATCTAATTTTTAAATGAGATCATAATGCGTTCATTGTTTTGGCTCTTCAAAATTCCTCAGGTATGTTTGACTTTGTATCCTAGGTGAAAATAGTCGAAAGAATGAGGTGTCCGTAATTCTTTGTAATAAATTTGATAATTTTTATGATTACTAAAGATCTTGAGTGTGAACACTCCAAGAAGAACAACTTTGCCTCTCCAGTTCTCTGGAAACCTGTTAAAAAATTAATTTTAAGAGAATCAAAATGCGTGATCCATCCAGCAAACTATGCTAATACAGTTCATAGTATGAAGAATTCCAAACAGCGCCCATTTTTGTCAAGGTGGACACACATAGGTGGTTACATCTTGTAGTCTCTTCATGTCACAAAGTATTGGTTACATCTTCATCGTAAAGCAAAGCATCCACCCTCTGTGTTACTACAGTCTTTGAAATGATGACTCAACTCTAGATGCGGCCACCTTTGTTTATTTGCCTTGCATTTTTGCATTACAGGCATGGATGAGAATCTTCAAAACCGTTGCTATGCATAAATGTTAAGTTACTTTCACCCTCCCACCTGCATGTCTTACACTTGATAAGGGCTATGCTGTATGATTATTCCATCATTGAAAATGCAGCATTCGTCAATTAAGACTACTAGAAACTGCAATGACTCTCTCACTCATTACGCAGTCCAACCTGACGAAAGGATGACATTTTTGCATTATTAATAATAAATTTTGAGATCGTCGATTTATAAAATAAAATATAAATTAATAAATTTAAAATATCGAAGCCAAGAGGCAAAGAGATGTCAGAAGTAGCCACTGAATTAATGGCACTGCAAGCAAGGTAGGGCAAGCGAAGTTATGTGCAGATATCTCAGGTTCTTGTTATGTAATTGAAATTTTATCGAAAGGTTTTCATCGTTAAGTGTCCAACAAAGAATAGAAAGAGACAATACAAATAACAAGAATGATGAAAAAGGCATTGCCATGACAAATATTTTGTGATAGCCAAGACCAAATAATATTTCATAAAATAATTATGATTTCGGAAACCTTGAGAACATGTGCACTTTCTGATTTGGTAAATATCAAGAATTTTACTTAAATTATCTCTCAGAATTCTTCATGAGACAGGATCATGTACTACAGCAAGATCTCTACAATAGTCACCGAGACTATGACGCTGAGTAGTAGGTTTTCAATTATTGTTGCCAACATTTTTGTCAAGGTAGTTGAGAGGCATTGAAAATAAGGTAAATTCATTGAACTGAATTAATTGAAGTCATGATTTGTTCAAGATTCAGGATTACAGACCTTTTCTGATGTTTTGAATGTATGCATTTGTTTACTCCATCTGTACTAGAACACTCCGCCTGTCTTCGTTTGCTTTATCACAGAGTAAAGCTAAATCGTGTCACAGTCTCACTTTTCATTAATGTGCTCTTCCTTTTTTTCCTCAGGTAATTTTTGGGCCCATGTTCTCTGGAAAGTCAACTGAGTTGATTCGGCGCTTGAAACGTTATCAATTCGCAAATTACAGGTGTCTAGTGGTTCGGTATGCCAATGACAATAGGTATGACACACAGTCTCTAGCTACTCATGACAAGCAAAAACTTCCGGCAATGTCTGCAACAGTTCTCACAGATCTCAAAAGATTTACAGATGAAGTGGATGTAATTGGTGTTGATGAAGGACAATTTGTAAGTGCATTTATTTTTGAAGTAATTTCATTGAAGTAAGACAGAACCAGAAAAACTTCCTTAAAACGGTCTGCATGTGAGAGGTCTGAGATCAAATGTAACTTTGATTTCCATCATTCAGTCGTAACTTTCCAGGAAATAGGTATTCGATTTTTTGGAAAACTTACGTATAACAGAACCATGAAGGTCGTTTTCAGATTCAGATCAAAATATACAGGGATACTGTATCAAACACATGATAAATTTTCTTTGCCATCCGTAACAGCAAGATTTTCAGGTCACCTGGCATGTTACCACCATTATAAACCGACCTGACCAGGGCAGAATTGTTTTCCTTGGTTTTTGATGGGACTTTCTCCATCTACTTTTTGTTGTTGAAGCTAAAAATACCCTAGTGTTTTCCACCATGTATTAGTTTCTGGAAAATTGATTTGTGATTGAAGATAAAAACTCAAGTCAATCCAGCCAACAGCAAGAAAAGTTGATTAGTCTCCTTTGAATAATTCTAACCATTTTTTTTTCTTTTTTGCCAAGACTTTAAATCTGCTTGTGTAAAGCTTCCTCATGAAACCAATGCAATCATTCCAAAATTGCAAAGGCTCAGTGGAAATACACTTAAACAATATTTTTGTTTTGTCAGGTACTTTTGAATCTTAAAATACAAATGTTACAATAAGCTAGTAATGAATAAGTACATATTGGTAAACATTCTCCTTTCTCACTGAAATTTTCACTGTATTGCAGTTTACGGATATTGTTTCGTTCAGTGAAGAAATGGCAAATCTGGGTAAAATAATCATCGTGGCTGCTCTGGACGGAACATTCCAGAGAACAGGATTTGGAGACATTCTAAATCTTGTCCCGTTGGCTGAAAGTGTTGTGAAACTAACTGCTGTTTGTATGTCTTGCTTTGCGGACGCTTCGTACACGAAAAGAATCGGGAATGAAAAAGAGGTAATTTTTAGTAATATTTGACTATTATTTTGTTAACTTCTTAATTCCATTTTTCAATCACATTACTTCCACCTAAACCAAGCTAAAACTTTCAACTGTCACAAAACTAATATATTTTAGACTGAGAGGAATGCCTCTTGCAATGTTCAAAAAAATCTGTTCTGAAGTGCTGCTTTCGAACCTCCCCTTTCTTTGATTTCTATTCTTGTCACAATTGAGACATTCCTCCATTAAAAGGTCCCTGCAGACATACGCCTGCCGGGCGTTTGGGAGGAGGCAGATTTATAACCCTGAGATTTTAAAATCTATTTAAATGTGTTCTTTTTACAAGTTTAAGGGAAAAGGATAGAAGAAGTGAAGAAGCTTTCAGTTATGTAACGGTCAGATGTTAGCCTAGCAGCTTGATAGTTGAAATTTTGTGTTTGTCGGGTGGAAATGGACAACATAGGTTAAATGGGGAAGCATGATTGGACGGCTATGTCTTATCGCTGCTTTGTCGGATGGAATGGACGACATACTGTTGGATACTCAAGAGGTGCCTTTAGTTAGTCGTCCATTCAACCTGACAAAGCAACAATAAGACATAGCTGACCAATCATGCTTCGCCATTTAACCTATGTCATCCATTTACACCCGACAAAAAAAAATTTGAACAATCAGGCTTTAGTCACTCCACAAAAGAGAAAGTACAACTTATGTACACCTTGCTTTCTTGCAGTGTTGTCACGTTATACGTCTAAAATTACATCACAACATGCAAAAGTTCAAAATGAACTTATAATAAGTTTCTTTATTTAAGTTAGCATGCCTCAAGTCATCAAATCTCTTCTTAGTCTAATAATCTTGAAATTACTAAAAAAAACCAATGGCCACTTACTGAGCCATGAAAATATTTTGCTTGAGTAAGTGAACAGCCACCGCACCGGTGCATGGCCTTACACAGAGACAATTACCTTACAAGGCCATTTAATTTTCCCATGGGGTATTTTTAGTTTTTATATATTATTATGAACGTATCCAGTTGCTTCAAAGAGAGAAAATGAGTGGTGTTTCTTATTTTTGGTTCCAATTCCATTGCATTTAAAACTGAACGATGATTACCAAGGTTAACTCAGGACACTTGTGGTCTAGTAATTCGAAAATTACGAGCATCAGTTAGAAGTCGAAATTCGAACTAAGTCGATGTACTAAAAGTCACATTGATTTCAAGGCGAAATCACTTAACATAGATAGATTTACATCAAATCCAAAACCTCCCGAACGAGAAGCACGGTTAAGTGGAAAAGGCCTATGCTGCGTACATACGCGATCTGCATCTATCCATATTCAGGTTGATCAGGAGTTATCAGACCATCTTTCTCTGTTGCCAGGTTGAAGTGATCGGAGGTGCAGACAAGTACATGGCTGTGTGTCGAGATTGTCACCGATTATCTTCCCCTGTTAAACGGTCACCTTTTAAGACGTTGGATCAACCAATGATTCAGGTGGAAAACTACAATCACAAAAAAGAGCTTTTCTGCTGACAAATTGTACCTTGCTCTTTTCCCACCTTTTGTATCATTACTCATCATTGACTTTTCTCTAACCAAAAATTTGTATAGCTGAGTAAGAATTTTATTCTGACAATTTAATTTTACTCAATTTATTTTAAAGACCCTTCTTATTCCTATTTTTTTAATGTCAAAGATCCTTTCAAATTCTGTGACAGAGTTCTTATTTTTAAGGTAAAAACGGTTCAAGTTGTTAAGATGACGACCTATCTGTAAGATGGAATAAGGTAAATATTAAACGAAGCATTTTGTCCATGGTTTTATGTATTTTGACAATGGCAAAGTTAAAAACTGTTCTTTGCCTTCTTTTTCTTGTTTTTTAAATTCAACTCTTTTTATTTTGAAGTTTTTCTTTTTGACTTGTTTTTTTTGGCCAAAAGTCTGTACAAATTTCTTTAATCCTTAAAATCACTTAGAAATAGCCAAATTTTGTTCAAGCTGACTGAAAGTGCCGACGGTCCTCCAAAAACCTTGAATAAAAGGAGCGTGTCAAGACTTTAAATTTCTAGAATGTTTGTATCTTTCTTATTTTAATAAAAAAATATTGCACAAGGAATTACCTTTTTTTTTGCCATCTGCATACCAATTATTTTTTTTATTAGTTTGCATATATTTAATAGGTGCTTGTATAAAAATTCAGGTGTCATTAACTGCAAAACGGTGGAGAAAACTAAGCAGTTTATGCCCAATCATTACATGACAGTTATCTATTTCTTTTTCTTCTTTTTTTTGTATTCTCTGAGGACAATGCAATGTAACATTTTCCTATGGTGTTTGAACCTAGAGCCAGGACAAAGTTTCGTAGCTTGTACTTGAATAACTGTTTTAAACCTTTACTTTGAAACAAAAATTCGTTGATTGCAGTTAGGCTGTTACATAGGCGAATAATAAAAACCTGGCTTTTTTCATCTAGATCCACTTTGCTTGACCCATGACCATGAAGAGCTATTATCAACAAGTGTTTATTAGTTTTGAGTTAGAAGTCAGATCGACAGTGATGATGTTTCAAAGTTCTCCAAAGAGAGTGGATGTAATTTGTTTAATTTTAGTTCAAAAAGTAACAATTACATTGGACGTTTCGTCGCAGTGGTCATTAAAACGAAAGTCCCTGGACATCACACTAAACTAAGATGCGTGATACAACTTTTTTGACCCCTGAGCCTCTCAAATTGCATCCCTAAAGTTGAAGGCGAATTTAATTTCTTAATTCCAGTTTCCAGCTATCCAGGCATGACCGCCTGAGCGATGCTCAATTCCATCGCAACGCTTGTAGGTAAAAAAAGACATAGGCCGAAAGGGTTGTGGGTGAAAAAGTCTTGGGTGAAAACATGTGGGTGAATAGTCCATTAGGCGAAAATACTGAGGGTGAGAAGTACTCTATGAGAAGTAACTAATCTGTCATGGCTCAGATGAATGAGTATATATTTTACTGTATTCTTCATTGGACTCTTCTTGTAATATTTCAGGAGATATGGGATCGATGAACTTACTTCTGTGCCACCATTATGACTTTTGGTAATTGCTTGCAAACTAGTTTTAAGTTCCTAAATTGAAAAGTGAACCGTTGGTTTACACGACAGATTTAAAACCCAATATCAAATTACTCTTCCATCATTGCTTGAATCTTATGGTGCACATTCATTTTTTATTTTTGAGACTATAATTTTCAATTAATGCTTGGTACACTGTTGTTGCAATTTTTGTTTCTAATAATTGAAGTACTCATGAAAATTACATAAAAAAGTAATAGTAATGGTGCTAATTTGTAAAATAGTAAGCTGAAGGTTCTAAAATCAGTGTATCTCGATTGAGAAGCTTTACCAAAAAAAGGAAAAAAATTTATTAAAATTGATGTTTACACAAAGCATAAAATCTTAGTTGTTTACACAGTGTATGTCAACTGATAGGATGAGGAACAGTCTTTGAGGCAATAAAAAGTGATTAAAAAACGAAGTGCATCAGCTAACCACATGATGCTCAGCTCTAATTAACAAAAACTGTAAAATTATAAATTTGTGCGCTTAGAGAATCGCAGTCTAAAAAGAAAAAGATTCGACAGAGTTTGGTAGTTTTCCTGATTATTAAGTACAAGTGCAAGATAAAGGAGAGAAATGTCTGCACTAACCCAAGAGCAAGAACATTTTTAGGACAATGATTCTTGAATTCACATTTAAAAGTATGATAATTATACAGAATTCCAAATGGTAATTCATATGCCCTGGTTTTCTATTTTATAAAAATATATATGAAGAAAAGATAACGGTTGTATAAAGACTGCATTATGTAAAGGATGTACAATGTATTTGTATACCTGATGAGAGAAGGATTTTGTTGTTAAAAGTACCCATTTTTAATTATCTCATTATAAAATGAGAGGTGCAGTCGACATATGAAGAATATAATTATTTTCTGTTGTTCATTATAAAAGAACTGACATGCAAAGTTCAAATAACTGGATTTGCTGAATAGAAAATGTAAGTTCAAAACGAAAAATAGGAACATTTATTTTTCGTTCGTTACATTATTCATATCCCTCTTTGATAACTAGAAATGGGTACTTTTAACAAAAAAGTTATGATTCATGTTTAGTCTTTTATTTTAGCAGACCTTATGGAGATTACTCGTCATTTATCCTTCGAAAATTTAAGGTTCACTGTTTTCTTTCATTTTTTTAGTATAACTGCAACTAGGGTTGATTAAATTTTGAACGTAAGATCTCATCCTTGACCGCTTTATTTGTTACAATAGCCAGAGCATTTTTCAACGAGTTCCATTGGATGTTAGAATTTAGAAAGTTCCCACTTGTTAGTTTGACTGTTTCTAGTTATAAGAGATTTCAGGACTGTTGAAGTGATCAAGAATCCAGTCAATGCCTTGCTCCAGAACCAAAACCAGTGCACCTACTGAGCTCGTAAAGAAAAAATAAAGAAGCTGAAGGAGCGGCACCAAGAATAATTGAGCAGAAGAGAAAGCTGTTTGAAAAGATATGTTAAGTACTGATTAAACATATTATATCCTCACGTTGATTACTTTGTTTTTTTTTTTTTTTTTTAAACTGACATTCTACACCAGGAAAACAATTTCAATCCGCTAAAATTTGGAGTCTGCGAAAATGGAAGATGGGCTAAGAAAAAACCACATTCCTAGGGTTCTCAAGCATCAAATTTCATTTTCTACAGACTGTTAAAAAGCTAAGAGTGGTAGCTTAAATAAACTTTGTACCAATTGCCCTCACCTGGCGAAGTTGAGAATGAATCAAACTGTCCAAATTCTTTGATGGGCAATCCTAATATGATGGCTTATTCAAAAAATCTAACCTTAATGGAGACAATCAACCCTTAAAAAATGGCAAACCGGTGATTAGGTTCTGACTCTCAGGTATCACTTTTTATAGTAACAATAGTAGTGTTCATGGCGAAATGACTTGCCTTTCATGTTTTTCGTTTTGCATAGAAATAATTAGGAAAATTTACATAAAATTTTTATACTAAGTTCGTATGTTGGATTTAAATCATCATTCAATTTCCTCAGTTTTAATTACTTGCTCATTATTTTCCGATAAACTTTGTGTAACTGCACTGAATTTCCAAAATGGATGCGCATTGCGGCAATTCTCTCAAACATGAGTTCATCACGACTAACTGCATTTTTGAGCAAAAACAGAGCAATAATAATTTGCGAAAAGAAGACGCATTTCAACTGATAACAAATTTTTGGTTAAAAATTGCACTTACATAGTTTTTTTGATTTAAGGAAAAAATTGTAACAAAGCTAAAAAAATTCCAGAGAGAAAAAAAAGTACTTAGAGGCAGCTTAAAATGATTAAAGCAGCTGTACAGCCATATTTTCTAAAAATAAATTACACAAAACTAGGGTCTTGTAAATCCGATGTAAATTTATCATATCAGATCTGATCAGAAGCCATGAAGTGGTTTAAATTTAAGGTAAACTTAGTGAGACAGCAACAATTGAAAGGTAGAAGAAAATTGTGAAGAAATTAGCCACGTGCGTGAGAATAAGAACTTAAAAACCTTCTACGTTCTCCCTGTTTGCAAAAAATAATACGTACAAAAGAGGCTGGGACACCAGCTGATAGTACATCCCAATGTTTCATTAATTTTTCGCAGCTCTGGAAACATGAATGATAAGAGGAGAGTTTCTTCTGATGGTAGTATATCAGTAATTATCACCACATTTTAAAATTTCCCTTGGACATTACTATTGTCTTATCCTCCGAAATGGTACAAGAGTTTTGGGTATGAAAATGGTACCTAAAGTGATAATTTCAAATATCCACCTTACATTTCATACACCTGCAAGAAAATTGATATATGTCAAAGAAGACACAACATTTACTTAAGCGAAGCTAATAAGAGTAAGGGTCGATTCTATCACACTTGGTCAAATCTACCCGATTCATTACTGGAGATCATGCATGTACATTCTGGACAATGAAGAATCTGCCTTTATATTGTCTGATAGACACATGTAACTTCAAGTTAAATTTGTACTACTGTTTCCGAAAATACATAGGCTGTCCCAAAAGTACCCGGACTGGTTCTGTAACTTCAAAACTACGATGGATATAGACATGATCTTTGTCTCATTTTAAAGATCAACTCATTACCTATCGATTAAGACCAAGATCAGCGCAATCGAATAAAAATCGACCGAGTTATGGTAATTTGAAATCAGTGCAGTTTACCTCTACGATTTTTAAGGAAGATTCTCTGCTTACCAGGATTCAAAACGTTAATCTTCGTTTCTGCTTTCCTCCGAATCTTCCATAACTTCCTTTTGCTTTTTAAAGTACCGTCCTTAAACTTCATGCGCTCTTGCTACTTCTCTAACATTGTTTTCCTGAATTCTTCCCCTGGGATGGAGTTGAAAAAGTTCTGAACTGCATTCTGGATTTCGGTCCTCGATTTGAATCTTTACCCGCGAAGCTCCTTCTTAAGCGCAGGAAACATCCAAAAATCACAAGAAGCCAAGTCAAGGCAATAAGGAGGTTGAAGGATTGTTTCAACTTCATTTTTACTCATAAATTCACGTGTAAAGTTCGAGTTGTGAGGCCGCGCGTTGTCTTGATGGAGCATCCACGAAGCTTTCAAGTGCGGCATTCCACCCGGTCGGTCGGGGCTTTTTGCCCTTTGGACTCTTGGCCCGAAGGCGGACGACGACAACTGGCGACAGCCGACCACCACAGGGCGATGTTGCCAGGTTGTTCCAGCATTACATGGAAGCTTTTGGGTGAAAACATAATACCAGATCATACTTTAAGATATCAATATCGTCGATGAAGAATCTTCCTCAAAAACCGTAGGGGTAAACTTTACTCACCGAATTCAAATTGCCATAACTCGGTCGATTTTTATTCGATTGCGCTGATCTTGGTCTTAATCGATAGGTATTGAGTTGATCTTAAAAATAAATCCAAGATCATGTCTATATTTATCGTAGTTTTGAAGTTACAGAACCAGTCCGGGTACTTTTGGGACAGCCTATGTACTATGATGAATTTCCATCACCTATTTTGAGATGAACTGCTGCCAAATATAGACAAGCTATCTTTAAAACCTCCACTTACTATATTCATGAGTCAATTAGTTGCTAACTAGCTCTACCAAGTGTCACAACATGTGACAACAAAAAAAAAAAAAAAAAAAAAAAAAAAAAAAACTTGAAAGGAGCATACAAAATAAATGAAATTAACTGAGGAACATTTGCAAAGGACTGTTATTAAAGCAGATTAGAAATCAGGATCTTTACTCAACCTCCAGTTATAACTCTAGACAATATATCATATTTCTTATGAAATGTTTCACAATTTTTCGTTCTGCAGGACTAAACTCACTCTTAGGTTACATGTTACAAGACATGGAGGATAAATGCAACCGTCATTTTAGCCAGGAGAGATAAAACTGGCTCAAAAAGTTGTAAAATAGAGGAAAGCTGCCTGTATGTTCCCACTGCCTTGGGCACACACTTTTAAAAATAATATAATAAACAAAACATAAACATATTTGAGATTGATTATAATAACTACGGCACTGGAATCATCATATAAAAATAAAGGACAGAAGACAATTAAATTATAGAAAAGACAACTAGCGACTATCTTAAGAGATGAACAACAACAAAAAATTATCACAAAAAGAAACTGCTGAAGATACTATCTCAGATTATACTGATGGAAGGAAGCGTAAGAAAATCATTAGGATAATATTCCTGAACATTCTTCATTAAACAACCATACCTCTTCACAAATGTTTCAATATATTTTATAAATTTTGCACTCAAGTGCCTCTACCCTGGTCAATTGATAGTTGCAAGCAAAATTTGTCCTAACAACTGCGTTGCATTCATTTGAATTAGGTGCATTTGCATTGAGACTGCACCCACTGGAAACTTAGTTTACACTGCATTAGGCTTTTATTTGACACGAACTTAGTCTTCCCTAATGTTACTAAGAAACATTAGAAACGTGTGTAATTTTCAGTCAAAATTTGAAGCTTCATAATACATCCTTCAACAGCTTGAAATCATGCAAAAGTGTTCAATTCTCAAGCTGAAAAATTTGTAATTCACCTGAAGAATTCTCTGAATGAATTCTTAACTTAATAAATTAAAACTGAACAGAAAATATTGTTACAGTGTGATGACTTTTGATTTCTCAGTAGTGTGAGTAATTTACTGAACCATTTGCAAGAGACTTTAAAAGGATGAAAATGATTTGAGACAAAAATACAATACTAAAAAAACAATCGTTATAGCGAATTTGCCCAACAAAGCTGATTATTCTCACACGTACATGTAAGCTACAAGAGTAATCACTATGTTAGAGGCAGGTGGGTAAAGAGTAGGGCTACCTACCAAGGAAAGGGGCAGGGCCTATGCACGCATTGTCAGTGAACTTTGTTCATAATCTCCTATGTTATTCTTTAGGTCATTTTATGCAGAAGCTTCTGCAAGGCCAGGAGAGTTTCCAGGAGTTGCTAGTCATGCAGAGAGTGCAAAGTATTTGAGCTACAGTCAGAAAATTCTTAGTGCTCAGCACAAACACCTATGATCAATGAGTTTTTGGGAAACTCCATGAAGATATAAAAGTTTACATTCTAAAAAGTATAAACAAGCAATGAGGTTTACTTGTTAGTTTTAATGGTCAAAAGCATACACATGTTGTGACCAACAGAGTGACAGGTTTTCGAAAACTGTTTTGAAATTCATCTTTTACTTCTGTTATGGTGCTGTTTAGATTATTTTCTTTGTATTTACTTGTCAGCAAGGGCTGTACAGCCTGTTTGTGGATAAAGAAAAAATAAGTAGTAAAAAAAATTAAAAATTACCAGAGAGGGTTTCGAAACGTCTTTTAGAACACCAAAGTCCATTTTCAACAGCAGAATAAAAAATAGACAGGAATGTATCCACTATAAGATAGTATGCTGTACAATACTAAGCCAATGTGTAGTGGACACTAAAATTTCTCCCTGAGTGTCCCCTTCAGGACCTGTATAAACTTCTGCTGAGAATGACAAAAAGAACAATATATGAGAATACGAACTAGATCCTATGACCAGAAAAAAAAAAAATCAGATTCAGTATTATGAGCTAGTTTCCATGAGAAGCCTGCAGGATCCTTTGAATATTTTAATTTTTTTCAAAATATAAATTGTGCAGAAAAATTACAACCCTCACTCGCTGTGGTCTAAATTTCCGAATTTCTACAAAGTAAAAGAATATTCTAGGTAGTCACTGATACCTACCATTATAAACTGAAAAAATTAGAGATTCATTATGAAAATATGATTCAACAAGGTAAGTTGCTGCATACTGCAATTAACCTTCTTGAGGAAAGATGGGAGAAATTATTTTAGAACTAAACATAGTAAGAGAGGATTCTTTGCATTGAAACAGATTTAAATACTCGTAAGCTAAAAAAAGGGGAAAAAAGTATTCCAAGTAGTATGTTAAATAGAAAAATATACAAATTTTCTTTCCACAAAACCCATAAGATCAGTGTAGGTGCAGCACTTAGTAAAAAAGTTGCTTCTACGGGTCTCCATAAAAAAATTGTCTTATGAGCACTAACCTTGTCTTCAATTTACAATATTTTCGAAAGAGCCAAAGCAAAGAGGTTTCAGTAAAATTTGATGGTTAAAACCCATAACATGGCAGCATATCAACTACAGTTAGATTTAATAACCTCCCATGTGGATGAAGTCCTTTATTATGTACCACAGGGAATAAGTTCTGTTTTGAGGTTCAGAACATTAAGAATATTATTTTAGTGCCAAACCTCCAGTTGACACGGAATCATGTGTTGAGTTAATGATGAATTTTCTTTGCGCACACCTGAAAAAGTTTTAAAAATTTCTGTGCCATTGATGAGCATCAAAGTTCATCAATCTGTCAACTAAATCTGATGTTGATGATTTGCGTACAGTTCTAAGAAGTTCTAAACCTCAAAATAATATTTATTCCTTGTGTGTTCAGAAATAATACATAAAAAAAATTCAGGACTTTGTCCTTCTGACTGATCTCTGTTCCCTGTGTAAGACATGTCTTTGGGTGAAAAATAGTTGTCAAAAAACTTGTAGCTATGCTTCCAAAAGCGATGAAATCACCTTTCACCTCATACCTCCTTTGTAGCAAAGCCGTATAGAATAAATTGAAAAAGTGTCAGTGGTGATTTTTCATTTATCTTACGTATACTGAGGGTAAGATCCAAGTGTGACCATGCTGCACCCCATGTACCTAATCCTTTGAAAAGGATGAGCTTATTTTGTAATGTTTAACTCCTGTGTTTCTGAAAACTAGAGAGTGCACAGAGTCCACAGAAATTTTCCCGAATTTTTCTGAACAATATGAACCCACTAAAAACGAGCTCAAAGTCGCGTACTTTGAGCACCCATTTAAACGCGCGTCGGCAGTCACTAAAAATGGTATGTATGTTTTCCCTGCGCCCTTCGGAGAATGGCCATACTCGTTGAAATACCCACAGCAGCATCCCATAGTCCGCACGCTAAAGAGTATTGCCTGTGTCACATTATCAAAATACTCCATCAAAATGTCAAGGTCAAGTGCTGTGATTGGTCCAAGTCATCGAATAAGCCAATTACAACACCTGACCTTGATATTTTGATGGCTAGTTTTGATAGTGTGACACAGGCCTATGGAAGGCCTTTGCCGCACGCGATGGGGCGCAACGTCATTTAGTCCATGTGCGGGCTTTAGGATGCTGTAGTAGGTAAGTCAACGAGTGTGGCCATTCTCCAACGGGCGGCCATTTTTAGTGACCCGCCGACGCGCATTTAAATAAGGACTCAAAATACGCAACTTTAGGCTCGGTTTTCGTGGGTCCATATTGTTCAAAAAATTCTGGAAAATTGCTGCGGACTCAATGCTTTTTCTGGTTTTCAGAAATGCAGGAATTAAACATTACTTAACAAGCTCATTAGAACATGCTGGCCCATGGTCAACTACGAAAAATAAAAAAAATCATCCTCCTTTTTCATACATGAGGGTGTTAAGTTAGTGTAAACATTTTTATATAAATCAGCATTCACGTGATAAATGTGACCGGATCTGTGCAACAGGACCTTACCTTCGGGGAAAAAAATTTCCTTGACTATTTTTAAAACCTTGCACCACATTTACCTACAACCATAGAATTTATACCTTGAAACTTTAGGACTCATAACTCCTTCGATTTTTGAGCTTTCAGAGTCAAACTTGAGTTGAAATTTCCAGATTTGCTTCCTCTATGTATTTGAAAAGAGTTGAAGTAAATTTTCTTCCGGAAGATAGATTCCCTTATCACAGATCTGTTCCCAAATATCTTCTTAATCCCTATATTTATAAGATATGAAAAAGTTGGCTCTGCTACTAGAGCTTGTGCAACTTTTTAAATGATAGCTACGTCACTGAGTGATAATTCAAAGACAATGAACATCTGCAATGAGTATGAAACACGCAAAATATTTACAGGTGGGTAGTTTCAACAAAATCGCAAGAATCAATGCTGTCTTGCATTGAAGAGGACGTACGAGTTTCGGAGGAATCCACTGAATAGTCAAAGTAATTGTTGCTACAAAATGATGATCTCAGAGATGGACTTAGTTCATCCAATGATGCTAGGGGAGCATGTCCACGCTTGGATACACTTGAGATTGAACGGTGGACTCGTGAGGGTTGAGACTTCTTGGTTTCAGTGGGATGCAATTTATCTCTGAGAAAAAAAGGCAAAATTTGTGAGTCTGATCTCTTGAAAGAGCACATGATTTGCTAACACAAGTTAAGTTTCTGATATTTAGAAGAAATATTGATTTATGCAATTATTGGCCAATTCTGTCTTGGAATCCACAATTTTTAAAAAGAAGAATGCTCTAAAAATACTGGGAGATTAAATATTTACATTATTGCAAAATATGAGTTCAATCTTTCTTTAGCGAGACAGACAAAAATGAATACCAAACAATTATTTCGCCAAACCACTTGGAGAGTTTTGGGGGTTTTTTAACTTCTTACTTTAAAAAACTTCAAAAAATAAAAAATAATAATTAAAAATGATTGTTTTCCATTGTATTTTATATGTGTTAGATTCATTATAAGGGAAAAAAGGAGAAAAAAGCATTTTTCAAGAACATTTTTAGTTTTATTATGAATTACAGTTCTAAGGACTACATTATCAAAACGTTACTCAAAAACGTCGCTATTTTCACCTAATAAATCATCAAAATCGCAAAGAGGCTTGGCAAAATAATAATTCGCTTTTCTTTTATGCCTCCAACAGTCATGCAGAAAGGAAAAGATGAGATTTAAGCTAATGAAAAATGTTCTTTTTAACTGAATAGGAAATTAGAGTTCTGAATCCATTAAACCATGTAAAATATTGAAAAATTAAACTTTTTCAGCTCAAAAAATGTCTGATATTTCAAAAGTATCCATTTTAGCTTATAGTGTATTTTCAAAAAAAAAATCCACTACTGTTAGGTATTTACTCAAGTATTTAGTAAATCTCCTTAAAAGCGAAAAATTGAGCCTGAGGTTGTTTAAAAACATTTGTGGAAAATGACGAAGATCGATGGCACAAATGTTTAAACATTCTTGAAATTGACCTCAAAAAGCAAGAAAAATATGGAGACTGAGAACTAAGTTCTTGTTTTAATATTGAATTTTGTGATCAGTATGCTCTCCTGAGCATAAAACAAAATAGGTCCTGTCCCATTAATTAATTCAACCCAAAATTGTGTTGCTAGGTAGAGCAAGAAAAGTAAACGAGAGAGAAGATTAGGATAAAGATAAAGTTGAGAGGGAAAAAAATTAAACAATTAAACTGATGCTTACATCTAAATAGAACTTTCAGGCTTCTTCGGTTTTACTCAGAGGGCGTAAAACAATTCTGGGGTCTGACTCTAGCATATGCTCGTGTTCATCAACACTAAAGGAAACAAACATGCTGTTAGGTCACACAAAAACAACAACAACAAAAAAAAAGTTGCAAGGATTAGACAAATTTTGAATACAGAATTAGATAAAGATAATCAAGTTTCCTACAGTTTTTTTTCTTCTTACCATATAATAAGGGACACAGTATGCCATTTACAGAGCAGCATGAAATAATCCGTTTGTTAAAACCGGGGTAGAAAAAGGGAAGGGGGTGCCTGCTATATGAGCTAAAGAGGCTGGCATCCTCTTTCGACAGATGACAGGTCTCCTTGGTATCCTCACATCCTTACAAATATGTGTGACAAGTTGCAGAATCGGTGCTCTATTTTCCAACTTGAATGTGATGGCAGCAATGTCCAGGTCTTCAACAAGAGATAGGGAAACTTCTTGAATACTCTTTGGGGGGGGGGGGGGCATTGGTAGAATCTATGATATTATAGCTGCATTCAGCTTGGCACACCAGGTGCTAATGGTGGACATTCAATTGATATCATAAGAGAAGTCCATATTTTGGCATAACTGATTGCGAGTTGTGAAAGCAAAATGTCAAATAAACAAGGACTGTCTGTGGAAATTAGAAGGCAAAAGTCAGTTAAATATCTCATTTTCATAAGAGCCTAGGACAGCGCAGATTTAAAAAATAAATGCAAATGAGATTGGGTTTGTTAAGATACATTTGATTAATGTATCATCCACAAAATTCATTTATGTATTTATGTTCCTTGGCTGTTGATCATGAATTTTGATTTGGTAAGTAATGCTTATCACCGCACAATAATTTTCAGGCCATGTTCTGTCCTTTGAACCAAACCAGTTTTTTCTATTTCTAAGTCCTAAAAAAGTCCAAAAATGCCCATATTACCCTCATTTATTATAAGCATGATCAGGGGGTCCTAATTTATCTTAATTCCAGCTAACACATATGGGTAATCTGCAAGTTAGATAAGAGGATATTTTTGTATTTCTCTTGTGTACCTGTCAATATTATAGAAAGTTCTCTCGGAAACATTTAAAGAAAAGTAATCAGCGCATTCATCGTTCTATTTCATTGAGTAAATCAAACTTCAGAACTTTTGACATAAATTTCCTAGATGCTAATTTTGTGTACTTTTATTAAGATTGCCAGTTTTTTTCTCAGATAATCACAACTGTAGATATGAGCTAAAGTTTCCCTCAAAGTCAGTAAAAATGCGCCATTTTTTGGGCTTATTTTTGAAGAACGATAATATTTTACTAAATGATTGAGCTGGAATAAAGGGGAAATGTTTTCAGTGGGAAATTTTATCTTCCTTCTTATGATTTACTTTTGCAGGAGAAAGCATTGAGGAGATACTTGCAAAAGTCTGATCACAGTTTTTCTCAGTTTTGCAAAATTCAAGACGGCGGCCTCCTGAGTATCAGAAAATATTCCTAAGGATGATGTGGACCTTTTCAGACTTTCTTTAGCACATAAGAATCGAAAAAAATTAATTTGGTTCATGGGGCAGGACCTTCATGGAGTAATGTATTGGTTTAGCTTTCAACAGTTTTGGAATGAACATTTAACACAAACAACATGGCTGCTTCCCTGTGACCGTAATATACTGTTCAAAATCAAGCATTTCGAAACATTAAAATCTTGGATAAGTTTACGAACACTGGCCAACTAATCAAGGTAAGAATTAAAGTACAACAAAGGTGGTAGTCTATTCAAAATTTCACAAAGAACATGTGGAAACTATTGAGAAATTCCAAAATAAACGCATGAATAAGAGATTAGATTGGTAAATTCCCAGCTCACGGATGAACCAACATCAATGTAAGTCAAACTGGTCGCAGAGAAGAATCTTATGCATTCAACAAATAACCAACCTTTCTTTAAAAAAATGTTTCCTCTCCCTTTTCCTACAGAACTTGGAAACTTACCAAGCAATGATCAGGGCACAAAATAAATTTTGTTACAAAAAAATACTGAAATCAGGCTAAAGTTCGATTTGACTTTAGTAGACTTTCAGTTCTTGTTGAACAAGAAATTTGCACCCATGAACAAGACACGATATTTGCTAATTTATGAGTAGAATTCAGACGTTTTTTTTATGTTCTTCATGTTCTGTATGAAGTTCAGATGAGAAAATGGTCATTGAGGCGCTTGATTCCTTGCCTTGTTCAGTGTTCATTACCTGCATGTTTTTTCTCTTTAAGTTATTAGTAGTTACACAATGTACATGAAAACTGAAAGTGAAAATGAAAAAAAAAACAGGGGAAGTTAAGCGTGTAAGTAAAGCTACAAAACTGAACACCTTCAGAGAGTTTCATAAAGAATGATCGCTGCGTAAAAAAATGATGCTTCAATGAAACATGAAGAAAAGTGTGTTGAATACAGGGTCTTCATAAGAAAATCATGGATACATGAGAGAACTTGGCAGGTTGCGATTAATAACTACTATTGCATGATACAGCTGATTAAATGACCTCCAAAATCACTTGTGTACCTAGATCAGCTAATGCATAGTGGGGCTTAAAAACAGAGTCCTCAAAAAATGTATTGAACAGATCCATTCGATGCTCATAATTATGCTTAACTATCCATGAGGTCCATTTCTTGTGATCCTCTTCAGATTTTAGTGATACATAAAATTGAATTATTCGCAGTCCAGACAACAAGAAGGACATTTTTTTCAAAAAAATGGTATTTTTTCACAAAAGAGCCAATAGAAAACTGTTCAATTCTTTCCTCACATGTAATAGTTTTCAGATGTCACTTCAAAAACTTAGATACCGTTACCAAGAGTCATTCATTGGCAAATATGTTAAAACGCAGCGGCTGCAAGGTTTAAATATATCACTCACACACTAAGTATAATTCATATAACAGAGGTGTACTTACACTTCTTTATGGTCATTGGACATGAGCTGATGGGTTTCTTCTTCAGTCACTGCAGGAGGGTTCTCTGAAGCTGGTCCATACTGGGTGGAGGACGCAACCAACAAATCCGTAGAAGGGTTAAGAGTCATTATCTACACGCAATAATAACATGCACACCGATAAGAGGATCAAACCAATGCTACGACTATTATATAAACTTAACACAAAAATTATAGAGAAATGGATAAATCAATAGAGTAATTGATAGGTTGGGATCAATAACTGCTATTAAAAGATGAAGCTTTCGTGAAAATGATCTCCAAAAACAATTGGACTTTGATATGTTAATCTGCAGGAGGGCTTTCAAACAGAGCCCTCCTGCAGATTAGACGAGTTGCTGCCTAAAAAACTTGACAAAATTGTCTGGAGGAATGACAACAAAATTTTGTTCATGTGCCAGTAAATACGTTCTCACACTTGTAATGATTAGGTACAGCTGTCTCTTGGCTGTAAAACTAGTAGTTGAAAGTTGTACATCTTAAACTTACAGGGACCATTCTGAGATTCTAATGGCTTATGGGTAAAAGGCTTTTGCAATCATAGAGACCTACATAACTCCGAAAATATTTTCAAAAGGAAGGCATACTTGAATCCAAAATCCAAGTTTTTACAAGAGTTCAGCTTGAAAATTAGTAAATCCATAAGAAGTGCCATTGTTAACTATGAGTATGAAAAAGATAATACTGTTATTCCCAATAATCAATTTGTTTTTCCAGAAGGCTTGATTGTTCATTTCTTTTTTTTTTTTACCGCATTTGGATATAGTTTATTGTATATACTTTCACCTTCAGAAAAAAGGATCATTATCAAAATCTTCCATGAAGTTGTGATTTTACAAGGCTCTTGGGACAATATTCTGCATGATAAATTTCACTGTTGATGAGGGGTACCTAAAAGTTCAGTGGTTCATTAATTAATGAAAATAATTTATTTTCTTTTTCTTTGCCATCAAGTTCTTGCGGCTATAATGGTGTATTTGAGAGTAAATGCAAGATACGACAATTGAAATAAAAATGTAGTTTTTTGCAGGCAACTTAGAGGGCAAACTACAAAAGCTAAGATGGGCGCTGGGGTAAAAAAAGAGGGGAAACTTCTACCATGCTGATAATAAATATAATGCAAGAGTTGAAGAGTGAATGTATAAAATGCAATTAAAAGCTATCATGGTGCACTCTTGAAATACTCTCCTATGATACATTGCAACTTTCCAAATGTTAAATGGAAAATCCATGAAACATGAAATGAATTTTTTACTTTATTTCCATATGGCAAATACATTGTTGCGATGACTTCTGATGCCAGATTAATGTCCTGGACTTTCATGAGCATGAAAATTTAAATTACAAACATAAGGGCAATTTAGATTTTTTCTCCAGCTTTTTCGATTTTGAAACTACAGAGCCACATCTCTCTGCGGCATTAAAAGTTTCCTGGCACGATCAACTTTATTTGAGTGACAAAGATCTTCATTACTGCAAATTTTCCACTTGATTTCTCTTCATTCTTTCAGAATATTTTTTGCACATTTCATACAAAAATGTGTGGTGGTATGTATTCTCTAAGGAAAATTGAGAAGAAGCTAAAATTCTAAGACACCAGTGTCAAGTTACAAGTTTATAGGGTCTCACCATCGATTTGTATCTCTTTATTTTTACCTTTTCTGAGACTACATTAGCTTGTATCTTGGCTCTGTTGACTCAGGATTTTGGCTTCTACTTCATTATTTACAAGAGTATCACAATACAATTATAAGAGACATTTTTTGTGAATATTCTGAGAGAGTGAAAAAGATCCCCGCTTGAAACATACAACAAATAATCATAATGATTAAAAAAAGTAAATTGTTCCAAGAAATCTTCAACATACAAACAGAGAAGTTTGATCATGTACCATCACCATCAATATGAAGATACATAACGGGGGAAAAAATCCAAACTGTCAGTATGTTTATAATTTACGCCTGAATATTAGTACTTTTGAGGGCTCAGACTTAGATCCGGTACCAAGGACCATTGAAATGATGTATTTGACATGTGAAAATATGACAAAAACCAGAGGAAGGCCAACTCCCAAGAAATTCCTTATAAAATATTTCAGAAGATTTTTGCGAACATAGGGGCAAATTCTTGAATTGTAAATCCGTGGTTTTAAGAGTAGATACATTAAAATACCCTGTACGTTCTTAAAAAGCTCAATTCTTGGAAAACATTTGAAGGAGTCACTCTAAAACTGGGGAAAGAAAAAAATGGAGAAAAGTCACATCATATAGCAGCACCAGGCAACAGAAACTTTTATGCTAATCAATGGGCCAACTGTTCGCTGGTAGATGTGACATTTGCCCAAAGTTTTTATTCACAGTCTTTATAGGCTCAATAATAGAGAAATATACATTTTCAAACTTATTTCAAGAGCAGACTTAGGGTTTAAATTTTAAGAAAGAATAGTTCGTTACCTTCCGGCCAAAGTATCACAAAAACCACTGTTAACAAATTGGAATGTAGGTAAAAGACCTATGTATTTAGGGCTCAGAATTTTTCAGGGTGTCTAGGAAAGAATTTTCAAAATAAAAAAAAATTTCCTAATGGGGGAAAAATGTAAAATTCCCTGACAAGGAAAAAATAATTCTCTGATACTTCCCTGACAAAAAGGAAAAATATTCCTGATTTTTCGACACGATTGAACTGCAAGTAAGAATTTTTTCATGTTTTAGGAATATAATAATAAATAGGGCAAGATATATGTTGCCTGAACTATTTTTCGGAAAATCCGTGTTTTCAAATTTTTCTGACATTTCTCTGACACGAAAATCGCTTGCAAAGTAAAATTCTCTGACATGTCAAATTTTTGCGGATTCCCTGACGTTTTCCCTGATTTCCCTGACACAAAAAGAAATTCCCTGACATTTCTTGGTTTTCCCAATTGCTAGATACCCTGCTTTTCTGGTTGGCTAATAACAGTTCAGCTGTCACAATGTATAATGTTTAACTTTTCAAAAAACATCCATCATCTATTATTACAATTAAATTTTCTGTAGAGATAAAAAAAGTGTATCACAAACACTGAAATGAACACCTAACTGGACTTTTCTCTTCCAATTTTATGTAAACTAGATGATAAAAGTAATTCTGAGCATGTATTGAAAATTTCAGGTAACTGTTGTGTTCATGAAAACTGTCATGAACTTTTTCCCTTTTTACATTGGTCTTACAGAGATTGATGCTCAACTGAGACTTTTATATGTGGCTGGAAGGCAACGAGTTGTATGAAGATGGAAATCAAGCTTCCTTCCTAAAAGGACTGTGAGACCTACAGCAGCACATCAGAGAGCAAGACAAAAAAATACCTGTCCATTTCCAACTTGCGGGTGCAGATCTCGCGCCAGCCTGCGTTCTTTCGAGAAGCAGGAGCAGCCTTTCCTCCGCCTGATCAACTGAATGTACACAGCAACCATTAAAACGCCAAAAACAAAGATCAGAACTCCACAGATGGCAACAATGATGCTCCCACTATTAGCAGGATCACTCTGTGCCTCTACTTCTGACTTGAACAATCCACCTGTTTCAAAAATGTATTGATAATTTTGAACTTAGATTCGTTAGAAATAGAAGATGGGTAAAAAAAATAATTACTGAACGATATGTTTGATAAACACTATGTTTGAAAGTAGAACGAATAAAAATCCATGGACAAAAAAACGCAAAAAAATCATTGAATGCTTCAAAGCTTTGAAATTTCATATGGACTGGAGAAACAAGGCTTGAAAAGTAGCACTGCTGAGGTTCCTGAAGGTATTTATGTCATAAGAGTATTTAAGTAAATTGGGGACTGCAAAAAAAAAGAAAAAAGGACGCCATACACAATACAAAGCTAGGCTGAATTTTGAGATTTTTTTGACCTTACGATCTCCTAAGTGAGATGAGCTATTAAAGTCAAACTTTCTATAGGTTTGAAAAGTGAATTTTTGATGACTCACTTTTTTGAAGACAGTGCTGCTTCTTCATACAATAACTTGTGTTAAATTGCCTGAAAATACAATTTTCAGCTCTGATTTTCTCAAGATTGACATATAGAAAGATTGATTTTAAAAGCTCATCCTGCTCAGTAGGTTGTAACAAACATCATTTAAAAAAATCTCAACTTTGGCCGGCATCAAATTTGTTGGTATTGCGTGCAGTGTCCTTTTCAGGGATACGGGATGCAGAAAGTCCTTCATTTCCCCCTTTTTACTTAAAACTTCCTGCATCCCTGCCCTGAAGTCAGTCCCTTAACATTAAAATAGTTTATGTAAACATTGATAATTCTTGAAACTTTTTCCCTCAATTTTGACTAAAGTTCCCTGCTGATGAAACATCAATCTAACTTCAAAAAAGACAAGCCCGGTGTGATTTTAATCCATTATTTATCTTTTTTCCATTCCAAAATGGACAATATGTACTTACTACAGTACAACATCATAAAGGTAACTGAAACTGGGCATGTATAGGGCTTTGAACATCGTACGAATTGAAGCTTATGACAAAGAAACAATACAATACTCATGGAAACATATCGACACCGTAAGTCCGCAATCAAATATCTCGTTTATTGTGTCTGAAAATCTCCGCCTCTATGTTATTTTTTTTAAAGGAGAACAAATTGACACCATTCCTTGAAGTTTACGCAGAATTTTCTTTGCACAGAGAAGAAAAATCACGGCAGTTTTAAAGAATTGCTGTTGAGTGGTTTCCTGTTTAAAAAATAGAGTATGACAGGAAATCTGCAACGTTGCAAACGGAGTTATGTGATAGCCAACTTACACCCTCGATATGCCTTGACTCATGATCTAAGTGCGATAGAACCAGGTACAAAGCTCAAGCATGAAGAGTTCCACCAAAAATTATCTACCTATTGCACATTGAAACTTCAATGTTTTGGATAATATGCACATTGAACTTGACAAATCGGAGTAAACCGCTTGATACGTACCAGCAGTCATCATGAGACCAATGAAAATAGAAACTAATCCGAGGGCTAGAAGGAACCATTGAATACATCGTGGGGATCTAACTGTGTGCAAAATCTCCGACAAGTAACCATGAGGTCGAGACCATTCCTGTTGTTCATAGCTAACTGTTGTTGGTTGATAAACGGGTCCTGATGCTGGCATGATCCAAGTATTCTTCAAACCTTTGCGAGAGAACATATTCAAGTTAGTGAGGTACAAAAACAAGGTATTCAAACTTCAATCAAATCGGACAAAAAAATGCAACAGTACAGAGAGAAAAAAAGTGAGTTTGAAACTAAAAAGACTGGCTGGTCAGCCAAGAGTGAGAAAGTAAGAAGTTTACGGAGAAAACCGAGGATAATCAGTAAAGGAATTCAGACACTTAACCTCAAGAGCACTGATCACTGAACACTTAAATTGCAATGAGGCTATCGAACTACGCTGATGATGCAGTGCACCCAGAGTAAATCAGAAAGTGACAGTAATTGAATGGGAACAACAATTAATGGCTATCGGGTCTCAGTTGCTTTCTTCCTGCAGTGATTCAAGCTAAAGAGGAAGCAGCTCACTCTCGAACCATCTGTTTTTTGTTTGATATGCAGAACAGGTAAGAATAGATCCACTTCCTGCTCGTGCTCCTGACAAGGTCATTGTCAACGAATTTAAAGGATCGTATTGAGTCATACGAACTTGATCGAACGGTACTTTCAGGATACGTAAATTTCGGGGTGTAAAGTGCGGTTGAGAATTCCATGCAACCATGAGCTTCGTGTTGCGACAGTTTCGTGATATGACTTCATCCGCAAAATTCAGGAGTGGTTTCCGGTGTTATCATTATAGCAGTAAAGTTGAATTGGACATACCTCGGTGATATGCGAAGTGCAAGTATATACGCAATGTTTAATTATTCTGAAAAATTAAGTTTATTACACCGTATAGAACAAACGCTCTCCGCGATGTCTGTCGTTATCAAAAATGATGATGACTGTTGTTGTTATTGTTTTTGTTGTTTATTGCTGATGTGCCAGGTGCAACAAATAATAAAGTATTAATTTTTCCCCGGAAAACGCAGGCAAAATAGGATTGATGATGCATCTGATTTAGTTTATAAAATAAGAGTAATGTAATAATTTTTTTTTTTTTTCAGTTTTCAAGGTATATTGCCGATGCACTAATCAATAATGGTTATTCCCATGACGAAAACTCATCAACAAATTCAAAATGCCCGCTTCGCTTCCAACTCAGTTCAATTTTAGGAGGGCGAATTGGCAACGTGTTGTGTGATCTGTGTTGTGAAGCATGCGGCCGAAGCTCTGTGAAATCAGGAATATTCTGAATCATTTACAATTTATTGCGTACAATCGTCATTTACATCATTTTTGGTGCAACCGACAGGCAGTTCTCAAAGAAATTTATCACCGTTCATCATCAATTGGTCTCAGTCGACACAACTTCAGTGTTACTGTCAAAATGGATAGTAACTCTTCGGAAGATCATGTACCACCAGTTGATAATGCATCCATAGACAGTAAGTCTCCACATATTTTCTTTGATTCTAAGGGCCGCCAAGATTACAGTGTTTGCATTTGGTAACTTAAAATACCACTCATGATGTAGATATATTTCTTCGGTCAGAAATTTTTGCCCAATTAAGATGCCTCCGATTCCTCCGTCACTATAACCGAAAGAAGTGATCCTCTACCGCAGATCAAATCGTCAGTTTAAGCATGTAACCGTCACAATATGTACCTAGTTCAAATTGATAATTACTTGGACTGAGTTTCACAGAAATTCACCAAGTTGCCTCAAGAAGATTATGAGCCGGGAGCAGTTTTAAAGGCTATTAGGTACTTACTCATGAATATTCTCCTATTTAAAATTTGAAGTTGAAAATAAATCTTGAACAAGAAAACAGTCTTTGAACATTGTTTGTAACATTGAGTCTCATGGAGGTATAAAACGTCAAATCTCTATTTCTTGTTTTACATGTGATGCGACTTGGTGCGTCGCTGTCATACTAACTCCACACGCCCTTCAAATGTAGAGGCAGTTGGACATATTTTTGTTGTTCTAGCATATGCAACTATTTCAACCTTGGTAGCCAGTGACAATTTTACACAGCGAGCATCTATTTTTCACTTATTTCCAGTCTCGAAGTCAATAATCATTGTAAAATTTGGGCAATCCAATTCCGAACGAAAAACTGTGAGGTTTAAAAAGTCTAAGTATTATGTGTCAAAGATCTCATGTTTTTATCCTGGAAGGAGCATCCAATGGTTGTTGTTTGACAATTGGGGGGCTTGGAAGACAAGGTGCATAAGTACAGTTTCAGTAATTCGAGACTGGAGCTCAGTTGCTTCAGCTGCGTGCCATAGCTCGTTATGCTTATATTTCAACAGGTGAGATACATGAAAACGACTTGACCTTACTAAAAGCACAGTAGATAAAAACAGGAAGGAGGGGCGAAGGGGAAACAGAAATCCACACCATTTCATGTTTCTCCATATTGGAAAAGGAAGGATGGAAATGAAAGTAAAATCTTGTGCTCAGAAGCATGTCTTTGATCAAAATTGAGTTGTGCATGTGTTTTAGTATTTGAAGGTAAGGTCTACTGGAACACCAAGCTATTTTGTCTGGAAGTCATTTGACGTGGAGAAAACAGCGAATGGGATAAGTGCATTTTTCGTTTAGAGAGGACGCAGGATGAGTGCCAACTACCGTCTTTTTAAACCCAACTGCTGGCCTCAATTTGGCTCAACTGAGCTAAAAATTTTAGAAGACGTTTCTGAAGGTGTGAGACAAACACTTGTAAATTTTGAAGGTATTTGGAGCACTCTACAGGTCTGAGTAAAATGCAGAACTTTAAACTCTTTTTTTTTAAACAATAAAAAATAACTTATGCGCCTTATCTTCCAAGCCCCTCAATTGTTGTCTTAAGAATTGCGTCAAGATTTTTCAGGATTTCAATTAAAATACAATTTATTTTGGATACTTCCAAGCCTTCCTCTATTTTCAGCCAAAATTCATGATTAAGATTCCCCTGAAGATTATAATGAAAGGAAAGGATAGTAGTGGCCAGACATGTACTCAATTTGATAGACCTTGCCACTTGGTCAGCATTTTCTGGCCAGTGTTCACTGGCCTCAGCATTTTCTAAACCTATATTAAGTATATGATTTCTGCATTGTGCAGAAGTTCCTTGCTGCATGGTAGTCCTGCCATCATTACTTCTGATAGATTTGTCCATGAAAACAAGTGGTATGAGTTTTTATACCGTCAAATTTATTATTTACTGTTTTCAAAATGTTTGCTGTCTGTAATCAATCACAACTAACCATGATCACCAATGACCATCACAGGGGCGGTTTGGCAGCGAAAAAGTGAGCGGGAGTACTGGCCCATCAGAGCGTAGATCGGCCTGTTTTCATTGTTTCTTATTATGTGAACAGGGCAATAGGCCCAAAAACACCTCAAATTATTACCGGCAGACCAGGATTTTTCTTGCTTTTTCTGTCTGCCTGTCCGCTGCCCCTGACCATTCACGTCCAAATAGGTCTTCCTTACTTATTCTTTTGTTAGTTACATTTTAGACCATTCGTGTGAAATGAATAAAAATACCCTCACCTACGAGTGTTTTCTCAAGTCTCGTGCAACTTTTTTCCAGATGCAAACCCTCAAGATATTGAAGAAATGGATATAACAGACGACCATCCATTTTTATCTTATGATCAAGGGTCAAGTTCCAGTGAATACTCAGACTCCTCTCAAGATTCTTTCGATGATGATGCCTCCCAGACAAGTGATATCCGTGTCATCAGTGAGGTATCCAGTTGCCAAGTTCCTGTCACCAACTTCGAGGAAGGAAAAGCTAGAATTCAAGTACCAGTATCATTTAAAGTGTTCTTCAATCCTGTTCAGGAATTCAATCGAGATCTTAGGTACAGGCAAATTATTATTTTCCTCATTTAAGATTATTTTTGGGGTTTCTATTACAAATTGATCTCCTGTTAAGTTCAAACACTGTATTTATGGTATAATGATGCCTGCTGATGATCATATCAGTGTGAGAGATGGTAAGCAATTCAAGGAAATTTTCAAGAAATTTTAAGCCCCTCTAGAAACTTGCAAAGTCTTAGCAGAAACTCTGAGCTTAACAGGGGATTTCTGGTAAAATTACTATGAAATTGGAATATACAGTAATGAGAAAGAAAGTGTCATTTGTGGCAAGTAGCCAGTATCTTAGAGTTTTCTTGGACCCTTCACTCAGTACAAGATATTGATAGTAAAACTGCAAAAACGTGTATCTTAGTATGGAACGCTGCAGACTTCTTGTCATAGCTTATTTTCGAAGTAAAAAAATACTCAACATCATTTCTAGAAACTCCTGGTTTTGCTTCAATGTACGAAGAATATCTCGTGTAAATTTCAAGCAATAGTTTTGGTTTGTTCTCCTTTGATAATAGGAAATGGGAGCAGAAAGTTTGAAACATTGCAAACAAGGTACGCGTTTTTTCAGTTTCACTGAGGATGTATCCCTTGTCAACAGTAAATTAACAAGCAATGAATAACTGGAAAATTTGATAATATTTCAGTTGAACTTAAGAAAGTTTATTGAATTTTTCAAACTAATGTTTTGATCAAAGTTTTTGTATTTTCTACAAAATTCTAAATTAATGCTCTGTTCATTTATTTCTCCTCTAATTACTCTCAGCACTTTTTGTTTTTGTTCGTTTTTTACCAACATTTAATTTAATATTTGATCAAATTAAATTAATTGAAAAAAATTAAATTAATTTATCCTGTTGGTATTTTTAATATTATTTCAATATTTTTTGTAGTATTGCGGTATTGACTCTGTTTGCGGAGGATCATTTTAAAGAGGAAAGGTCTACTACCTCCAAAAGAAAAAACAAGAAAGGAGATTCAAGTCAAAACATTGATGACCTGTATTCACTTCACTTGTCTGCTGGAATTAGATACAAGGTGAGAAAAACGTCAAAATATGTGTTTCTTCAAAGTGATCCCTCGTGTCATCCATGTACACCAAATTGGTACATGTAAAGGGAAGCAGTGTGAGGGCCTCAAGTAATAGAATTAAAATTGTTGATAAGATGCTGTGTCTATCATATGCTAATTTGGGTCCACTGTGCCTCGATTAGAGTGGAACAGTTTATCAAGAAATCATCCAATCTAATTCAGATGTACAGCAATTAATGCTCTTTGGCAATATAAAAAATGAAGGTCCCTCTCAAATTTTTCCAAAAATACTATCCTCTTTAATTACATTAGGCCTGAAAGGAGCAATTTGTGAATGCGAAGTTCAGAGTGTCCAAAGAATCAATCTGAAATGAAATTGCTAAGATACAATCCTTTGGGAAGAAATTTGTCCGTCTTGACATATTTTTAAGAAAAATCAAATTTGCGCTTTGAGGATCTGGGAATCACTTTTAACTCACCCCTTCCAACCTTGAAACAAATCACAGTTGTCAAGAGGTTGCACACAGTCATTTCCTATTGAATTGGAAAGGAATTTGTAGTGCTTTTGATGAAAATTTTGTCAGTTTTTCCTAGTTCCCCATCGTTCAGACAAGAACTATAAATTCCAAGTGCAAGAGTTTGAACGGTTGTCCCACGCCTGTCAAAATGGAAAGTCAAGCTGCTTGGTTGCATCACTTACTTTAGTGAAGGAGGTTCCTCTGTGACAAAGAATTTAGATCAGAGGAAAGTCGGTGCGCAGTATCTGTATATTTCTCTGTTTCTAATAAAACTGAGGTACCTCTTTAGAAGGAAAAACCTATGGTCCGGCTCAGTAGAAAAACAGGTTCATGATTTCTTCCGCAATAAAAAAGCGCTAAGAAGCGCTAAAAGTACAACAAAAACGACTTTGATCTTTGAAAGTAAAGCTAAAATCGAGCACCTGTCATTATTTTGTCATTAATATGGGTTCATACTATAAAAATGAACCTTGAAATTCATTGCAACAGTGTCTCACAATGGAAGTATTTCCCTTTTTAAATCAATTGTTTGACATAGCAAACCAACGAGTATCATTCAAACCAAAACGAAAGAAAATTGCTTTCAGAGAAATATATTTAGGTGTGAAATTGTTCTCAACCTTGCACGGTTGCCTAGATTTGCAACCAAATTATGAAATTGCCCCAAAAATTGTGGAGGCTGATCAATTTTTTATTTAAATCTTCAGATTTTCAACTCATGTGGAATAGTCCGACTTGGGCACACATTCTAATATTAACAAAAAAAATTCAATAAAATTTTGATCAGCGTTTTGTGTTTACTTTTTTGTGAAAATCTAGGATGTTTGAGAATATTGCAAAGGCCTCTTGAAAGAGTGTGGAGGTTAAGAGAAATTTGCACCCCTGAGTGTATCATGAAAATTTGGAATCCTTTCACGGTGACTTAGAGTGTATGAAAATAGTGCAGCTCATGAGTCAGATGAACACAATTGATAGATCTACTAGGAAATAGCAGTCAACAGTTCAGTGATTGGAACAGTTTTTTTTCTTCCTTTTATTTTCTCTTCATGCCTTTTTGCTTAAATATATTGATAGCTAATGTGTGAAACCACGTATCCTAATTGCAGTGTTTTAAAATTTGCTCCTGTTTCATTTCTTCATAGAGAAGCAAGCTTACATCTTAGCTTGAAATGTATACAGAGTTTTCTGCTTACAGAGAAGGAAATCAAGGAAGTTTTCAAGAAACTACATTGACTAGTTTTCTCATAAAAACAAAAGTATGACAGGAAGTCAGCAATGTTGCAAACGAAGATGTGTGGTTTTGCACTTTGGCCATGGATATTATGGATAGGAAAATTTACAAGTTGATAGGAGCAGTTTAAGAGCTTTCACTCTCTGATTGTAATGGAAGGTGGACTCAAATGAAATAAATTCATAACAAAGGGACCTGACAACTACGTCGATAGATGTGGGTCCCTCCCTTGAAAGTGATAGGTCCGTTTTATCAGAAAACAACTCATTTTGGCCAACCTATAATTATGCCCTGTGAACTTCATTGGAATCATGGTGCAACTTCATCAGGGTAGCACTGGGATCGCTAGTCATAGATTTACCTCCATAAAGCAAGAATATAATTCTAGCGTATCATACTGGCTGTAAACATAAAAACTAGTGCTAATGAATTCTGGTATCTTTTCATATATGTTGAATTTTAAAAACTTCATCTCTGAAAAATCATCTTAATTTCCATGATGATAATAATTGGATTTCATTATGCGAAAAGGAACCAAGAGCATTCCAATGTTGCTAAGATCGTGTAACTTGTTTTACGTTGCAAATATAAACTGATTATCTAAATAAGTTTTATCTTTACCCCCTATAAGCTATGAATTCAAGCTGAAAATTACCTTAGTAAATTTAATTTTTTGCATGATTCCCGGAATTTTTTGCAAAGAATGTAAGTCGCACAATCCTTGAAACACTGGAGTGCTCTTGGTTCCTTTTTGCAAATGTAATCGAATTTCCAAAATGAATTTTTCTTAACTAGATAAAAGACCTGTCATCTGTATTTATTCATCTCTCAGGGAATCAGAAATCATTTTTTCTATTATTCCTTCTTTCAGGAAGGTATAGAAATATTGGAAGCGCTCTCTGCCTCTGGTCTACGCGCCATTCGATATGCATTGGAAGTACCTGGGGTCAAACAAATCACAGCAAATGACATGTCTCGAAGTGCAGTTGTCAATATTGAGGATAATATTGAACTTAACAATGTAGAAGATATTGTCATAACCAGTCAATCTGATGCTGTGTAAGTTCCTTTAATCACCCATTCATTAAATTCAATCATAGCACCATTCATCTGACTCAATAGTTTTTTCTTACTTGTAAAGTACTACTTTTGGTATTTAACAAAAAGGTAAAAAACTTTAGTTCAATAAACAAAGAAACCTTTTCCTAGGGGGCGTTGAAGAAAGTGAGCATCACTACTGTGAAGCAGCAAACGAGTTTTATCACAATCAAGAAAAATTCTGAATATTGACTGTCTAGTCACCAAGCAGACATAGTGTGCTTCATGGAAGCGAGTTCAAGTTGCTCTCTGCAAAATATTATGAACGTTCCTCACTGGATAAAACTTTCAAGTTATGCTGTTTAGAAAATAGTTTTGCATGGTGACATTTGGTCCAAAGAAACAATAACAACTCTACTGGGGAGGCATAGAAGGTATGAAATCTATAATACGGGTCGTAGCAAGTGAAATAATAGTAAGGTATATTAGCTGTTCTTCTACTTTGGGAGGTATGAGATTTTCAAGCAAATATTTATTAAACATAGCCACTTAGCAATTAAATCAATAATTAGACACAAAAATACCGTAGACTTAGAAGTAATACCTAGTTAAAAGAAAAAGCACCTTCGCAAAAAATTGCCTTTTGCAATGCAAGATCATAGAGAAAAAAAGTTGTCGGTCGCATCGTGAGGATTGTTTCCCTGAGACATAGGTTGGTACAACATGGCGTTGATATTCCAGCAAAATTCTAAATTTGGAGTATGAAAAACGGACCATAATGTCCGTTCTTTTTGCTTTGATCGACTCAAAATTTAATTCCGAACACTTTATATAGCATGATTTTTTTCCATAAGCGACATCATTTCCAAGAAAGGCAATGATAAAAACCGTCTGCTTTGACCTACGTCCTAGACAAAATCCAAAATCCCCAGGATGCGACCACCTTTTTTTTCTCTATGATGCCAGGTCTTCCCATGAGGCCATTTTACCACTCATCTAAGCAAAAAAAGATGGAAGGTGTTGGCAGCTTTTCGGCTGTAAGTGAAAACTATGGTCAGGTGCATTAGCTATTGACTCTCTCCCCTCTCTTGTTTCCTTAATCTTACAGGTAGATAGTTAGTTTTATCTTAGTATTGGTATCTGTTTTAGGTGGCTGATGCAGCAACAAAAGGCTGATAACCTTTGGTTTGATGCTATTGACTTGGATCCGTATGGTTGTCCCTCAAAATTCTTAGACTCAGCTGTTAATGCTGTCAGAGACGGTGGTTTGCTTCTTGTCACATGCACAGATATGGCAGTACTTGCAGGCAACACTCCAGAAAGTTGCTACTCTAAGTATGGTGCAATCTCATTGCGGAACTCCGCTTGCCACGAAATGGCACTCAGGATTGCGCTGCAAAGCATCGAGTCCCACTGTAACCGTTATGGCAGGTTCGTCTTTTTTCATTCCCAGACTTTCCATCTTTGAAATGATATTACTTATGATTCTTTAAGGATATTACTTTTATTACAAACAGATATGGTAGTCCAATCCAAGAACGAAAACTCCTCAGGTTTCCGAGTTTTCCCCTGTGAAAATCTCATTAGGTTTTTGCTGCTCTGTTGTTGAATTGATTTTAACAAATCGTCTTTTACATTTGTTGTGCATGCTGATTTTAATTTAATTTTTTACCTTACATTCGGCTGATGACATCAACAAGTCAATTCATTGATTTGTAACATAAATTCTCTCTGGTTTCATATGAAAAATGAGTAGTTTTTGGGAGTAGATATTAATTATTTTTTAATTAATTAATAATTTAATATTAAGTTTATCCCATCTTACTTTCAGTAAGCCTGCTTGCCAGCAATTAAGAAAAAAGGGCTTGCAAGCGTGAGAAGTTTGATAATGCAAGATATGCAAACTGTGTGCAACAAGTGGATCTCAATTTTTTTGACCTGTTTATCAAGATTTTTTTGTCGAAAAAAACCTTAAAAATTTTACCTTAAAAAAATATATTAATTTAAACATACAGATACATACCTGTATCTCTTTGTGTGCAACAGCCCCATTGAAGAAAATTAGCTGCAAACAAAATTCTAAAATTCATCTCAGTGATATCCGCTGCATTTTCTACTCTCTCTGCTTGTATTTTGTGAAAATATTGCAATTTTCAACTTGTAAAAATAAAAAGGAATCAATCACTGGTAAATTCTGACAAATTTGTAATTTCAGATATATTGTTCCTCTTCTCTCCGTGAGTGCTGATTTTTACATCCGATTATTTTTGAAAGTATACACAAGTCCACAAAAATGCAAGCAGTCCCTATCCAAACTCTCGACAGTATTCCAGTGCAATGGTTGTTGCTCGCTTACGCTTCAGCCGCTCGGAGCTTTCAAAGATGCTGGGAACAACCAGTTCAAATATTCGTTACCTAATGGGCCTGCAGTTGGAGAGACATGTGCTCACTGTGGACAGCGGCACCACATGGGCGGTCCCATCTGGAATGGCCCTATACACGACAAAGCATTCGTACGTCGTTTGATAACGCTGATGAAGAAGTCAATGGATAAATTTCAAACCAGCAAACGGATGCTTGGAATGCTAAGTGTGATCGATGAAGAGCTTACTGATGTCCCATTGTACTATACACTCAGTTCACTGTGTAATCGAGTGCATTGCACAACCATACCTCTCAAAGAGTTCAGGTACGTATTCTTTCCTCCTGAGCTTTCAGAAGTGACTTAACAATTTTGAACCAATAAACTCTGAACAAGTTTTTCAGAATTAGTTTCAGAACAGTGTCATGAAATTACCAGTCTTGGACTCTCTGATACTCACCCTTCTGAGCTGTTGAGTTAGGTTGGAACTCTTTGGAGGGGGGGGGGGTGTTCCTACATCGATGATAGCTACTTTTTCGCCTCCCTGAAATTTACAGATACTAATTTTTTCCCGAATGGCGACCCCTTTTTTTTGTCATAAATTATTGAGAGGCATAAAAAAAGAAAAAATTTGGCACAAAGCTCAGATCTCTATCTATTCTCAAAATGGCAGTCTTTGAATGTTCAAAATAGCTGGACAAAGGACCTCCGTAACCCATAAACAGATTGCCTTTGAGACTTGCCATATTCAATCAGAGACAAAGCCCAGTCTTTTCTCTAAGCTTCAAGCCTCCAAAAAAATTTTGGGTAATATGGTGGGGAATCAAAATTCAAAATCGGAAACATTTTTGCAATTTTTTGCTCAAAAACTAATGAGTTTTGCAAAACTTGGTTTAAATACCTAGGTGTCTTTAGTTTGACAAGAACCTCCAGAAAATGTATTACCCACATGCTAGGATTTTGTCAACTTCAACTGAAGTCATTGCCTCAAAAGCGGCGGAATGCTAGAAAAAGACCCCTTCTTGTACGTTTGGGCTGATTCCAAAAATGACCCTTAAACCGAAAAACCTGCAGTTAGTTTTAAATTGGCGGCAAGTCCTCATAACTGCACAGCTACTTATTCAGTGCATGATCTTCGAAATTATCAGGGCACAGCAGAGGAGGTATACAGTGAGTGTGTTTTTTCTTGATCCATGACGTTTGCAGGGTTCACACACAGATTAAAAACCCCCTCAGAGTAAATGAATCAGTGAGAACGAAAATGCACCAACTCGGTAACTCGAAAATGCCCAATTTCCATTAAAGATAGTTAATTTAGATAAAGTTCATTGAAGTTAGCGCATCTGTTCCAACTTTGACCTTTATAGATTCCATAAGTACTTGTGTTTTGGCAGTAAAAATATTTTTCTGAAACTAACTTCTTCGCCTACTGTGCAGTTTTGTGTATGTCTTGATTATTTTCATTTTTCCGAGTTCGCGTGTTTTCGTTCCTTCCGATTCAAATGTGCAAATAACATAGAACTACTTCCACATCATCAAGAGAAGATCAAAGTTAAAGACTGCACAGTTCAATAAGTTTTTCTCTCTGATTTTGTTGTTTGCCTAACGTTTGTAATTTGCAGGTCTGCGCTGCTCAATGCTGGCTTTGAAGTATCCTTATCACACTGTGCATCCAATTCAATCAAGACCAATGCACCCATTTCCGTTGTGTGGGATATCATGCGATGTTGGGTCAAAACTCACCCTGTTGCTGAAAAGCGCCTCCTTTCCGATCCAGTTTGTGCAAATTTGCTAAAGAAAGAGCCTGAGTTCATAGCGAATTTTGATGTGCATCCAGATGCTGTCCCTGAGTCCATTAAGAATGGGTTACTCCGATTTCAACTCAACCCTGCGCCCAATTGGGGGCCAGGCTGTCGCAGCTCACCAAAGTAAGCTTTTCATTTAATTGAAGACTCTTCAATTGCATCTAATTTTTGTTTTGTTTTAGACTTTCTCTTTGACGGATCCAGCAATTTGGCAACACCGGATTTCCTCCATTTAAACCTATGGAAATGTATCGATTCTTGGAGAGGCCAGGTGCTCTGACAAGAATCGATTATTTAGCATAGGTTTAAATGGAAGAAATTCGGCATTGCCAAATCGCTGGATCTGCCTCTGGACTTTCTTTTAAAACGTAATTAAAAAAATAAATCAGGGAATTGATGAATGGAAGAGCTCCTGGGCCAGGAAACATTCCAGCCGAGTTAATTAAATGTGGGACTGGCAAGTTGGTTAACCATCTCAGGGATTTGCTGCAGAAGTGCATTGACGGTGATGACATCCCGAAAGAATGGAAAGAGGCCTGGATAACAGCGTCGCATAAAAAAGGAAGGAAGGATGACTGTGGGAACTACAGAGGGTTAGCGGTGACAGGAACGATAAGTAAAATTTATGGAAAAGTGCTGAAAGCGAAGATCGAAGAGGAGTGGACCCCGTTCGAGGCGGAGGAGCAAGCAGGTTTTAGGGCTGGTCGGTCTACCGCTGATCATCTGTTCTGTGTTACCCAGTTAACCGAAAAGAAGAGAATTGTTGGCCAGGAGCTTCATTTAGTGTTTTTGGATATTGAAAAGGCTTATGATAGTATTCCTCTTGTGAAACTCTGGGAAGTCCTAGAAGAAACTGGTTTTAGTAAAGGACTTATTGGGGCAGTCAAGCAGTTTTATCGGGGGGCTTTTGCTAGAATTAAGTGCCAAGGAAGGCTTTCAGACGGTTTTTTTGTCACCAAGGGGCTTAAGCAGGGATGTTGTCTGTCACCGACGCTGTTTAAGATATATCTAGAGCACGTTCTGAAGGAATGGAAAAGAAAGTGTGCCGGCATGGGCGTCCCTCTAAATGACCAAGAAACACTGTTCACGCTATGCTTTGCTGACGACCAGGTAGTCATAAGTCAAGATCACGATGACGCGGAGTATATGACCCGGAAGTTGGTGGAGGAGTACCGCAAATGGGGCCTCGAGGTTAGTGTCCGTAAGACAAAAAAGATGTCAGTCGGAGGCGCTCAGCAAAGCATAGTCCTGGAGGATGGTCAACATATAGAAAGTTGCGAACAATACAAGTACCTGGGGGTGAACCTGACTTCGGATGGGAAGCTGGATCAGGCCATTCGGGACCGTAATCTTCTAGGAAGGAAAGCCATCGCCATGCTTAATGGGATCCTTTGGGACCAAAGGATTTCCAAAGACAACAAGAAGAGGATTTATAACTCGGTTGTCAAGCCTATTATCACCTATGGCAGTGAAGTGTGGCAGTTGAAGAAGCGGACCCAAGAAATGCTCAAGGCGACCGAGATGGATTTCTGGCGAAGATCGGCTGGAATCTCGAGGAGAGAACGTGTCAGGAATGAACGTGTCCGAGAGATAATGGGCGTTGAGGGGACGATTGTGCACGATATCATGACCAAGCAATTGGTATGGTATGGGCATGTGCAGAGAATGGCTGATACCAGGTTGCCGAAGAAGGTGTTGGAGTGGGTCCCCCCAGGTAGGCGACGGAGAGGGCGTCCAGCCAAACGGTGGGTAGAGGGCATCCATGAAGAGATGGAGAGATGCCAGCTTCCGGAGGATCTCTACCATGACAGATTCCTGTGGAGAATAGGCGTCGCAGAGCGCCCTAGCGCGCCGTAAAAGCGGCTCATACATACATTAAAAAAATAAACAAATCTTAGGCCTTGTCTCCACGGGACGTTTTCATGGGATTTGTCCCAAGTTCGAATCGCAGGAATGAAACTTCTGGTATTTTTTCCAGTTACCGTCTCCACGGGACAGGGCTCATACAGTCCTGCGACTAGTTTGTGCGGGAAGATAAATTAGTTAAAGTCGAGTATTTAACCGGGATTTAAACAATAATTGCACTCAATTGACAATTGGACACATTATTTTAACTAAACAAACATGAACAATGTAGTAATGAATAAAATATCGCACAATTCGTTTTCACTTCTTCTTCTTCTCTCAGTGGGTCCTAGGGGTACAAGTACCATACTTGGTACTGGGAAAAATATTGATTAACTCAATATTTTTCCCAACTTCGTAAGTGGGATTTTTCCCTGGGACAAATCTCGTGAAACGGCTCGTGGAGACAAGGCCCAAGTGAGACAAATCATTCAATTTCTCAACAGCACCATTTAAAAGTACAGGATAAAATGAATTTACAGTGATGCAGTGCCCTTCTTGAGCTCTCCTTGGAGTCATGGGGAGCTATAGGATTCCATGTCCATTAAAATACAGTTTCAAAGGTAGCTCCTTTATCTATTTGTGTAAACTTATTAGCTTCTGCTCATTTGATATCGGCAAGGTTTTCTGACCAGAAGAGTTTCCAGAAAAATTAGATTTTTAAAAGTCAGTAAATCATTATTTTGTGTGATGGATTTTGTTGTTCTTCAGAGCAACATCGTTCTAATTACCATAAAAAATAGATTGAATATTATGCCCATCAACATTTTTTTTTTAAACATTTTCTTACAAATTTTATAAATACTCTTCCCCCTCTTAACTTTATCTCCATTTTTATTGTATTTTTCTTAAGTGCTGGATTTGTCAGGAAAAAGAATGAAGAATAACAAAGCCAAGTTTGGCTGGAGAAAGAGTTGGTGACTGGGGGTTTAGGAGCGAGTAACCTTTGCTATCCCTTCAAGCGAATGCAGTGAGCTATAAATATTTTCCCCCTATCATCACTACGCCCATCAGGTCCAAGAGTTTAATTTCCATTCATCTGAGCATTGATGTAGTTGATGGGTTTTAAAGCTGAACAATAAAAAAAACTACAAAATTAAATTTACATTTATGTCGCAAAACCCGACTTTAAGACCACTCAAAATCAAGTGAACTTCTGTTTTTTGATCGCCCTTACAGGCATTTGTAATTAATTGAACAGGATGAAGCAAAGAGAAAATTCTATTTTCGACTCACTTTAAGAACAATATTAATTTCCTTATGCAGACACTTTTTCCTTATGCTCTTCTGGATGAGTCACAAACCGATGTTCCTGATTGCATAATCCAGTCCAGTTCGTTTACCCTTTATTTTTTTTTAATTGTGCTCTCCTTTTAGTCACTATATAACAATAAAAAATGTTCTGATTATCCTCCACATAAACATGTTATATGATGGGTAAGAACTAAAATATTTTATATTCGAAATTTACTGGCTGAAAATTCATATTTATCTTTAATTTATTTTACAGACTTTTGACTAAAAGTGACAAACGTCAACATAACCAGAATAAGCGAAAACGGGCTCATCATTCAGCAGATGGCTCTAGCTATAATGGCAACCGTGCAGACATCCCAATTGTGACTCTCTCAGATGATGATTCAATGGACTGTAACAGGCCTGTCCCTGAAAACACATTAAATACTTCGGAAGGCAAAAAGCAGCGTCTAGCAGACTTGGATACATCAATTGAAATCACAGACTCCAAGATCATCAGCATTGATGATGATGAAGTTTCCGAGGTGGTAGATGTTGACAGTTCAAACCCCAACAAGGACAGCACTACGGAAGCTAAAAAGACTGTTGAGATAGTAGAGAGCGCAGAAGTTGGTGCAGAAATTGAAAAGACTGCAACTGTGGAGACTGATTGTGAAGTTGCTAACAGTGAAAAAGAAGGGGATGAAATAAGTGTAGATGCCAAAAAAACAGAGGAAAGCAGAGACACAGTGATTAGTGCAGAAAAAGATCTATGTAAATCTGCAGACACAGATGTAAATGGAGCCCCTGAAATTGAATCCGTAGCACCAGAAAAGTCTTGTAACAGTGAAAATAATGAAGAGATACCAGAAGAGAGTGACAGTACATCTGAAAAAATTATCCCAGTGAAATCGAGTGTGACAGAAACGCCACAAGATTCACATGAAAACCATCAGTCTGAAGAACAATCGACCCCCGAAGGAAACAAAGCCTCAACCCTAGAAGAGGCTGAGAAAAATACTGGTTTAGAAGAGAAATCCGCCAGTCTAGATCAGGAGACAGTAGAATCAGAAAAAAAATCCCTAGAACTTAGCGAATGTTCTAAACCCGATACATAGTTTTTTTGCAACGTATGACAGCTTGCACCAGACTTAAACTGCAAGTTTTGTGAAAGTGTATGAATCGGACTCTAAGCTGGCCCTATCATTAAAATTCTCAGGCATTCCAATGTGAATCCTCAAATTTGCACTCATAAATATTGTAGGTTACCTGGAGTTTTTGAGACACGATTTTCATAATGAGATGTGTAAAGATATTTTTGAAGCTTAAAGTAGAAGGTGAATATTTGTGTCGTCAGAATGATATAGGGCATGACGATAAGTGCACTTTATGTCGATTGTAGGTATTAAACAACTGTGCCCACTTGACCTTGTTGAGCCATCTACATATATATCTTGGTGTAAACTATCGAATATTGTAACCACTTTCTTCTCTTTCTTAGAGAGGAGTGAAATGATTGTTTGTTTTTTTTCCTGTGCTCTGCCCAGTTCTCAATGAAGTTCTTCATTGGGGAACCTCTTCTACAAAAGCATGCTGTATAATCTGAAAAAGGATTCAATTGCATATGTAATTTAATTAACTTCGCTGAACCCCAATTTAAAGAAGAAAATTGTGAAAGCAGTGCAATGACAGCCTGATGTGTTTGATGGAACACAGATTTTCAGTTATATTTTGTGAATGGGTAACTATGGTAACTTTCACTAACTTTAGTTTTGTTCAACATTTTTATCTAATATTAATTTTTCACCGAAAGAGGGAAAATGAAGGAAGGAGTTAAAAATGCGTCAGTTTCTCATTTTTAAACAGCAACAAGGGAAAGTGGAAACAATGTTGTAAATTCATATCATACTTACACTTAATCAGGACCCCAGAGCCAAAAGGTACCTAACTCATTTGTTAAAAAATCGAGTTAGTGTTGTTATGGAAATCCTACGTAACAGTTCCATGTGTGATAAATTTGGTAGCCCTACTAATGCCGGTTATGATGCACAAAATTTAAAAAATTGCAATTTTCATTGAAGTCAATGGGGCCGACATACGGTTTTTCCTGATATTTCAGTATTCTTGGCCTCGCATCATCAGATTATCGCAAGGGATAATCAAACTTGTCAGTTAATAATCGTTTGAAATCAGACATGACTAAAATTGAGTTAGGTACCTTTTGACACTGGGGTTCTGATATGATGGTGCAATCTAAATTCGATAATTTTAAATTAGTTTCCGTTATGTTTGAACGGAAGAACAAGTTTTCTAATTTTGGGCGAAGACTTTGTGCCCAACAAAGATGTAAGCACCCCATATTTAAACATAAATGCTGAATTGAGTTATTTTGAGCTCAAACTTGAAAGGTACATCCTAACCTTCCCAGTTACCTTTAGTTTTAAAAATCGAAGATTTTTGTAGAAGTGGTAATGGGAGGTCCAATGACCTACAGAACACCCCTCGTACCAAATTTTCACCGCACACACCTCTTTTATTTCAAGATAAATAATCCAAATACTTAAAATGAAGAAATTTAATAGTGCCCTATTACCCACTTATTTGTATATAACATACACCAAGTAATATACTAGCAAAGTAAAGTCAAACAAAATCTGTCGTTGATGCTTCGTAATTACCGTAATTTGGATTATTAGTGAATGTAATATTAAATGTTATTAGTAAATCCATGATTTGACTCAATTTTATTTTTTCCATCTAATTTCAATTTTTCCTATCTTCAATATTGAAAAAAACGCTGCATGGATTGCACTCAAAGTAAAAAAGTCGATTACCGGAAAAAGTGCAGAAAACATGTTTTCGCAAAGGTATTATTGTGTAACAATCACATGCACTTGATACCTGCCATTTTGCACTCGTAACTATGAAGTTCTCACCTGCCACTTAATGATAGTCAACATTTTAAGAAAAGAGCATGGTTCCTTAGCTAGTGTCACATGATCAGACCATGCGATCCATACATCAAAGTCAGGTGTTGTGATTGGCTTATTCGATGACTTGAACCAATCACATTACTTGCCCTTAATATGTTGATAGCACAGATTGATCTTTTGACACAAGCTTCTATGTTTAAAGTTCGTTTGCAGACAACAAAGAGCAGGCTAATCTCTCATGGGATTAGGTTTTGATAAAATTTGATGAAGGAATATTTTACTCTCTAACCATCCTGACTAAAATCCACTAACCGTTTTTGAGAAGTTTGTCCCTTAAGTATTTGAAGCTAAAATCGGTCAAGCTAGTTTTTTCATTTGCTCATAAGGGCATCAAATCATAAGGAATCGTAAGGGCAGCATTATCAGATTATCGCAAGGGATAATCAAACTTGTAGGTTAATAATCGTTTTGGATCAGTCAATTAAGACCACATGAACTCAGCAAAATTGAATTAGATGTGTCGAAAAAATGAACTGTAAGCTTCTACTGTCTGCATTTAGTCAACTGTTTAAAATTCTGCGCGTCTTGTACGCTCAAAAAATTTTGACCATGGCTTTTCTTCCTAGGAAATGGGGGGCAAAAAGGAGGTCCTATTATGAATAAGTTCATTCTTGGATAAAATGGAATATTCAGGATCAAGACAACCCTGAGATAAAGTTGGCCAGCGTTGAATTGCTACTATTTTGATTCCTATTAATTGTCTAGGACACTCAGGACTTTACTTTTCCCAGAAGTTCCTTCTTAGGTTGAAAAGATAATTAGTTATAAAGAAAAAAAGAATCTCACAGAAATTAATCGAATTGGGGTTAGGCACCTTTAATTATTTGGAAGGTAGGTCCCTGATTTTTGCTTTCAGTTTGCTGAGAGTAAAGCAAGTACATCAGATTTGAAAATTATGCACACTTCAAAATCAGTCAGAATCTGCCAATTTCAAGTTTCAACAGGAGTTGCACCAGTTATGTAGATCGCTTTGTTCGAATGTTCATGAAAAACCAATAGGGGTCTCCCAAATGTGGAAAGGCCCTGAAAATTTGGCAAGGCTGCCAAAAGGAGAGCAAAAAAAAAGGACAGTCGTAAAAAGATGTAAGTTATGAAAGGGCAGTAAAAATATCTCAATTTTCAAGGGTCTTTTTATGTTAGCATCATTTCTTCACTACTTATTGCTAATTTTCATTCTGTGAGAGAGAGGTAGACAGGTTCCAAAATTGTAGGAAGATTTTCACAATTTTAGATTTAGGCCAGTAAAAACACTAAAGATATAAGAAAAGTGTAAGTCGCAGAGGATGTTAAAAATATTGAAATTTTCAGGATCATATCACTTTTACATCATCTTTCCGCAATATTTGAAAGTCTTTCATTCAGAAGGAGGCATATGGGAAGGTCTTAAAAATGTAGAAAAGTCTTTCATAGGTACATTCATGTAGAGAGAAGGCTAATTTTGTAACCTTATTCCAATTTTGAAACTATAAAAGTATCAGAGAGGCAAACAAGACACACCATCAGAATTAACAAACTGGCACCTCCCTCTCCTAGAGTAATGCAAAATTTCACACAGATCGTTTTGTCCAGGCTGTTTCTAGAACAGTGCACAACTATCGCAAATCTTGATGTGTATTGAGTCGAAAGGCTGTCAAACTTTTGACCCTCAAGAATTTAACCTCCTTTCCACATTTTTAGGGCCTCCCCACATTTTTGCTTGCCCAGACAGGCTTGTGATGGCTCAATTGATGAACCTCTGGCTTTTCCAACTGCTACCTGAACATGGCTATTATTTTTCTTTAAGAAAAATAGCCACCTAGCCAAGCCAGGTAAAGACAGAAGTGTCCTTAACAGATAGGAACAAATTTTTAAAAACGTTTTTGTGAATAAGGAGTTAGAAAATCCTTTGTTTGAGGATCATAAATTAAAAAATATGGATGATGTGAATAAACGGCAAGGTTTCTTTTCATTGAAGTTTTTTTTTTTTTTCATTTTATTTCTTTTGGGAATTTTCAGTTAAATAAAAAAATTCAGAGCTGACTTCAGCTGGGTCTGTACAAAAAGTATTCTTCACTTCTTTAATCCAAGATTTATGGTATCAATTGAGTTACATTTAAGACAGCTCATCTTGAAGTGGTGTAAGGTTGCATCTGTGAAGGACCAGAGAAATGAGAACTTAAAACTGTCATCAGCAGCTGCATTCACCTGGAAAAGAAAATAGATGATCATAAATTAATAGTTAAACTGGAACTGAGGGAATACAAGGTCATCAAAATTGATAACAAAAGTAGGATTAAAAACTTATGGTACTATCCATGGAATCCATGATTGGGATGATTTATGGCTCCCATGATTAGGGACATTCAGTCTTCATAGCGTGCAAGTTACAGAAAATTGCTATCAACCAAAGGAGGAAAGAAATTGCTCTTTTCCCTCTAGATATTTACAACTATGATATTATCTTCCAGCCAAACGCAAAGAAACCAGGAGAAGGTAGGGAGAAAATCCAAGTTAAAGAGGTTCTTTCAACACAGCTTTAGAAAGACCCATTTGTTCCTCTCTATTCTGGAATGCAATCAAGACAAACTGACTGCAGAGACAGTGTAGACATGTATCCATAGGGTACGTTGAGAGTTCAAAGATTGTTTTTGAGTGCTGCCGACAAAGTTCAAGACCCGGTCGCTTTCATAGTGGATCACCCCCAATACATTAGCTCAGAACAAGCGGAATAGAGGGGGTTGAATAAATGTGTGAAAAAACCTATGAAGTCTGGCAGAAATTGAACAAGGAGGAACTAGATTACCTGTATAGCGAGAGTATGGACAGACCGCTTCATGGAGGGCTTAGGGCCCAAAAGTGCAGCCACCCTTCCAACCAACTTCTAACGCACAAAATTTCACTGCCAGTCTGCAGATTCCAATTCTAATCAAGATGGCTAAGGATGTACATAAATGAGCGTTTTTCCGCAAAAATGAGTAAATTTATGCAAAAGTTAAGACAAATACGTGCTGAAAAACGATGGTTCGTAATAAATGTATGAATAAATCGCTCTGGATAATTGAAATTCATAGGTTCGCTGCATTTCTGGGCCCTAAATTTATTCGCAGAGGCATCGGTGAAGGCCTGATGGATTTTCGGAGTTTCACATCTGTCTATACTCTCGCTATACAGGTACTCTAGGGGTAACATGGCATGTAATTATTGAAGATTATCATGAGCGCATCTTTAGAGAGTGCGTCAAGCTCATAGAGTACCATAGAGACTCAATGTACTGAAGCACTGATAAGACCACTTTAGAAGGCTACTTGGTACAGTACTTTTGAAACAAGAATGTGGTAACTGGCAAACATATGAGCAGGGTCCTGGCTCCAGGCTTCCCTCAGAAAATATTAGAATAAGAGCCCATTTATGCACGCGATTCGTGTCGCCGGCGGCAGTTGTCGCCGTGACGTTTTTTTTAATCGCGCGATCCATATTTTTGTCGCCGCGGCACGTTTTTCCTGCCGCCGCGACACCGTTCTTCTGGAGCGCAAAAGGTCCAAAACACGTGCTCGAGAAGTTCAATTCCAAGCGGCGATCGCCGAAACTTGTCGCGCATAAATGCGCTCATATGACTCCGTGTAGTTACAAACCGCGGGCGGCAGGAAATCGCCGGGCGGTTTCTAACTACAAGCGACATGATCTAGAAATCGCCCCGGCAGTTTTGCCGCCGCAATTTGCTGTCGTGCGCAAAAACGGCTCCATAGCTTCCCGTGTAGTTTGAAATCGCGCGATTTGTTGTTGCCGGCGACAAAAATCGCGTGCATAAATGGGCTCTTAGGTTTACTTCATGAAAATAGGGGGTTCCTCACAGTTTTAATTTTGCTATGACATCGGTCAACATGATTTGCCAAAATTTGTAAAAATAATTGTCGATTTAAGGTAAGATATTTTTAATACAACTTGCAGCCCGAGACCCTACCATGATCCGCCATGTTGAAAAGTGCTGTGTGGTTCCCACTTACCAGCAAACAGGACGCTAGAAATGCACCGTTCACGGATTGACATCATTGGCGTTCCAATACATTGCGACTCTATAATACTATACATTAAAACAATTTAGCAAGGACTTAATAGCCGAGTGCTTTGTAGGTTAGGAGATTAACGCATGTCTGTGCATGTGCTCACAAAAAATTGAGTCTATTGAATTACATAAACGTAATTAAAAGAACGGGTATAAGTGATGAGGCAAAATTCTTACACTATCTTAGTCTTCTTGCTTCTCTCTCTGATTCCAGGAGGGTAAGGATGTCGCCTTCTCGGACTGGACCTTTGACATTCCTGATGATTTGACGGTTCTGTTCACCTAAAAATTCAACTTTCACTTGCGTACATTGGCCTTGGGAACCCGTTCGGCCTAGCACTTTTAATACACGCGCAGAAACAACTGGTTTCTCCATTTTAAAGGATTAAAATTAATACTTCGCTCTGAAACACGTGTAACAGGCTGACAGAATCGCTAGAGTGAGGTTAGGTTAGGTTGTATTTACACCCGTCACCCGGAAGGAGGCAGGCGGAGGGAGGTGGAATCAGGTGGAATGCACCGCCATTTTATAACTTAATGACGCACAAGAGGTACATGATTTTTCATGTAATGATTGGATGTACCCGATACTATGTGACATCAAGCGGGTACGAAGAGCGATCACTTGTGTATCCCAGGANGGGGGGGGGGGGGGGGGGGGGGGGGGGGGGGGGGGGGGGGGGGGGGGGGCGGAGATTGGATCTTTGGATTCCAAGGATAGGAGTAAGCTCATGTGTGCGTGCGAGATTTGTGATTTAAATACAATATACGGAATCACATAGAGTAAAAAAAGGAGGTGTTTGCATCTTGAGGTTTGTTTACCCTATGATGTAGGTCGGTACAACCTGGCCAGCGGAATCCGGAATTCGAAGTATGAAAAACGGACCACAATGTCCCATTTTTTTGCTTAAATCATCTCATGATATAATTTCAAGCACTTTATAAAGAATGACTTTTTCCATAAATTACACCACTTCCAAGAAAATCGATGACAAACGTCGCTGTACCAACCTACGTCATCAAAAAAATTCTAAGATGCCCGAAATGCAAACACCTCCTTTTTTTCTCTATGACAGAATCATCAGTAAATTGTTGCAAGAAACACGGTGGTACAACAGATTTTCTCTGAAACGAACTACTTATCTAGATCAAAGAAAGATCTCCAAGTTGAGGTTGTTACGGAGGTGCAATCCCCTGCGCTATGCTGAGAGACCTCTCACCGTGGCATCCTAGGAGATCCTTGGGAGATCCCCCTCTATCATGACCTCAACTTTGAGAGCTTTTACGAAGCTTGGAAAATCAATTCAGAGAAAACTGGACGCACCATTGTGTACTGCACACCAAATTTTACCAAAAGGAAATTACATTATTGGAGATGTTGCATGTGTGAGGAATTTGCGATTTGACTACTGGTTTTTATGTAAAAGTTCGCGAGAAACATGATGGTGCCACTGGTTTTCTCTGAAAATAACTCCCACGCTCAAAAAAAGCTCTCAAGTTGAGGCCAAAATGGAGGGGATATCCCACGCTATCCTGAGAGTCAAATCGCAAATTCCTCAAACATGCAACATCTCCATTGCAAATCTCTGAGCCATGTAAAAGCTCCATTGATGGATGAACTTTCAAATTGTTATATCTTTGTACAAATATTTTACTTATAAGGGCTGCAAAAAAATTTCCTTCCTACCTCATCTGTGGCCCTAGAATTTTCTTTCCTAACTTTCCTTCATTTAAAGGGTATTCCAAAAAAAGGTATACCTAAAGAAAGTACATGGCATGCTGACTAAAAATCAACGAATACCTATTTCAGTTCTCTTGAGCCATGCAAACAGACAAATACAATACACATGAACTGAGTATGGACCGATATTTCAGAGCGCATGGTTCAAAATTAACAACTATTTCAATACACTTTAAATGTGCAGGAAAATACACATGATTTTTGCTTTAAAATGCTAAGGTTGATGCAAAGATGCTTTGTTTGAATTTGAATAATCTGTGATCATCGATTAGAATGTAAAAAAATTACACCAAAAATTTATCTAAGTAAGGTAAGTGTGCAACACATAGGAAGGAAATTCACAGACAAACTGAAACAAGAATGGATGAATATCAACCAAGTTTATTAAAATTTGTGAAGACTATAAAAAAATAAAAATTGAAAAAAAAAATAAAAAAGCTCTCTGGCCTTTCTGACTATCATGAGTATTCAACAATAAATTTTTCGTAGCTTCAATGAAGTGAGTGTACAACAACAATGCCGATATTGAAGCACTGGATGGAGGAAGGGCATTTCTCACTTGCAACGTTCCAGAGTCTCCATTGCTAATTTACATTAAGGAGAGGAAACCAATGAGTAATTTTTTTGGAATGTTTCATTAAGAACATTTTAAAATCATTGAGAATATTCAGGAGAGTTTCAACAAATACCATGTATTTGCATTCTTTAAAGTGAATGAAATATTGGTGTGAGTAGATTCTGAAACACTGCAAGTGAGAAGTGCCCTCCTTAGACGCAGCACCTTCATTATTTGGTGCTGGTGTGTTATAAATATCTGTTTCAAAATAAAAACATAGTAAAGAAAGTATAATACAATCTCAGATTCGTAAAATATTGAGTTTCAATTTAAAAAAATATTATCAATAATAAATACATAACACCTAATATGTACCTAACATTTAATGCATAACACCTTGGTAGGATGGCAATACTATGAGTGCCACTAGCAACAAGAAAGTTAAAGTTATTTATTTAGACATGTTAAAAAAAAGATAGAAAAAAAAGCATTTAGATATGTTCAACTGAGAGAAATTTGACACATAAAATAGGAACTCTGGCCCTTTGAAATCACCCTGTTTTCAGGAATTCCGCAAGGGTTGAAATTTTTTTTTCGAGTTTACACGAACAAACACTTATATGAATAAAAATTGGAGTAGGTACCTCCCAGTTTTTAGATGATTACTTAATTTTTTTTCTCTTCTTTAACTGAAATGGCTCAGGAGCTCAGCAAATGAGGAACTTAGATGACAAGGCGCATAAGTGCAGTTTTTAAAAAATTGAGATATTAATGATTTCAAATAAAAGTAGTCTTAATGCATATTCTGTACCAAATTCGCTCCCAAATTCCAATTTTTAAGCATCGAAAAGCCAGTTTGAACTTTCTTTCTGCCATAAGGATCCTTGTAATTTCGAAACTTCAAACTCCTGTTTCTCGAAACTTGAAACACATATTTTTCGAAATAACGAAAACTGCACTTACGCGCCTTGTCGTCCAAACTCCTCAAATGTAATTCCTGTTTTCAGAATACATAGAAAAGGGAAAGGACATAGACAAGATTGAGAGAGAAAGTGTCCCAGTGAGCAAGGATGTCCACCCATTGATGGACACCTTTCATTTTTTCTAATGGACTGTAACAGTTGTTGGAAGACGTTCGAACATTTAAATTCTTCAGTTTAATCACAACTCAATGAGAGCTTAACAGCCGTAAACTGTACAATGATTTGTAAAAAATCAGGATTTCAGGCAAAAAATTTGTTTTCATATTAATTTCAGTCCCTTAAAGATTGGTGATAAATGAGTGAATATTACTTAAAATGAAAGGGTCACAAATTTAATCTTTCAGGTAAATGAAACCTCAACTATTTGGCTGAGTTTATTATATGTTTCAGGATTCACACTCCTGATCAAAAGTCTCAACGGACTTTAAGTCCCAAAACCAATAGAGGACCTACCGGGAGGGACAAAAGTCTCCCTGTGCTCTGATAAGAGTGTTGTGGAGGGCTTACTAATTACATCTGATAAGAAAAAAACCGCACCACAATAGTTCCATTAAAACGGGCTAAAATACACTTCCCATCCTTTCTTCTCCTCTCCACCTCCGCCATATATCCCTCCCCCGCTTCCGAATTTATGCAGGGGGGAGATGGTGGTGGTTCGAAAGAATCAGAAAATAATGCAAAAAGTATCATGCATACAATGAGCAGACCTATTTTACAATATAGTATTATACTGAAACGATGTTTACAATGTGAAGTGGATACTCAAAACAATGGTTGTTTAAACTGGCAGACTTTCCTCTGCATGCCCTTACAGAAAATACTCGTAAATGTACAATGTATTCCAACAAGAACAAACAGTCTCTGAGAAATGTTACTTGCCGATCATCAAGGCGCTTTCCTGTCAACTTTGAGTGAAATTCTTTTAATATTTGTGACTAGGTGAAAAAACTTCATGCCAACACAACTAATTCAATTTACAGCAATCAAATCTTTTCCAATAAATTCTGTCTCATAAAATTTGCAAGTATAAAAGATTCTACAATGGAAAGAAGTAAAGTGCACGCTTGCTAATTAAAAACTAAAGGGACAGATGACTTCTTTTTTTTAAAAAAGGGTTTTTGAATTAGCGAATTTTTTAATTGCAGAGAACGCTTATGCAGAAAATCCAAACTTAAAAGATTTTTAAAGAAACCTTAAAACTCGAAATCACGGGCATATTTTTATGTATGTACCCTGCCATCTTTAAAACATTAAATAAAAGGAAAGCCATAGGAACCTTTCTGCATTATAGAACACCTGATTCTGCCAGTTTGAAATACATGAACGTGCGATCTTAATTCCGAATTGCAGAACTTTATGGCTGCATCAATTCGAATTGTAGAGCTGATTCATCTGCTGCTTAAGGTCCAAGAATTTTAAATGAATAAACAAAGATGAATATGTGTTTACTTTCTCCTTTTCTTCTTTAGAGAATGGATTTTTATAAAAGGACTGCCCTATCTTTCATAATATTGAGATTTAAGCCAGCAAGTGTGCACGGTGCATTAAAATAAGACTATACTCGTAAAGTAGAATAAAATGATGCTCTGAAAAATAGCATTTCCTTTAATTGAAGAAAAAATACTGACAGGTTCGAATCCTTTTTGACTCTTTCATTAAGTTTTGAACAAGTTTCTAGACAGTAAATGTTTGAAAAGTAAATAATCTTATTGACTAAAGTAACAGTGAAGCAAAACAAAAAAAAAGACTTGAAAATAAAGAGGAAGAAAAAAGAGCACTGAAAAAATTCCATGAGTTTCATTTTCTACAAGGCACCAAAATCATGCAATTTTGCAAGATTGCAATTGTTCCCAAAAGAAAATCATAAACATTTCAGAGCATTAGTCTACAATATCTTAAACAAAAACACGCATCCGGCTCTGGGCTCATAAAGATTATTACCTTTTTCTTCGTGACTGACTAATTTACAAGTGATGTCCCACCAAAAAAGGGATCTTACATCCTCAAACACTCTGGGATGAACTTAGCTTTTCTGTCACTTTTTATGCTTTTCCTGGGGCGCATTGGAGGAAAGCCATGCGCTAATGGTGAAATCATCCAGAGAGTTTATGGGAAAAATTCTAGCTTGGTCAAAGCCAGCAGTTTGGAAAGTTTACTTTGCGAGAGCTGAAGTCCACTTTCCTCTGAAATGCCACTCACATCCACACAGCCCTTACAACGAAAACTAGGATGTGCCAGGCTGTGAATACTGGCTCAAATGAACAGATGCAACAAAATAAGTGAAAAAAATAAAAACTATGACAAATTCATATAATAACCAGTTAAAGGCATCTCTTTCTAATTTAGATATGAGTACCTATGTATTTTTAAGAGGGAATAAATAAGTTTAAATTACATCAAGACTGGTTTTTAGAGGTACAAGTATTAATACAAGCCAAGATAGTTTAGGGCGATGAGCTATTAAAAAAGCACCAATAGATTTCAGCATAAAAAAAAACAAAAAAAAAACACATAAGGCACTAATCAGGCACATAATTAACTAATTTTATGAATTACTGCCAGTCAAAAACTTTAAAAAATTTCCTCTCTATACTTCGAATGAAATACAAAGAACTTTACAGAGGCGTAGAGTGACGATTAGAAATCTGAAAACCCAAGACATTCACACAGGGAGCTAGCATTTGAAAATGAGGCTACACTGCTACAAACAGTGCCGAGTGTAGCAACAGTGATATAGATACAGTTAGCAAGGTCCCATTGGCTCATGAAGTTACATGAAAAACAGAATCACTTTACCATGTTAAAAAAAGCTGAAACAGCAATGGAGTTTTCTCTTACTTCAAAGCTAAAAAATCATCACTATTAATTTTTTTTTATTCTATTATATATATCTCAGCTTTAAAACTGATATTGACCAAATATTGTTGGGTAAAAATAAATATTTTGCATCACAACAGTTTTTATCTTGCTCTGTCAATATTAGTGATTCGTTGGCTTTCTACTACCTCAGGCATATTTTGACTACATTTCATTTGGGCCTAAGTATGTTGCGCCTTTTTGGGAGAGAATACATATTTCCTTTCAAAGTATACTTAATTTTTGGATGTTGGTGGATAAAATTCATAGAGCCACTTCAAATCGAAGTTCCCATGCTTGGGTTGCCACGGTCATTGGCACACACACATAAAGGCGCAATGCAACTTCATTTTCGACGGAAGCTTTTAGATTTGAGCACCTGGTTCATTAAAACAGCCTTTTAGCTGATTTTATAACAAATACATATTAATGGTGAAACCACCAAGCCACGTTTCTTGTTTGCGGAGATTAAAAATCTCTAGTCTTGTTTTATTCCTTTAAAGAAGAATGAATCAACACCATTCTTTGAAGTGCCCTCAGAATTTTCCTCGCACAGAAAAGAAAAATCACTGACATTTTTAGGAATTGACATTGAATAGTTCTGAATTTAGAAAAAGAAGACGAATTTTGTTTGACGCAGCAATTGTTTCCTGTTATCGATTTTGTGTTATTTGCATCACTTTTTCACAACCAATGAGAGCAAAGCAGCTAGAAGTGAGGTTAGAAATCCGGTTAACAAATGCACACAACAGTCGTAACAAGCTCCGAGGACGTTCCAATTGTTTTGAAACAATGTTGCGAAAATGATGCCAAATTATGCACACAAATAAATAAAGGAATAAAAATAGGCCACCCCTCCTTAACAGAAAGAACATCCGAACAAAATACGATTGATACGAGACGTCCCGAGTTGTTGCGTCGAACAAAATACGACTAGAGTATGACATAAGGTCTGCAACGTCACTAACCGAGATACTTGGCTCAGGAGTTTCAGCATTGATACGGGTACATACTGTTCATAGAATTGATTCTCTTGGTTTTTGTTGCAACAAACATGCACAATAGAACTTAACTTAAGAAAAAAGAGAAAAAAAAGAGGCCCACCACGACATTGGTAAAAAAATATGTTAATGAAGAGGGAAAAAAATCATGAAAAGTTACAAATACAAAATTATAATACAACAACCCTTAAAGTAAAACTAAAAAGAGTAAATAAACATATGCAAAATAATGAAAAATGTAAAGAGAAAAATCCTGAATTCAGAAGATAAAAACAAATGCTAACAAGGAAGACTTATTTTACACACATCCTTTAATATTAAAATGCAAATAAATTAAGAGCGCAAGTGACTTAGAAACAATGAAAGCTAATTTTGTAAGATCATGCAAACCTCATGGTAAATTCTACAAAAGAAATTGCTCATTGATTATTTTCAACCTGAGAAAATATAATCGATACATAGCGTTTCAGAGAAACTATTCTGGGTTGAATTTAAGTCTATGAGAGATAGAGACACTATGATTTGCAATAAGTAGCTGCATTATGGCGTGGTCCATTTCAACACTTGAGTAAATATTTTTTCAAATTCAAATGGCTCTAACTGCATGAGACTGTCCTAATTGACTAAAAATTATTCAGAAAAGAAACAAAATCAGCTTGATCACAAAAATGCCTTACTGCTCTGATTTTAGAAATTTTTCAGAGGAATTGAATGGATAGCTGCAAATGATGACACTGAAATTTGTTTGATCATTAATACTCGGTTGAAAAAAAGAAGAGGAAAAAAATATGACAGGTGATCATAGCTGGTTCATACTAACTTAAGAAAAACAAAAAATATTAGAATAAATCTTTGGTATCGATGATACTGCACCAGACCTGACAATGACACCAATTAAAATGTCGATGATGCAGACACTGTGCAATGTGCATGTCTGAAACAATCAAAGATCAGAAGTCTCCAGCACTTGGAAAATCAGTTAGGGCGTTACTCCATCCGACTAAATCATTGCTCCTTTCCTGCAAGATTAAAATCAAACACCAATAATGAAAAAAACATGTTCATACTTCTGAAAATATGCACAATGCTGTATAGCTGAGAGCTATGTGTTGGTTGCAATTTTTTTTCTCCTTTTTTTAGTTGGTTTCATCAGGAGAACTAAGTCTCTGGAGATTACAGGAATTTTTTGACCATTGGAAACTTTAAAATTATCAACTTCAAATCTCTTCAAAATTTGGAATTTCAAAACGGTTAATTGAAGACAGGAGCGGGTTTGAGGCACTCATCATCACCCCTCTGACGGAAAGACGCATCTCAATTCCCATGTTAGCCCGGTTCTACATATTAATCCTTGCTTTCTAGGACTCATGCGAAAATCGAGATACGCACTTTCGCTAGAGCAGCGACGACATGACAGCACACTACATGACTAATTTGGTCTTTCTATCTTTAACAATGTATCTCTGTACATGGAAATGAAGATTACTTTCCAGATGCAAGTGTCATGGCAACTGATGATTCATTGACAAAAATGGATTTCAGAAATGGAATCCTCATAATAATTTGAAATGAGCATAGCAGCATTTGAGAGTCATAAACCAATAAAGTGCACCCTATATTTTAAAGGTAGACCGCTAGAGACAGGAGATTTTTTACTCATAACAAAAGTAGAGATTGGAGTCTAGCAGCAAAGAAGAATTTTCAACCCTTAGAGTTTTTATTTTCTTAAAAATTTTTTAAAGGTAATGCGAGTCAATTGTTTGGTTACCAAGGATTACATCAACTGTAACAATGCACTCATTAAATTTATGATCACTGCTGTTTGCAACAGGCCCATTCTCTTCTTTAATTCTTGCTGATTGGTTGATGATGTTGAAAGAGCGACTGCATGGAAAGATTTGAAAAATAGAGATTTCCATGTGGTATTCCCAGATCCAGGATTTGAAGTCTTGTTAAGAGAGCCTCTCAGACAGCGCTCATTATTTACGATTGCTACGTTCATTGCGCAATTTTAAGTGTTCAGTCAAGGCCTTTTTTCCCCCTTTTGCAAAATTTGACCGCAACAATAGGTCAAACAAGAGGATAGGTCAATTTTTTGTCACAACGAAATTTTTCCTTTTTTGTGGAATTATGGAAAGTAAGGAAAGAAATTCCTAGGATCCTTATTAGCCAGGAAGAAAAATTTTCCTACACCCCTATGAGGAAGATCAATATTATAAACTTGCAGGCTTTAGTCAGTTAATTTTGTCTTGGAATGTAAGAAACCCTAATAGACAGTGATATTCCTTTTGAATTTATAAAACTTACAAAGCGATGCATTATCCAGAAAAAAACACTAAAAAATGTTGCCTGAGCTGTAAGTAACAAGAGTCTAGAATCTCAGTGGAACCAATATTAATACATCATTTTTTCATGATAAAAAAAAAACTTGTAAAGACTAACGCAGTCTGTAAATGTCTACATAAATTTGTCCAATTGTAAGTTTACAATGAAAAAAAAAAAAAAGCATCAAGTGGCCCATTTGGCTGCTAACTGTTAGTGATGTAAGATATTCCATGTACTCATAACTGACTCGAACTTGTATAGTCTTCATCAACGCATTTTGCATTTTTCAGAACTAACGAGGTTAAATGGTAGATTGTTGACAATCACTTAAACATACCAGACTGTCTTGAATTGTGATGTGGACTAGAAGGGTTGCAAGCTCAAAGTCCTCCGAATAGCCGTTTTTCAGAGGCACACTTCGATAGCCCGTTCGTAGTGCCAAGACCTGCATAAATTTACAAAATGTTGATGAAGAATGCAATGATTAAACAAGAAATAGATTTGTAAGACATCATATGGACTGAAAACACTTCATCAGACTGAACTCCAGCCAAACCTCATTAAGTCAGAATGCATTGTGATTGTGAATTCATTCCAACCTAGCAGGGTTTCCGGATGAAGCAAATTTCCCGCACTATTTCACTCGCACTAACCTAATTGTCGATGAAAATGAAGGCAAAGATTTATCAATTCATATTATTTCACATCCCAAGAAAAGATGGAACTACGCAGATGACAGGACTCGTCTTAAAATACATCGTTATGCCCTTACATTAACAGAGCAACAAAATAGACAGAGTTTGTAGTGCCAATTCTTATCTTGCACAGTGAAAAACAAAATGAAAGCAAAAGAATTATGACTTTTCAGGACAAGCAGAGGTTTAAGATAAAAGCTTAGATTGCAGTGATATCATGCAATCAAGGAGGGGTGTAAAACTGCCTGTTCATACGTTTTGGTACAGCAACAGCAGTAGGTAAGCAAAAAGCTAGTCGAGTAAGGTGCTACTTTCTTGATTTAGTGCGGTGAGACAAATTTATGAGGAAAGGTAGGAAAAATGAAGATGAATTATGAGAGAGGAATCATTTCAAGTTAAGGACCAAAAAATTTTGCAACTTAGCAGATTTTCCAAGTTACCTGACTTCAGGTTATGGAAATGTTCTTATTGTGTAAACAGGCAAAAAAAAACAAGGCCTCGCCATTATTCCGAGTTTCTGACTGAGGAAGGTTCCGGCTTAGTGAGGTTTGACTATAATACTCTTGGTACTTACATTGCTGTGCCAAGGAGGAACGCCGTTTGAGCCTTCAAACGTTGCCATATTTCCCGAGATAAAAACCAAATCTATCAGAAAAATTGAAAATGCTTTTTCTTCAAATTATTCCAAAATTTTGTTGGCAATTTAATCTAAAATATCTGAGAATTTCGAGGAAAAATATGGATAACTTTGCTTCAAAATACATGTTTCATCCGGGAAAATTTGGCAACTCTTGTACGTTCATAAAGCATTCTTCCTTGGCTCAGCAGTAGACTAGATTCATATTTAAAGAGGGTTTTGGTACTTATGGATTGGCATTTTAATGATCTTAAGCAATGTAATAATTAATATGTTGTTGGGCATGGCCGGATCTACGTAATTGCAGTCCCTGGGCCATCAAGATTTTTTTACTCCACGACTTGTCGTCGCAGGGGGGATGGGGGCTGTCATGCCGTTCGTAGATTATGTACGCCACATATTTTTTTCGCAGATTTTCAGACCCCCCCCCCTCATCACCTATTTTTGTCGCGCAACATAATCTTACATTTGTTGACAAACCCCCCAAAAATCTCTTTTAAAATGTATGACATGTATTTTTTTTTGTGTCTGCAGTGAGTTGTGTCAGAGCCAATGAAAGTGCTTGACTCTACTTTTCAGAAAAATTGAGTGAAAGTCGTTCTAGAGATTTTCAGTATCGAAGAAAACAGTTTGTGGCCTTTTCTAGTACTAGTCGCACCGCCCTTCTGGCGGCATAGTGTTTGCGGTGGCATCCTATCTTTGTTTTCTTCTTCTCTCATTTTTTGCCGCCACCCAAAATTTGCCGCCCTGGGCCGTGGCCTCAACGGCCTATGCATAAATACAACGATGTTGTACCTCGATGGCTTGTTGCACCTGAAAACATTCATGACATAAAAGAAACAGGCATCTTTTATCATAAGATAGCAATTATTTTATGAACCAAGAGAGAGTTCATAATTAATCTCAACTAAGCTTAAGAGGTCTTTTAAAACACACAAGTCATAAAAGCTAACTGAGACAAGACAACCAGTCTCTGAAAGGCTCAATAACCTGCATTTTTGGTACCTCTGAATTTTTTCTTCTCCTTCTTCACTGTGGAGGATTCACTGACACCGAAAATATGAAGAGTTTATATACAACAATTAGCGTTATCAGCGTTAACTTGAGGAAGAAAGAAAAAAAAAAGAGGTCATTGTTGAAGGATGAGTCACTATTTTTTAATCTAGATACTTAAAGAAAAGGAAGAAACAGGCTTTAAAATATCCCTCTGAATGTATGAGAACTTTATCTTAATCTATAGCAGTTTACAAACATTGATTTTATTGTTTCACCACAAACACATTGTGTGTAATTGAAATTACTCAATGAAAGTGATGTTGGTGCCAGAACACTGAACATAAATATTTGGAGAAATTTTCTGAAAAGAATCAGGTTAATTTGATCGAGACAAAACTGAAAAAACTTACAGGATAAGTAGCTTGGCCAATGAAATTTGAGTCGCCGAACATATCCTCATCTTGTACCAGAAACCGCAGCAAAGCGAGATGAGGGTTGAGAATCTCAAACTCACACGAATCATTCCAAATTGGGTTGAATCCATTATCAGCTGAAACAGTAATAGGAAGAAGAAAATAATAAGTTGCAATTACTCATGCTTTCATACTTGCTATTATAATTTAATGAATGATAATGAATACATCATTCTTATGAGAAATTTTCTAAATTAGATTTCTATATTCGGTAAAAGTTGGAATCGTTTTACACCTAACACAGACATGCAGCAAAGAAAAGTGAGTTCATCTTCCAATCAAATATTTCTTCAGAAGAAAGTTTATTATCCACTGGCATGTGTACATGAAAATTTGAATATTGCCAAAACAAAATAATTCAGAAAAACATAAGTTGTTCACTGTAAAATTACAATATTCTAAGCGGGAGCTGAATCTGGTTTTTAATGATACTTACTTCCAATTTACCTCCCAATTTATCCTGTATTATTTGTGACAAAAAAATTTGTGAAAAAATGTCATGCAGTGACCAAGCAAAAGGTTTCAAAGTTAGAGGATCGATAAACAAGGACCTGCAGTAGATGTCATTCTTATTATAATACTATTTAATTTTAATATTATAATATTTATACATAATACTATTAATTGAACAAATAAAAAAATAATGATTGACTTCTATCATTTAAAGTTGAGTAAACAGGCTTACAAATAGTCTTGGTTGTTAGTTTGATTCCAGTATCGTCATCTGCACCAAGAACTTCAACCTCAACAAATGGACTAGCAGTCCCACGCCCCGAACGCCCAAGATGCCGGGCAGCAATGATACGGATGGAGACAGTTTTTGGTTTATCACTTGTAGGTACTTCATCACAAAACATGGACTCTGGACGCAGTAAATACCCACACTGTCCATTCAGACGAAACTTTGCTTGGTTTAACTGCATCGGTTTATCTGATTAGAGCAGAGAGATAAAATAATATATCAAGAAAAGAAGAAAAAAAACATGGCATAAAATCAGATGAATTGAAATGTCCTTTTATGGGTTTACTGCATCTTCATTAACTCATTTTCAAAGTATCTATTGTTCTTTAATCATGTGAATTACATTACACATGACCTGTCCTACAGCTAATGCGCAAGAGTGTGATTGGGCAAGTAAACCTACAAGTATAATGCATGGCACTATACGAAATGCTAAAATTTACTGGTATCTTAAAAAATGTTCCAGGCGGTTAATTTAAAATGGTAATTGACACCAGAATGCAGTGTTGATTGTAAAAAAAAAGTGAAATGCTCATAAAAAGCAACGCAGTAAGACATTTTATAATGATATGTTTGACCTGCTCTGCCACTTGTCGCTTGAAATTTTTCTTGAAAAATAAGAGGCTTTTAAAACTCAGACTGGCCTAAAATTCCTTTTTGTGTCTGTGACCTCCTAAGTTCTATACCTCCCCATTAATACAGCGATTCAAGAGCTTTTGTCACTACTGAAACGCTCTCTGGAATTCAGTTTCCTCTAAACTGCTAAGCACAGTGTTACATTCCTTCCGACTTTTTTCAGCATTAAATCATCTACCCATCATTTCCATATTGGTTTTCAGACACAAGAAGGAATCACAAGATGCTAGATCTGCAGATTCAGGAGAACAAGACATCAATGACATCATATTTTTGGCAAAATAAAACCTTCAGTTTTAATTTTGAATGACTCAGCGCACTGTCATAGTGGAGGAACCAATCGCTATTGTACCAAAAGTTACAACGTTTTCGCCAAAGGCTTTCCCTCCATAGTCGCATCACATTCTAATGAAAATCTGCACTGACAGACTATGTTATTTATGATCATGTTTTATTTCTAAACAATTTGAAAATAATGAAAATTTCAGTCGATCTGTTTGAAGTTGTTATATTGAGATTTCGCTATGTATGATAACTTCTTCATACCTTTGTAAAAAATGTCTAGGTACTTCCTTCATGCACCCATATAATGTGTGCATAAGCCCACAAAAATGTTGTTCTTTTTCATGTGGCTGTGTATGCCAGCTGTGATGAAAATAAAAAAATTAAAAATACCTGGTGTTTGGTAGTTAAGCGCAACCATCTGACAGCCAGAATTCCAAATTGGCACTGGATTGTAATTTGAGGAATCTATTCTTTGGCCTTTAGGGTACACACGACTAAATTGATGCTAGAAACATTTCAACAGACCATGAATAAATAAAAATCAGTACGTACGCTCACGGTCAGAAAACTATAGTTGTGGACATTGGCCCAATTATTTGTTTAGGAAGTCTGTTACCTCGGCCCAAATATTTGTTTCCGAAGTCTGTTACCTATATGGTCTGAGATAACATACATTCTTTGAAAACTACATGAGAAAAAACCAAGCTAGCATGACAACTTAATAAAAAAATGTGTTTATGGAATTTAAAAGTGTTAGATCGTTATCATGCTGAACTAAGGCCCTGCTAAATTTCTAATTATATGCACTTTATAACTGAAAGTATTTATGTTAAAAGTAACAGCCAGAGAATAAATTATATCAAAAGGAGGTATGCGCATTAAATTTACGTGGATCATAGTGCATTTTGATTTGATTCATTTCCACATAATTCCTTTTAGCATAAATATGTCCAATTTGATGGTGGACCTATAAAAATGTGTACCTCGAGTGCAGTGTTTCAAAATCTCCGCTCCTTTTTCACTTTTTGAAAGGCGACCGTACATGAATCATGTCTTGAAATTTTCACAGAGAATTTTTTAAGTAGAGAAGAAAAATCACCTGAGTTTTCGAGAAATGACGTTTGGTAGTTTTCGATGTAGAAAATAAAATATGACAGGAAGTTCGCTGTGCCGCAAACGGAAATACACATTTCTGCAGTTTCACCATTGAATTCAGATACTCGTGATGGTAAAGTGTTTGAAGAGTGCACACTTCAAAAAAGGAGGAGGAGAGTTTTTCATGTTAAGTTGGAATGCTAAATTTCTCTTTTGAGACAGTATTGACTGCAGTCAAAATCCGCTGCAACCTACAACTGTCCTCCATGAATGAGGATACTGCCCTCACTTCAATCATGATGTCTGCGCTAAGGAAAAACAAAATTGTTTGCAAACTTTTTTGAAGCAGTATGATTCAAAGTTTCTGTCATCGTCAGTAAGGGATTTCGAAAAGAAAACTTTATATTCAGAGCTAAACCATATTAAGAAGAAAAATACCTGGTGATATTTGAGGAAAAATTTGTTCTCTTGCTGACACATTATTTTCTCTGCTTTAGTTTCAGGAAAAGATGACATTTCATGATAGATCCAGCCACGAGTTTTTAATTTATCAATGTTGAATGTGACAGAACGGCAGTAAACAGTTAAGTTTGACATTTCTTTGGCAATCCTCCACGCTCGTTCCATCTCTTTATTTTGGGTTTCCTTAAAAGCAGAAAAGTAATAAATTGCAGATGAATAATAAAACAGATTTAACAGAGGGAGAAAGAGATAAGAGATAGATAAAAGGAGTTACACACACTTACTTAACCTACTTAAGACGTAAGGGATAAAATCATTTGCGGAAAGAGGAAATTATTTCAAAGTTTCCTTTGTCCAAATTGAGAGATGAAGGAGAGGTTAAATGGATCACGATTTGTCTGAGTAAAGGTAAATGACAAAGCTGTGCCCACTAGAGATTTCTTTAGGATCTTATAGTGGGATGTAAGCATCATCATGAGACCAAAAATGAAAATATTCTATCAAGATTTTTGAAAATAAAATCGAATTTTGTTTCTTTGGGGCTTAAGTGGGCTCATCCGCTTTTTGATAATTTTGATTCAAAAGAAAAATACAATACGCAAACCAATTTTTATGTATTTTTTAACAAGCAATCAATTAAGAGCGCCTTGAATAGTAACCGTGCTTTCTGGACTAACAATAAGCTACGGCTGTTTTCGACAGTTAGGACCTTACTTTTTTTACACAATTTCAGGGCAAGAAAAATTTTGTCATCACAAGTTTTGATACATAGAAAAGAGACGATTCTCATACCATCGTTTCGTCACATTCAAAAGGTTTTTTTTCTTTTTTCTGAAATAAATAAAAACATGAAAAAGTAAATAAATAGAAAACATATGAAAAAAAGGGACAAAAAACACTTTACCATGACTTTAGAATTTGTTGCTTACCCTGGCACTAGCAGACTGAGCAGTTTCTTTGATTGCTTGAAGCCACTCCAAAGCTAGGTCTTGTGTTGGTGCTGCTACCTCAAAAGTTGTGCACATGTTTGGATTTTGTATTCGCAAAGTCCATTCCAAACTTGTTCGAGATGGATTTACGTGCAATTCGACAACCGCTCCATTTACATCCAAACTGCCTTTTTGCAAGCTACCGAGCAGGAGAGAGTCTGCTGACTAAAAAAAAAACCAGAAAATTTAACATTAATGGTATTAAGAAAGGTACCTAGTAACAGTATTAAATAATCAGTAATAAACTGAGAGAAAAAATTATGGGGGAAAACTAGGAAATGAAAAACTCAAACTGTCATGTAGATAATTTACTAGTTAGCGTCCATTTAAAAATAGGTTTGCAGTTTGATGGGCGTATGCTTTTGTTGAGTTCTTCAATTTTCGATAGTTTTGAATTTTTTTCAAGAGAAAAATGTATTGATAGTCTTGATATGGGCCAACAAAATAAACAAAGATGTTTATTTCAGAAATGAGTGACACTGATTCAACTTTACAATGTTTTAAGCTAGTTTTGAAGTTCAAAGAGTAACAAAAAATTTGGGTGAAATCAGATGTAGACAGACCTTGAGGGCTATAGCTTGATTGCCTCATCAACTTTGGCTGAAAGGGCCCTGCTAGGACCCATTTTGGCAGACTTTGGAGTCCCGTTTGGCCTTTACAAGAAAGGTTGAGCTTCTCAGGGCATTTTTTGAACCTTCCCTCCCCCCTTTTATCACTATAGGTCCCCAATTTCCCTTTTTTTAATGGGGTCTACTCCCTAGAAATCTTGGAACCAGTCCCTCTAGTGACGTTTCTGTCCATTCATTGTTACAAAATTTCTGCTGAATTTCAGAAGCTTGATTGAGGTAAAATTCAATAACTATTAAAGAGAATATAAAAGTATATGATGGGTGAGATTCATCTCATAACTCTGAACAAAACATAGAAATTGAAGCAACCTTTTCAAAAAATTGAAATTCACAGAAAATGAAAAGGAAATACTCCTACTTTAATTATTTATTGACACTAGAATCATTTAGAATTCTAACCACGTTTGAATCAATTGCATAGATTCTATTTAATGTTTATGTTGCTTGTTTATGTCCACTGAAGATAGACAGACCAGAAATCATTTCAGAAACTTACCGTTTCGTCTCTTTCTTGTTGAGGTTCGATTTCTTCAACATAATTTGAAGGGAACCAGTGTTGCCTCTTTCCACCATAGTCTCCTCGCCACCAACCTTCATCTTTTTTGTCAACATTGGTAATAATTGCATGCTTACAAAAGGATAGTTCGTCATCATGTCGGGCTTGGTAGTCATAAATTGCTTTCACCATAATCTGGAAAATTTCAATGTAGATCATATAATTAGGGAAAGCGATGCATTACTTTCGAAACGGAAAACATCACGATAGTAGGTATTTTCCTTGATAAGAATAAGTTTTTTTGATTAATGATTATGCAGATAAATCGGTACACTTTACGTTTGCTAAATTTTACTTATCAATATTTTTTTATATTCTTTGTACTATTTTCCTTGAAAAATTGAAACCTTGTCTTTTTCTCTCATCTGATTCCATCTCATTCCCTCTGACACACGTTTTTACAATTGTTTGCCTTTTCTGCCCGTTTGATGTACAAAGGTGAAAAAAAAAAAAAAAAAAAAAAAAAAAAAAAATTAGACATTTAGATAAAGTACAGAGGTGGCTCTCAAAGCCCCTCTCCTTCAAAAAAGGATGGATTGCCAATTGAAATTATTAAAATTTAAATCACCGTTGTACTAAGTTCTGAAAAAATGTCTTGGATTTTTAAAAGCTCATAAAAAAGTAATCAAAGTAATACCTAAGACTGCTGTGAAATCAGATGGGAAGAATTTGAACATTGATAATCGGAGAACCCAAAGCTCATTTTGGCCATTCTTTCATCTCATTTTCCAAGTCTGCTAGCCTAGAGGATACGATGAAACGATTACAGCAAAAAAGGTCAAATTCTACCTATCATTAGACAAGGTGATGTCTTAGGGGCGCCAATTAAGGCCAATGGCCTCCTTTCTTTCTTCCAACATTTGGAATTTGACATTTGTAACATTACTTTTTGTCAATTTGAGAGTATCTTCCGTGATTTTTTTAATTCCAATCCCCATCCATCTTTGTCCGAAATGGCGCCACTGGGTTCTCCAAATATTCATAAGCCGAAAAACTGATTGAATATCAATCAACATTTTTCCTAATACAAACGCACTTCATCCCCCCCCCTCCCTCCAAATGAAAGAAAATAAAAACAAGGCCGGCGAGTACAATGGGAGAAAAGGGAATTGAAGAAAAGTAAGTGACGATCAGTGTCAAATAAACGAAATGCGAGAGTACCTTTGAAGTAAAGCTGCTGGGGTCCATGTACCCTGGTGTGCCAGAAACTGATCCATCATCTGCTTCCTGAGAACAATTGAGAAGTACATTATTATTTGGTGACGGATGAAGAGAAAGTAATGGGTAACAGATCAGTATGTGTAACCATCTGCAGGAAAAGGACCTGGTTCCACAGAGGCACATTACTTATCAAGCGAGAGATTTCGGTGGCGTTAGGACGAAAAAATCGACATGTGAGTTTTCGACCAAATGAATTCCTAAGTGTTCCAAATAATACGTCATACGCGGTCTAGTTCATTTATGTGCAAATAAAGGACGTAAACTTTTATATTTTAGTCCGACAATTATGAGAAGAATTCAAAATAAATTCAAAGTTAACTTTTCACCTTCGACTTTGAGGCAAAGGAAACAAACGCAACATGTAAGTACTATCGAAGGCTAGCAACAAACCCCTCCCACCCTAAGTAGCCACGGCATTTTTTCGGCTCCTAAGGCTTTGTCTCCATCGGACGTTTTCATAGGATTTGTCCCAAGTTCGAATCGCAGGAATGAAACTTTTTGGAATTTCCCCCAGTTACCTTCTCCGCGGGACGCAGGTACGTTCCTGCGCCAAGTTAGCGCGGGGAGATAAATTAGTAAAAATCGAGTATTTGACCGAGAGTGAGATACTAATTGAACACGATTAACATTTGGCCACATTGTTTTAATTTAAACAACACGAACAATCGAGTAAACAACAAAATATTGCATAATTTGGTTTCACTTCTTCTTTTTCTCTTAGTTGGTCTTCGGGGTACAAGGACCATACTAACAATTAGTATATATTGGGATAGTTATTGACTAACTCAATATTTTCTCGACTTCGCAAGAGGGATTTTTCCCTGGGACAACTCCCGTGAAACGTCCCGTGGTGACAAGGCCTAATTCCAGGGCCGGATTAAGGGGGTGGCCACATGGGCCGTGGCCCATGGCGGCAAATCAATGGGGCGGCAAATTTTGCACTTTTCTTTAAAAAAATCGGATTTTGAAAAAAAATTACAAACGAGAAAAGGCGACAAAATCTCTCATTTCCTGAGAGTGTAGTAATTTCTAATTTTGTCGTCTTCCAGTGATACATGAGACAGCACCTTTAATTAGTCGAGTTAAGAGAGAAACCAAACACGCAATTTGGCCTGGAACGGCGCGACTTGGAGAGAAATGATGACGAGGACTTGAGATGAAAAGAAGAAGCCCTCGGCGCGGCGCGGCGGTCGGCATGTATCACATAAAAGCGCCTACAAGACTGCATGCATACTTTACGCATTGCGTCAAACACAGTCCGTTCAGCAGCGGTCGGCGCGGCGTGAAACGCGTAGCGCCTACAAGACTGTCGGAATACTTCACGCATTGCCCCAAACACGGTGCGGTCTGCGCGGCGCGGCGGCGGAAGTTAAAATCATTGATCCACATTTATGTTTGTTCTTTCATAATTTGTTCGTTCTGAATGGAAGGCCTTGTCCACACAGAGATAGGTTTACGGAACTCAAATTTCGCGCAAAGTTCCGTGAACTTTTGCTAGTCGTGTTAACAGGGCTTTCCTAAAAAATGTGTCCAACACGAGTAAACGCGTCTTATGCACCCCCCCCCTCCCCCGCTATTGATATTTCAAAACGAATGAGAAGGGGGCGGCAAAATACAGGCGGCACATGGGCGGCAAGTAGGTAAATCCGGCACTGCCTAACTCAATATTTTCCCCATGTTCGCAAGTGGGATTTTTCCTTAGGATAAAATCCAGGAATACGTTCCGTGAAGACGAGGCCTACGGGTTTCCGTGGAACCCATAGTCCATACTCCCATTATAAAGGTTCCCTCAACCTCCGAAGATGGATTTGGCGCGATGAATTCTGGTACGATCGATATTTTTCATATTTTAACTATTAAGAGGATTATTTTGGAAAAATTGAGTTTCATTTTTTAAATCAATCGTAGAGGAATGTTCGTGCCGAAAATCATCTTCCAACATCTTGAAATAAAGTTGTAAGTAATGTGAGGGCTGCTTTTGATAGAGTGATTCATATTATGCGAGATGTTAATAGCGGGCGATTTCTTCGTTATGCTCATATCAATGGAGCTTACTAGTTCTGATTTAACCATCAATATCGATAGGTACATTCTTGGCTCCATTTTAGGATTTTGGAGGATAATTTTTGGCTTGATCATACCTTAATTGGGCTCGTAAAAAAACTTATAAGCATAGGGAAACTAATGGCACATACGTTGTTTCTAAACTGAGCTAGAAATTGTAGTTCCCAGTAGCAAAATGTGGTCCGATTGACTGAAACTGCGATTTTTGCGAAATCATCAGCCTAATGGTTAAAATTTGAAAAACAGAATGGTACCTAGAATGCATTGCGCCATAGCTGCGAGGATCCACCCGCACCTTCCCAGTTCACCGAAGCAGTACTGCCGTTCTAAGGAAGAACGCCGTATGAACCTTCGTGCGTTGCCAAATTTCTCTTGGTAAAATACGAATTTCTAGGAAAACTTTTGAAAATTTTCCGTCCGATTTCTCAGGGAATTTTGTTCGCAATGTCATCTGAAGTGTGAGAAAATTTCGAGGAGGAATATTCATTACTTCTCTCAAAAATTAATATTTTAGGAGGGGAAATTTTGCAAATCCCGGATGCTCATACGGCGTTTTTCATTAGCACGGCAGAGCAACAAACCGGAAACCAAGTCGAACTGTTCGCCGTCGCACAGTGGATTGAGTCAATTGGAGAGGTCGGACATGAAATTTTTGACTCAAACTGCAAATTTTGATGTTTAATTCGTCACATATTAAATTGGAAGGGGTGTTTCTGATAGAAAATTTCACGAGGAAACCAATGGAACCACTTTTAAGACCTTAAAGTTTTGTATGAGTGGAGTTATAAGCTTTTAAAGTTTCCAAATTTTGTCCGACCGCTTTCATAGGCTCGATCCACTGTGCGTCGTCGCGTAGGAATCTCGGTTCCCGAAGTGAGAATCACCTGAAAACCGCAGCGTTCGTTCTGGCCTTAGGGGTTGAAAAATGGGCCGACTCCCTCATTACGGGGAGGACCCGACCGCAAAGAGGTCGCTCGTAAAACAAAATAAGCCCGTGCCCCATCCGCCGATGCGAAGGTGACTTCGTTTCATTGTAAGTTGAAAAGACGCAGCGTCCAGAACTGGAATGCGAGTCAGTTCATATGCCTTGCGCAACAAAGCCGACACAACCCTACCATAGAGAAAAAAAAGGAGGTGTTTGCATCTTGAGGTTTGTTTATCCTGTGACGTAGGTCGGTACAACCTGGCCAGCGAAATCCGGAATTCCAAATATGAAAAACGGACCATAATGTCCGATTTTTTTACTTAAATCAACTCATTATATAATTTCAAGCACTTCTTATAGAATGACTTTTTTCCTTAAATTACACCATTTCCAAGAAAATCGACAGGATAAACGTCGCTGTACCGACCTACGTCATCAAATCATCAAAAAAATTCCAAGATGCCCGAAATGCAAACACCTCCTTTTTTTTCTCTATGCAACCCTACGAAAGAAGAGCATATCACCAATAGACTTCCGAAGATAATTCTGCCATGCGAAGGAAAAACGCCGTATGAACCTTCAGGCGTTGCCAACTTTCCTCTGATAAAATACGAATTTATCGAAGAGATCGTGGATATTTTTCTTTCAACTTTTCAGACTATTTTGTCCGCGATTCAATCTAAAATATCTGAAAATTTCGAGGAAAAATAAGCATAAATTTCGTCGAAAATATATGATTTATCCGGGGAAATTTGGCAACTCTCGAATGTTCATACGGAGTTCTTCCTTAGCACGGCAGAATTGACTTGAATGTTGCGTGGACTAGATATCGATGCATGTATAAGTTCAAATGAAGTTTCAATAATTCGTGTCACATAATAGTAAGAGTACGTCGTAAAGGTCAGATCCTTTGAGAAAGAACCATTTCAGAGAATCTGTATACCTAGTAATAACTGTCCATATGGCAGAGGAAAAGTTGCCTTGAGATATGAGATTCAAACAATCCTGTCCGTATTTTTGGCGGAAAACTTCTTCGGACCTTGATAAATTAAACTTAAGGCTTAAAATAGAGAACTTTCACGAAGGAATTTTATAATTGAGAATGCTTAAAATGAGCTGCGTTCGCAGTATTTTTCACAATGTTTTTCTGATACCTAAGTATGGGAAATTGTAGAAAAATATAATTTAAAGTGAGAAAATCTGCCGCCTTGTGACGTCATTTCCCACATACAGGGTTATTCAAAAGTCACGCACCACTGGCCATGAGGGGGGTGGCCAATTTGAAATTTTTGAGTTGCACCACGCCCCCCTCCCCCTGAGGGGGTCAAAAACTGGGAAGTGCCTAAAAAAGTTTTCCTCTTAATATGAGGAAAAACGTTACAAACCGCAAATCGATATCTTAATTAGAACTGAAGTTATGGCCAGAGGTGCGTGACTTTTGAATAACCCTGTATACACCTGTATTTTAGCAAATTAGGTCATATTTCGCTCTTACATACGTTCATTCTAGAAACCAAGGATATTCTCGTGTTCACTTGGCTCAGTAATTTCTTCTCAACATGAAAACACAAAATTTTTGACACCTGCAAATTTTCCATTTAGGATTTTCCGTCGGTTAAATTATTAGAGACTGAAAAATAGGGGAAAGAAACATGTTTGAACTCCGAACTCAAGAGGGAAAAACAAACCAGAGTTCGAAGACGGAGCAACCCTCCAAGACTGGATTGTGTGTGAGCAGCGCGGTATCGGAATTCTATTTAAATGGATGCGCAACTACGGAGTCAAGATATAAAAAGGCAGGCTTCTGGATCCGATTTGAAAGCGTCGACGACCGATTAATCCAGACCCGGACCGCCCACGCGCAACTAGGAAGGGTTGAAATGGAACGGCTCCATCATTCATCTAAGTATTCTGGTCTGGGACTTCTTTTTTCAGTCGAATGCCCTTGGTTTGAAAAGCAGAAACAAGATAGAGTCGCGTCAGTAGCAGCCTTCGGTATCGGACCCTCAAATGGACC